TTTCAGGGAATCAAGTATTTTTCTAGTAATATTGGGCGTTTCTACTTTCCAAATATACCAAATTTGAAATACTTTTATTGGAATTAACCACCCTATAAATACTTTCGTGTGAATGTATCTTTAAGTTTGCATTTGCAAAGAAATTTCTAGTTGAAATTTTGAGGAAGTCGTATCAAGTCATAACAGTGTACATTGATTCCGTTCCTAAAGAAATTCTGTTTTCCTGTTCAACCCATCTTTAAGTCGGCGTAGAAACCGGGCCCAGGCGAAAATACCACTAATTAGTAACATCACCTTGTCATAGTATGTGTAGTAATGGTTAAAATCAGTAGGTAATGCTCGTAACCATTGCTCCAAGGAATATAACTATCCACAATATGGCATTAGTATGGGGTTCCACGGTTTCAGAATAAATGAGATTATTTTAACCCTTGGTAAACCAATCGCATGCGTCTTTTTTAATAAATTTAAAAAGTTATTTTATTCTCTTCTGCATCTTGTGGATTTTCGCCTAGGTGGAGGAAATGACACATTATACCAGTCTTTAAAGACCGACGATGTCATTAGCTTGAAAAGATCCTAAAATTCTGTCGATTCTGTTATTTATTACATGTACATTGAATAATAGCTCATCAGGTGACTATATAAACAAATGATACTGAATGTATATACTGATTTAAACAATTGCATTACTTGATATGCTAGTGATCGAATCTAAGAGTTGGTGTTCTGTTTGCCCGATCCTAAAAAAATATCTCATCTCGGTTATTTTGATGATTTACTAGTACTATTTTGCTATTAGACTAGGTGTATTGTTCAGTGAATATAGGAAATTTCAAAACACTGGGCCAGAGAACTAAAATGTAATACATGTATGTAAATACAGTGAATGAGTTAAATACGAAACAACACAGATATATTTGTTAATTAAGTCCGGTATTTAGCGTGTCTGGTAAACAAAACGATAAAATAGATTACGTGTAGAATTGAATGAAGGGGTGGCCAAATATTCAAAACGGGGTAGTGTCTGGTTTTAGTTCATGAAAATATCGTGCTCTTATTGACAATATTAAATTTCGAACACCATTTACTCTATTTATAATATCGCTTACACAGTTTTACCTAACCACACCATGTTGTCCTCGACATGCCTACGAAACATAAACTTTACAGCAATAACCTGCCCTGGCAAATATTTCGGACATGTCATCACAATAAATTTCCATTTACATAATTAACACTATTATTGATTCTAAGTCTCTGACTTAAGTCTGGGTTAGCAAAACATTACTCAAACTCAACAATCACCATGATGGCCATGATTTGTGATGGTCTATGCAGTTGACAAAACACCGCGGGGTTAATCATATGGGAGATAACTTCAAAAATGTAAGTCCACGGCATGCTTTAAATTCAGCTCATTAAAATGGTGTGCTGTTTTATCGACTGGACTTAAGGCACGCGCTACACTCTGAAAAGATGACAGTTAAGGGGAGATAAATCCAGAATCTAGTACTATTTAAAATATATTAAACAACAACAGCAACTTGTGGTTGGGGTGACCTAATGGTCTAGAGTGTCGCGCTTCGGCCTCTAGCTGGCTGGTCACCTTTGGCTTGCGGTTGTGATTTCAATTCCTGGCGTGAGCGTATGCGGCTTGAAAATAGGGCGCGTTCTCAACCTCGTGGGTTTACTCCGGGTACACCAGTTTCCTCCCACAGGAAATAAAAAAAACATGAAAATAAGACAACTTGTCTGCGATATCACCTTCGGTGGAAGCGGACCGTAATCAGTAAGAACAGCAACAAAAAATCAACCCCAAAAGCGCTCTAGATTTAACAGTTTACTATATAACTTATATCCCCATGCTTTTGTTGGGTGGGGATTATATACTACTAATTATAATAGTCTATACATGTACAATATGTTGGAACTTAAATAAACAAGAACAAATTATAAGACATTTCACATGGTTGCATTATAATATCTAATTTTACAAAATTTAATAGTACTATTTGTCAAATATATAGAAGTGATAAGATGTTTAAAGTTACTTGTATAAAGATATTATACAGAAAAATTTGAATATTGAAGATGAACCTGTAGCTATTTAATGCAATATAATATCACTAAGCTATGATTTTATTCCTCTTTTATTGAAGGCATTCAGCACAATGCATCCAACATTTTCTAAACACTCTTAAATGAAGTTCAATATATGCATTAATATATTAAGTTGAATTTGAATCAGTAATCAGATTTAATAATTGAGATAAATAGTATTGATTAGGAGAATAATTCCGCAATACATATTATGGGAGGCAACTCCATTTTGTGATGGGGGTTTTAAGTCGAAATTATTGGAGTGGTATTTTTGTTTCCTGTGTTGTATTCGTGAATGTTTTGTGACGTAATTATCCGGTGGTGTTCGGCAGCATGTGAACATTGCACTTAATAGATTTGAATCAAACTGATCCGCAGTAAAGTTTCGCTGATGAAATGGACATATAGTTGATGCGGCGTCAATATTAACTTTTTATTCTCTGTCGATAAAATTCTGAACTTTTTTTAAAAATACTTTTAAAAAACAAACCAATGAAAGCAAACATTTATCGTAGTTACTGTAAATGATAAAGCGCATAGTAAGCGCAAGCATTATAAAATGTGTAAAAAGTAACGTTCAACCCAGACCGGTCTTTTCAATTTGGACTGAACAAGTATTTAAAAGAACCTAACGAATTGAAATTAAAACCAGTGGCTGCCAGGCAGGATACGCCCACATTTTCGAGGGATGGATAGAGAACAAGCTAAAAAGAAAGTGATTTTTCCTACAATCAAGGGCCGTAATTCAGGAAATTACAATTCGATATGCGCAAATATCGAAAGGAACCGAGATCTTTGTGTTATAAACTTACATTTCAAGTTTCAACAAAATCGGATAAAAATTGTGACCTCCATAGGATCCACAACCTTGATATACCATATTTTTACGCTATTTGAGAACGAAGGGCGGCAATTTTGTCTGTCAGTTTGGGGCCGATTTTCACGAAATTCGAACTCAGCCGTCCTTATGGTGTAACGGTGATACAATAATACGTTTTTTTAAATCGGATAAAAATTATGACCTCTATAGGGTCCACAAGCTAAAAACGCGATTTTTCGTACAATCAGGGGTCATAATTCGGGAAGTTAAGGTCCGATATGCGCGAATATCGACAGGAACCGAGATCTTTGGGTTATAAACTTACATTTCAAGTTTCAACAAAATCGGATAAAAATTGTGACCTCTATAGGGTCCACAACCTTGATATACCATATTTTTACGCTATTTGAGAACGAACGGCGGCCATTTTGTCTGTCAATTTTGGGCCGATTTTCACGAAATTCGAACTCAGCCGGCCTTAGGGTGTAACGGTGATATAATAATACGGTTTTTAAAATCGGATGAAAATTGTGACCTCTATAGGGTCCGCAAGCTAAAAACGCGATTTTTCGTACAATCAGGGGCCATAATTCAGGAAGTTACGGTCCGATATGCGCGAATATCGAAAGGAACCGAGATCTTTGGGTTATAAACTTACATTTCAAGTTTCAACAAAATCGGATAAAAATTGTGACCTCTATAGGGTCCATAAGCTAAAAACGTGATTTTTCGTACAAACAGAGGCCATAATCCATGAAGTTTCGATCCGATACATGCCAATTTCGAAAGCCGTCGAGATCTTTTGGGGATAAACCTATATTTCAAGTTTCGTCAAAATCGGAGAAGAATTGTGACCTGTAGAGTGTCCACAAATAAGTGTGGACGGACGGACGGACAGGGGCGACGATAATATACGTCCACATGAAAATGTGGGCGTATAAAAATGAATGTAAATTAGCTGATGATATATACATTCATACTATATTAATATATGTGTTTTCGGCGATTTCGAGTATTCTAAAGGGTATAGGGCCTATAACTCTAATATTATCGACAATAAAGTATTGGCATATTTCAATCAATTTCGATACAGTTATATTACCATGAAAATATGGACACGGTGAACATCTTAAAATCAGTTCCGGGCGTCGGGGTTCTCTATGGTCTCCAGCGCCATTTGAAATGAACAAAAAAATATGCAACAAGTCAATTCGAAAATAATTAAAAATGGCTGATCAACGTACGACAAAAAGATAAACATGTTGATTGGACTAACCAGGCGCAGACGACATTTAAGCAGATGTGTAAAAAGTGACGATTCAATTCGGACTGCTCACGCATTTCATCGAACATAACTGATGGGACATTACAATTTTTTAAAAAATGTAATTTAAATTCTAAATAGTGCTGCACGATATATCGTTGAATCGATGTGCCGCGATTCGCGTACACTGTTTCTGTTGTTTGTATTTTTGTCGCTTCAATCAGTAACCTGTTAATTATCCACGTCACACATGGAGTCCAACCATCGAAACAATTCAATTATAAATTGTTATTTCGACAACTAGTTTCATTATATATAACACTCGTTGTTAAACTAAATCGGGGAGATTTCGATTTGACAGTTTTTACGTGTTTTTGGAACAGGTTTCGAAGTGTTTTGGTTCTGTTATACAAGATATTTTTCGACGTTCCAAAGTAAATGTACGGTGCTAAGATCACCTAAAGATATGGCCTACTAAAGTGACGGCAATGTCTGTATGGCTGCCTGTAGATTCCTTTGGCCAAGCCTAGCAAAATATCGAAACTGTCAACCCCATTTAATATTTTATCAAATGATTTTAGCATGTTGGAATATTTGTGATTATAAATATTAAGATTATCTGAATGAATAAAAAAATGTTAGTGGCAAAGAAATGTCAAGGATTTAACATTAAAATTTGGGTCAATGGGTAGTCATTACTAGTCTGAACCCATCAGCTGTGGGGTGATGTAGTCTTTGTTGTCCAAACAAGAGTTACCGTAAGGGAGAATTACGAGTTATCTCCTCACTTCACGCCATCTAGTGTCTACCACTACACGTCACTTGGAATGATAATCATGATTTTGTGTTGACATCGTTGAGAAACTAATAAATATGTAGCAAATATCTTTCATGCAGACTTTATATAATTAGTAATTCAGACAGGCACTAGGACATAATTTTGTCTTCAAAAGGTATGGTTAATTTTTAGAGGAAACTGTCAAATTTGTGTTTGACATGACATAATTTATTGAATGTCGGCCATGATTTTCAGCATCGTTTTCTCAGCTTGATTATAAAATCCATATATTTTGTCAACATATTATCAGTCATTTTGAACTCGTGAATAACATGATAACAGTGTATGTGTAATTTTTCATTAAAGATTAAAGGAATCTAAAATATTTTCTTATATCAAAGATCTGCATACATCAGATATTTAGAATTGGTTCTTTTCATTTCCATTTATTTGGCCATAACATAACTTGACTTCTTTTTTGCAATTTCAGTTTTGGTACCAACCAAAATGAGTCCTCCAAATCGAATTTATATTGTCCAGGGAGAGATCTCCCTGGTGGTGACAGCTATGAAACGCTCATCCAGGTGGAATTCACATAGTATTGCTGTAAGTATCTTATAGGCCTAGACTATTTTATTTTAAGCTTACCATTAGAAGCCATTTAAACTGAATATGGCAAATATAAACATTACTTATTATAGCTTAGTTATTCTATTCAGATCCATAATTGTTTTTAATACATTATTACTTGTTTAATATAAGCGCTCTTGATCATTTAAGGGTGTGCTAGTTTTGTGTTAATGATATTGTCGACAGTCGTACATAACCAGGAGAAACATTTGATACCAGTGTTGGCTGAGAAAGCTCTTCATGATTTTTCAGCGTGATTTCCCTTGTCAGTAGTGCAGTTGGGGGGAGGGGCAGCTTGTTGCTAGAAAAATTGTCTAGACCATGGAATTCGATGAAGAATTGTTAGGCTAGTTGGTGCTGAAAAATATGACATTGAACCTGTTTCATTTTCATGTCATACAATTGTGGGGATTGGTTTACTCCAAAATACAATTTGTTTATTTATTATTTTTATAGGATGAAGATGGAGATCCTCTGTTGTCTGCCTTTTCACAACTTAAAGAGTTATTAAATAATGCTCATGGTAAGTTATATAATGAATGAAACCTATAATGAATCAATTATAGTCTTCAGATACTGTACAAGGACTTATCAACCAGCAATAGGTTGACATCACCACAAGGCAGCAATTGTATAAACACTCCCTTTTTATATGCCCACATGAAAAGTCTGTGAACACCCTACAGACTACACTTATTATCTGATTGTTTTAAATTGGGTATGTTGTTTACATTAGTGAGAAGCATGTTTAATTTCAGTAATTTTCGTTAATTTCTTCTGGAGTTATGGCCCTTATTTCACTTTGTTGCATTTATATGCATCATTTAGATTAGTGAAACGAGGAAGCCTATTGAATTTCAATAATTTCCATTAATTGTTCTAAAGTTATGGCGCTTGTTTCATTTTATTGCACCTTGTTTACGCCCTAATGACAAAAGTTATCATCCGATCTTTATGGAATTTATATGCATCATTTAGATTAATGAAACGAAGAGCCCTAATGAATTTTCCTAAATTACGTCTAGAGTTATGGCCCTTGTTTCACCTTGTGAACGCTCAAATGCCAAAATTATCATCCAATCTGTTTGAAATTTATATGCATCATTTAGATTAGTGAAACAAAGAAGCCTATTGAATTTCAGCAATTTCAATTAAAGATACTTTATGAGAGATTAGATAAAGAGTTGGCAGTTCTCACTATAATAATTAAAAACTAGATAATGTAAAAGGGAACTTGCTGAAAATTTCAGTCAAATTGATTCACTGTGATTTTAGCAATTGAATTTTCGACATAGCCTTGATCGTCATTACTAAAGTCGGTATGATAAAAAACATAGTCTCGATTATCCATTTCATGATTAAATCCTAAATGAAAGTTGATCAGCAAATCGTATAATAATCCAATAAATATCGCTGGCTAGCATTGACATCGGGAGTTGATTATGGTCTGGATAAGTTAATTAATGTCTAATTTTGACTATGTATATATAACATGTAATTGTCTGCGATATCACTTAGGTGGAAGCAGACGTTAAATAAAGCTATTTCACACACATTACCTACACCTCACTTGCAATCACGGCTACTCAGATAACATTTCAGGCCTTAAGAAAGACCTGTACTAGGCAGATTTAGCTCTTGAAGATTTCTACTACATTATTCTGCCAACTAACATCTAAATGAATACATACCTGGTGGCAGTGGTGTTGCAAATACATTTCTAATTCATGTTAATTACCAGAGGTTTTTCTATTTTAGATTTAGATGAACTAGAACCAAATGCTTTCTTAGGTCCATTCCTTGAGGTGATCAGATCAGAAGATACAACTGGTCCAATAACAGGATTAGCATTGACTTCTGTAAATAAATTCCTCTCATACGGTCTTGTTGGTAAGTAATTAAAATGTTCAATAAAAAATGCATCCTAAAAAACTTAATTATGGTTATCTAGATACTTACAATGCCTATGTGTTTGACTTTGATATCGCCATAAAATTCATTTTGTAATTAAATATACCGTACCAACGAAAAAAAAAAGTTGTCTTTTGACAAACACAGGCAATAGTTTGATATTCAATCAAGTAACAGTGTACAGGAATGATTATGTGTGAATGCTCAATTCTGGGCCAAGACTAAAAGCTTATTACTGTAATAAAAGAGGAATTCATTTTTTCAAGAGAGAACTTTCTTATTTTTGGGATTATTTAATTATTCAATGGATTTTATTAAACGAGAGACAAATTCAAATGTATAAAAACCGGAATTAAGTCGTTTGTTCTTATAGGACAAAAACAGTTTATTTTTTTTGGATGGCTCAGACAGTAGATAGATTTCCATAGTGTATGATATATATAGTTATTAGTCTCAAATTTGGACACACCTTACTGTTCGGTAATATAAAAGTTGACAGTTTGGGATGACTGTTAATGATTTATTTATATTTTGATTTTTATCTTGTTATCTGTGTGTGTTTTAATATAAATATAATTTTTGTACAGATCCCCATTGTGATTTATCACCGGCTGCTATAGAGAATACAGCTGATGCTGTAACACATGCTAGATTTGTTGGTACTGATCCCAATTCAGATGAAGTTGTACTCATGAAAATATTATATGTAAGTTGAAAGTCTTCATTTTATTATCCAAATGTAAACTCGTTAACCACTAACTGAAGCAACCAAAACACATCTGTGTTGCCAGCATCATTAATAGAAATAGTTAATATTCTAGCCTCTCAGAGTATTCAAGTAATTACCGTCACAAACAAGGTCTTTTCTTCGGTAAAAGACACAGGACCTATGAGGTTGCAACTTTTAACTGATGTGATATTGTTGTGTTAGTTATTTATCCTTTGTAAATGTTTAGCCTACAAGCATGTTGTGTAGCTTTAGAAACAAATTATAAAGCTACTGAATGTTCAGTTATGTACATTAATTTTATAATAAAACATTAGTTAAAAGGCATTAAATTTTACATAAACTATTAATTAGACATTTATTAATATGACAAGAACATAATCAACTCTCGGTGCCATTGGCTGTCTCCGATATTAAGTAGATTAGAATGGTTCAATTATTTAATGGTTTATTTTTAAAATTGGTTACAATCAATGCACACATCAATGCAATCGATGTCAAACCATCAAAGGCTAATATCTTCTCTCAGAATAAAGTAATTTGAATGAAATTTTCAATATATTCATTTTGCATTATCTATTTTTTGAACTATTATAACAAGGATGGCTAGCTGTTTATTGGTTACTTTAGTAACTAGCTGTTTATCTAAATCTTACATAATGTATCTTTAAAGAAATAAATATTGTGTATATTTTAGGTATTAAGAACTTTATTACTCTGTCCAGCAGGAATATTGTTAACCAATGAATCAGTGTGTGAAATAATGCAGTCATGTTTTAGAATCTGTTTTGAAATGAGACTCTCAGGTAGGTATTGTATTTCAATCCTGATTTTGTTGTTAAAAAGTAGTCTTATGATAAAAGCCATCTACCGATCCTAATGAATGTTATGGCTTCAAAATTCTTATTGATTTCATGACCGTATCTTTTTCTTGGTTAAAGCTTCGGTCAGCTTCTCAAGAATGTTTCATCTCGTATTTATCCATGTACATTTAGGTCAAGATGTTAACCTTTCAACTATTATTTTGTCGGCTACCGTGAGACTTTTATCAGGTAAATGTATTGCACAGTGTAGATACTTAAACATGAAGATATTGAGAAAGTTTTTGATACAGTTTTTAATTTATAAATATTTTGTTTAGAATTTTTGAGAAAGTCTGCAGAACATACTTTAATGGATATGGTACAGCTTTTATTTACAAGATTACCTGTATTTAAAGAAGATCCTAAATGGAGTGCTACCATGAAAAAGGTACCGGTAAGATGATAAATTTGATACAAAGTTCAGATCCCAAGTCATTTATTATAAAATAAATAATGCTAACTAGTAGTTATGAGCTAGGGTTTTTTTCTGTTTATGTAACTTGCCAAAGCTCAATTTGTTATTTTAGTTTTTATTTAACATACACTTTACCATATTTTTTAAAATGTTTCAGTTAAAGATGCGTGCCGGTAGTGTAGATCCATCAAGGATGGGTAAAAGAAAACGATCACCTAAACCGCGGGTTAAAAGATCACAAGTACCATCCCAAACTGTAGATAGTTCTAAAACCGAGACACTGGTGGAAGAAAGTGGTGAACAGAACTCCGATGGAAGTCAGATTCCTGAATCGACAGGGTTTGAGTATGTTACATCTGATAGAATAGCTACTACACCAGTAGCATCAGATGAGGGTGTTATTGATATAACAAAAAGTTTTCAGGTTCGTATATACACATAATAAGTTGTCATTGGTTAGGCCTAAAAAAATATTTTGGTTATTTTTATACGTCCACATTTAATAGGAACTTCTATTGTCGTCACCTCGGTCTTTTCACATTTTATTGTGAGGCACTGCAGATCATTGAACTTGATGGAATTTTCTGAAACTTGATGAGGGGATGGTTCATCATACCATAAGGAGAAGAACCCTGTCAATATTGATAATATTATCTCTCTTTTATTGTCCCCCGCCTTTCGAAAAAGTTTCATTAGGTGATTGCCTTGATGGATTTTGAAGATGAGCATTTTCTGCTTGGGGTAAGCAGAGATAAGCAATTTGATTGGTTGATTCATTGGAACACGATAACTTTAGTTTTAATTATGGGAGAGTGATGAAACTTGTGTGTAGTTTCATTACATCAATACCTTGACTAAGTTCGATAATGAGCATATTCTGCTTAGGCTAAGTAGCGATAAGCATTTGATTGGTCGAGACTTTGAAATGTAATAACTGCTTTTAATTGATGTAGATGTTCATTAGGTGAATGTCTTGACTGAGTTCATTGGTTGATGCTTTGGGACAAGATAACTTTGATTCTAACTGATGGAGAGTGATGAAACTTAGTGTATAGTTTCCCTACCAGGTACTTCAAAACCTTGACTGAGTTTGAGTTTGATCTTGAACATTTTATGTTTAGACTAAGTATAGATAATCAGTTCAATTGCTCAATAATTTTGAAAAAGATAAATGTGCAATTAATCAATATGAGTCATCTATTTATTTTGGGATTTCGGCGGGGGACATCAGTAACACTGTTGATTTGTTCTTTTGAATCTTGTGGACAAGATACAGGAATTGTTTTGAGTGGGCATGGACGTCTTTAGTACTTTAGGACATATTAGATGGCCCATAAACCCTCTGTTTGATTTTGTTTACTATGGTCAAATGTAAAGTGATAGGGAGGAAAATCTTGCACACGCAATTGCATAATCATCAACTTGTCCTCACATTCTAGTTCTAAACGGCTCTTTTATCTGCACACCAGTGAGTCCCCTTCAAATGCTAGTCAGCACTGAACAGTATGTACCATAGATATCTGGAAATTGGAATAGGACCACAATGGAATTCAGACACAATTTGTGGCCCCTTTCTACAGTGTATTAAATTAAATGAATATAATGATATACTATATATGATAATATATTTTGAGCAGGCAGCAAGTATAGCTGAAGAAGCACAAGATAATCTAGCTGAAACACAAGAAACAGAAAATCGACAGACTGGTGAAGAAATAGATGACAAAGAATCTATGTATATAGATACAGATAAAAAACATGATACACCTATAGTAACATTAACAGCACCACCTGATGATAACTTAAAGGTATGATATTATAACATAATACACCTATAGTAACATTAACAGCACCACCTGATGATAACTTGAAGGTATGATATTATAACATAATACACCCATAGTAACATTAACAGCACCACCTGATGATAACTTGAAGGTATGATATTATAACATGACGCATCTCTTGTTTTATTAATCTATATTAAATGTTTCATTTGCTGAAAAATGTGCTAGAATGACTTTGTTTTGGTAGAAATTTCATTTTCTTTCATTGATAAAATTTATTTTCTAGACGGCATCCAGTGAAACAGAACTGAGTGTAGCATCTGAAAATTTTGATGACAATGAATCAATTAATTCAGTAGATAATTCTGTACATGATGGTGATTTTGTTAATCCAAGAGGTATTAGATTTACACAACCACATTATCATCATAAAGAAGGTAAGTGTCTTTATTTTGCTGCAATTTAACAATTTCCTAATGTGTGAAGTGTAATTTTTAAATACTGTTTGAAAACAAGATTGTCTTGTAGTTACTGGAAGATCTGTTTGTAATGTACCGGTACACTCTTTAGACTTTGACTTGTTTTGTGGTTTATTTTTAAAGATAAAAACATTACTCTATTATCTCCAGATTAACTCCATGGATCATTACGCCAATGTATTTACAAATGTCTTTAATTTTTCTGTAGGGTCTGGTCCATTAATACCATATGGTTTACCATGTGTCCGTGAACTTCTGCGATTTGTTGTATCTTTGTGTAATCCTATCGACCGCCATAATACAGATGTGATGATCCACATGGGTTTAAGTTTATTAACAGTAGCACTAGAAGTAGGAGCTGATCATATTAGTTCCTTTAATTCACTATTATATCTCATTAAAGATGATACTTGTAAAAATCTGTTTATGGTAAGTCACTGAAATTTACAATTACTCCATGTTGATTCTTGATTATACAGGTGTACAGAATTAAAATTTGTTATTTGGAAAAGGTTGAACTTTGCGAAAAGTTTAATTTAAACTCCACATATTTATCTAAAGTATTTCCCATTGAATATCTCATCCTGATGTATTTTAGTTCCATGAAAGATCTTTCCAGATATTTTTCCCATTAAATATCTAATCCTGGTGTATTAAGACTTATGAAATGTGTGTTGTAAACTGAACAGAATAAACCTATTATATCTGAATATATTTATTAAAATGTGTTTGTCCACTTGATTTAATAATATTTTTGTAATTTTTGTGATATTAGATTTTATCAATGGAGAGGCTGTCGTTATTTGCTGCATCTTTACGAGTTTGTTTTCTCCTCTTCGAATCCATGAGAGGTCATCTTAAATTCCAATTAGAGGTAAACAAAAAATGTTTGTTCTTTTTGATAAATGAATTCATATTATTCACTTTGTATAATAAACATAGCCATAGAAAATTTGTATTAATGTAATTTGTTGTGATATGCCAATCGACTGCTCTCATAAATATTCCTTTCAGATTCCATCTTCATTAGCCCGGTTGGTGCACCCCATTTTATTTTCATTTTCCTTTCAGATATTCCTTACAAAATTATGTGATATTATAGTATCGGAGGCTCCTAAAGTGTCCTATGAAACACGAGAAGTGGCATTAGAGTGGTTAGTACAGTTATGGAGAATTCCAGGTCTAGTAACAGAACTGTACCTTAATTATGACTGTGATCTCTATTGCTCAAACCTATTAGATGATATAACCAAATTAATTTCTAAAGTAAGTATTCTTTTATATATATTTATAAGATATTTTCAGTTTTAGACATTTATATTATTTTTACTATTCAACCTCATTGTAATGTTCTCATTAATCAAAGTGATTAGCATGTGCATTATAAGCTCATTAACCATAGCTATACTTATTAATATTATGGTAAAGTGATGTTCCTCATTGTTAAGATCGATTTTAGAGGTAGGCTTTCTCTTGAAACCTTTGAAGTAACTTGACAAGTGAACTTGATGGACCAATGAAAACAATCTCTCTTAATTGCTGTCCAGGTGTGGTATTGATTAATAAACTGATCATGCACTCTGCCATTGCTTTGAGAATATGAGTTATTTGTATTCAAATATATTGTATTTAAATATATCAAAGAATTTAGTGTTATGGTTAATGTCAGATATCATGGTGTAATGATCCATGGTGTTAATCTGGTGATGGGTTACAACTTTAATGTACTGTAATATTATTTGAATTTTTATTTCAGAATGCATTTCCAGTATCCGGTTTATATACAACTCATCTGTTGTCATTAGATGCTCTGTTAACTATGGTAGATAGTATAGAACAACATTGTCATAGTAGAATCATCAGTTCCAATAAAACATTTACTAATAATACAGATAAACCTGATGATACTGATGGTGCGTAAAACTTTTGTTAACGATTGTCAAAATCACTTTAAATTCTGCGAATAATGACTCTACACAATCTGGGCTCCCAGAGAGAAGTTTACTCTTTGTTTCTGTCTGGGGGATCACTCCTGCAATTAATCATCCTGAATTCGGTTTCTAAGCTCCTCCCCCAGTGGCTCCTGATTTGCTGGATGTGTTTGAATGAAGTGCTGCCAATTGCTTGACAATTAGGCATCGGTTCATCGGATGAGTTACATATTAATGATCCTTGGTCTCTACAGATGACAGAAAACATGCACACCAATAACACATTTACTTTAACTGCAGTAGAAAATAATATGACCCATTTGTTTCTCCATATTACAATTTTTAATATTTGAGATTGCAATACATCGCAGTGGAAATGAAGAAATATACCGTTATGTTTGTTATTATAGATAAAACAAATTTCGAAGTTCCTACTAATACAGACAGTGATATTAATAATGATGTTAATCAAACAGGTCCACCATGTACTGGTTATGGTATGGCTCAGTTACTAAGGAAAATAGATATTTTTAAAGGTATTGATATACTCTTTATGGATTACCAAAAAGAAATCAAAAATTATTATTGACACAATCACAAATAGTTTTGATTAAAGATAATTTATATTCATGATTTTATGTATTATTCACGAAAACTTCATTATTTCTTATAATCTGTAGATCAAACGAAACCTAAGGATTCTCGGAAAGGTCCTCAAATTAAACCAAATAGAATGAAGATAGCTCCAAGAATCAACACCTCACAAGAACTGGCAGCTTTAAAACAAAAGAAAAGAGTAAGTTCATACACACAATATTTTGAGATTTGTCAGAATTGTTTAACTAAGTGTAGTATTAAAATTCTTGTTCATCTGTTTTACGCATAGTTATTGTCCTTGAATTCCACCTTTCAAAATTATAGGTATGCCCTTGCTAAATTTCTTTACAAAATAACTTAAATGTATATATCATAAGAGTTATTCATATAAAAGATCACTTTATTATGAATTGATGAGCTCTTTCAGACTTTCTTTAATTTCTTTATAGATTTACCATCTAGGTACAGAACAGTTTAATATAAAGCCATCTAAAGGCATAGCTTATTTACAAGAACAAGGTTTATTAAAGACACCTTTAGATATAGGTGAAATAGTTACCTTCCTTCGCGAGAATCCTAAACTAGATAAAAAGATGATTGGTGAATATATTTGTAATAGAAAGAATGCAGCTGTACTGAAAGCATATGTCAAGTAAGTATATATGGTCATCCAATATGATGCCCACAATAACCTTTGACATCTTTATATATATTCTGCATTTTGTTGTAGAATTTACTGCAAAGTCTGTGACGCATGAGGATTCTTTCTTTTAGTTACAAATTTGTGGTAGTGATGTTCTGAGTAAGATTTGTAATGGTCTGGAATCTTTGCCCAAAAATTCCCACAAGTCTTTTAAATTGTTAACTCTTCATAAACCTACAGATAATACAAATCCTGAAATTGAGTTTCCCCACCTTTCTTCTCATATCGTCTCTACCCTTCTCTCTCCTCAGATCATTTAATTTTGAAGATTTACGAGTAGATGAATCGTTACGTCAATATCTAGAAGCTTTCCGTCTGCCCGGTGAAGCTCCAGTTATTTCGTATCTTATGGAACATTTTGCAGAACATTGGTCGGTATGTTGATTATCTTTTATTATTTTCCCATTTCAATTATCTTATTACATTTTATTTGTGGGAAATTATTGCCATGTAAATTACTGTGTGATATTTTGTAGAATTTACATTTGCCATCAACACCTATTGGTATTAAATGTTTTGAAACCTATTTGTTACAGTTATCAAATGGTGAACCGTTTGCTAATGTTGATTCAGCTTTTACCTTGGCATATGCTATAATTATGTTAAATGTAGATCAACACAATCATAATGTTAAAAAACAGAACACACCTATGGTATTTGCTGTAAGTATGTTTATTGTATTTATTTCCACTTTATCAAACTTCTCTTGTATGTAATACTAACAACCAGAATTCAGTAACTTTATAACAATATTGAAGCTGAATCTGACAGATGGGATAATACTTGCACTAATTTTATTTTGTCATCTTCAACTTAGTAGGCATCAACTAGATTTCAGATCTTTGCACTTTTATTTTTTAATATTGACCAATACTCATGTTATTGTAGGAATTTAAGAAGAATTTATCAAAAACTAATGGTGGGGAAGATTTTGATGAAGATATGTTAGAAGAAATCTATAATGCTATCAGGTAAAAATTTATAAAGTAAGGTAACAATTTGTCATGAGCAAAATGCTAAAATATCTGATAATGATGTTAGATAAACATTAATAATTGTAGGCAGCAAAGCGAATTAGTTTTTGAAAAATAAATTGTGCACCATGTTTCAATTTTTGTCACCATCAGTTGAAAATTTGCTTTTTGTCTTGATGTAATAATTTATAGAAATAACAATTCATACAGAAATATCTATTATAGTGAATCAATGATTATTTTGAGTTTGATTGTGTAGGTGCGTCATGGCAGAAAAATAAGGTTGTCTTTTTAATGTCTATGAAAATAGTTTTTTATTTATATACTCATAAAGTAATAGGTAATAGTAATTAATTACTTTCAGTGTAATGGATAATGGTAATTATTTACATTGCTAAAAATGAGAAAGTAATTGTAATGATTACATTTAAAAATAATGGTAATGTGATTCATTACATTGGCAATGTAATGGCCCCAGCCCTGACTAAATAAGAAGACAAATTCAACTGTCCACTATGTGATGATGATGCTATTTAACATTACTAAATACTTTTTATGAATATTACTGTTACCTGTAAATAGAAATTTAATAGTAATGAAGATTCTAGATAAACTTTAGATATATGTGTATTATGTTTGTATATTATAGAAATGATGAGATTGTAATGCCATCAGAACATACAGGTTTAGTGAAAGAAAATTATTATTGGAAGGTAAAAAATTTTAGCACTGTGAACCCATATGTATGTATATTAGTTACCAAAACCTTGGCTCACATTGAGATGTGTATACTCACATTGAGATGTGTATACAATCAAAAAGTACAATTTAAATCATTACTTATTCTTTAGGGTGTGTACTACAACAAATTGTCTTTAGGTCTCTAAATTTAAAAAAGGTGTGGTAAAGGTAATTCTCACATTTGAAAGTCTCTCGATGTCTCTTTCCAGCAATCTTTACGAAGAGGTGCTACTAAAGAAGGTGTATTTTTACATGCACCTACAGGCATGTTAGATCATGAAATATTTTCATTAATATGGGGACCAACAGTTGCTGCTCTGTCATTTGTGTTTGATAAAAGTGGAGATGAAGCTATAATAAACAGAGCTATATCTGGCTTTAGGTGAGATTTTTTTTGAAAAGTTGAAAATTGTCAAGAAATGTTTGTCAATTAAATATTAATTGTTCTGAAATATCAGAATTTTAAATTGACTTTATATATTATTTTTTTTTTTTTTTACAGAAAATGTGCAATGATTTCAGCTCATTATGGTATCAGTGATGTATTTGATAATTTAGGAATATCTTTGTGTAAATTTACAACATTATTAAGCTCGGCTGAGGTGAGTTAAAAAAAAATAATAGGTTTGTAATGAAAAGTATTTTGAATATAGTAATAGAAATTTAATAATTCAGATAGTTAAGATATTCTGAATTATCATTTGTTGTCTATGATAATACATGTCACCAAGCTATAGTAAGATATTAAAACAATGTGACATTTTCACAATTAGATGTGTTTCTATTCATTGCTTTTATGAACATAGTAAAGTATATGTGCAGATTTATGCTTTACAACATTATTTCTCATGATGAATATATATCAAAATATTTTATTAACATAGGCTCCAGAAAATATTCCTACATCGTTTGGTAGTAATTTTAAGGCTCAGTTAGCTGCTAGAACTGTATTTGCACTGGCTCATAGGCATGGTGATATATTACGTGAAGGCTGGAAGAATATAGTAGATTGTATGTTACAGTTATATAGAGCTAAATTATTACCACAGAGTATGATAGAGGTAAGAATATAGTGGATATTTCAATTATATAGAGCGTAATAACCATTACAATTATGTAGAGGTGAATAACCATTACAATTATGTAGAGCTGAATAACCATTACAGTTTCATGTGTATAATAATTCTTGAATAAAGATTGATTGTTCCTATTGGAATTTGGTGTTTATGGGAGGCAAAATGGAGCTTATATGCTATTCACTGCAAACTGAAATATGAAATAAAGATTAATGATGAACAGACGCAAAAACTGTTAGGTTTAAGAAAAGGTATTGACCTTCGTGAGTGCCTAATATATAATGTTAATGAATTTTAGATTTTCATCATTATGTATGATAATTTTAGGTAGAAGATTTTGCGGATGCGTCTGGTAAAATATGTATAGTTAGAGAAGATAATACAGCCAACCAAAGGTATATCATCAACTTATTCCTCAAACAGATGATTATTTAGATGAATATTAGTAGACATTAGTATAAATTAAAAAAATTGCAGTTGAGTATCCAATAATGAAATAAATGTTCATTGAAGTTTAATAAAATTATGTTGATATATTGTGTTTCAGGTCTGATGCTGGTGTATTTAGTAGCTTCTATTCATACTTTTCGTTGTCTGAATCTTCCAATCAGAAAGGTCCAACACCAGAAGAACAAGATGCCGCAAAACAAGCACAGCAATGTATAGAAGCTTGTCATCTAGATATGTTGATTATGGACAGTAAATTCCTAAGAGAGGAATCCTTACAAGAACTGGTGAAGGTATATATTCTATGAATATTATTCTGGAGTTTTTTTATTTTAATGACTATTATTTTATATAGGGTGGAATTGTTCTGTACTAACTGGGCGATATCTCTGGAAACATATCTCAATATTTTCTGATAATATCGCAATATAATAACTATATCGCAATATTTTATTAAATGTCAATTTCAGTTTATCACCTTTTAAATGTAAATAAACATGCTTAAAAATTTGGACATACCCCCAGAGTATTCACTTGACACTTTGTATTCAATATTATTAAAATTTTGTCATAAATACAGACAAAATTTTCAAACAAATTTAATGAGCAAGTTAAAACATAGATCTATATAAAGAGTAACAAACGGTAAGTACACGAAACTAAAACAATAAACAAATACAATTATTAACAATAGCCACAAAGAATTGCTAAAAATGTTGGTCTATGTTGTTGTTTATTACTATTTTAATTTCCAATTAATTAATTACATTTCATTTAAATTAAGAATATTTATATATGAAGGAGGCATAAAAAAGTAAAAAACATAAAAAAGGTTGTGTTCTTTCACCGTGCATGGGTACGGATGGATGCTATTCATTTACCCTATTCATTTACTCTTACAATAATGAATACTAATACTAATATTTTTCTGAAGACAGTATTTTTGACAAATTTTTCTTTCTGTGACGGTTTTATACCGAGAAACCCAAATATCACCCAGCTCTACTAAATCTGTCTTATTCCTGTTTTAAAATTCATTGACTGTAGATATTGTTTTAGGTAGCAATAAGTGCAATTATGGATAATACAACTATATTATTATAATTACAGGCTTTAATAGTAGCATGTCAAGGTAATGAAGATCAGGCAGCTTTAACTGGTCATTATGATGAAGATGCTTCCGTGTTTTTTTTAGAGCTTCTAATAAAAACAGTTTTACAGAACAGGTACTTATTTTATTCTCCTGTACATATATAAATTATCTAATATCTTCGTCATTATATTTACATTATTAAAAGATCTGTTAGTAAAGCCAGATAAAGACTTTAAATGGCCTTATCAGTTATGTGTGTTTTTATTTTACAGAGATAGAGTGAACCTTATATGGCAGGCTGTACGAGATCATCTGTGGAATATAATTGTGAATGCGAATGAACATTCATTTCTTGTGGAACGTGCAGTTGTAGGCTTGTTAAGATTAGCTATTAGATTGTTAAGACGAGAAGAAGTGGCATCAGAGGTTTTAACCTCACTCGGGATGTTGTTAATGATGAAGCCAGAAGTAATTCACAATATTAGTTGTCAAATAGCGTTTGGTTTACATGATTTATTACGGACTAATGCAGCTAATATACACTCTAGTCATGACTGGTATACGTTATTTATGACATTAGAAGTTGTAGGCGCTGGTGCTAATCCTCCACCATTAATGCAGGTTCGCTCTGGTATCAATGTTAGAGAATCATTGTATGATGCTGGTATGTATTGTTTGTTATTTATTATTTTTCTATTGTGAAGATGAATTGAACATAAAAAAGGTCAAATTCTCTCAGAAACAACTCATGTGAAAACACATTATTATAGTAAGCATTGCTGGGAAATTTAAAATCTGGTTGTCAAAGAAAATAAAAAGTCAAATTATTTTTTGGGCAGTGAAAAATTGAACAGTGACATTTTTAAAGGGACAGTCTCAGAAATGGTCACATTTGCATAACTTATTTAAAGAATTTCATTCTTCAGTTGTACAAGTTACTTGATGATTGTGACTATAATTTTGCAAGGTATAACATCATTATCTAGGCATTTGGGGATCACATGGGAATTGAAACTATTTATTTGTCTGAAAACGTATCACAGTTAGTTGCACTGGATTTCGATAAGTCTTCCTCTCCAAATAAACAGTTTTATTCACTAAAATATATCTGGTATTGTTCCATTTATCTGTGATGGACTCCAATATTTTCCATTGGATCCCACAGGTATCTTTAACATTCAAGTCGTTATTGTAGCACAGTAAGACCCCCACCCTATCTATGGTTTGCCCCTGACTGGGTAATATCCTATTCCAAATTCTATTACATGTTTTTGATTTTACAGGTGCTCAGAGTGATAGTGAAGTACAGTGTAATAATGGCCATAATGAAACTAATGATAGAGGTTATACATCAGATGGTGAGTTATATGAAACGCAGAATAAAAGAGTTGGTTCTTCTTCACCAGAATTACAACTACAACTTAGACCTGTACCAGATAATGGTAGTTGGCTTTTGGTATGTATAAAGAAGTCTCAGTTTTCACTAGTCTTTCAGAATAACACATATGCAGATCAAAGTCCAAAATGTGAAGAAATAGCTTAATCAAAAAAAAGTTTCAGCACAAAATATGGAACCATAACTTTCAAAATCATATTAGTCTCTAGGAAACGACAAAAAAAAAAAAATAAACAGATAGCTATAATTTTTCATTGGATTTGGGAATGCGTCAAGTTGTAGACAGGGTTTATACAGGCACATTTTGCTAGTTAAGTAGACGAGCGAAGCTTAGACCCTGTTGGTTTCTAGGGACAAAAATAAATTTTCTGGTTGCACCTGATCTAATTATATCTTTTACTTTTTAACACTTAGTCTTTTCAAAGTATTTTAATATGATATGAAGGATATTTACTGAGACTTATTGGTTGTCAAAGAATCAAGGGTAAGCCTAAAATCAAGAATTGTGGCCTTGTTAAGAACACCATATATGTTTTCTAATAATGCAGAAAAGTTAAATTATGTGTTTTATGGGTTTTTTTTAGGTAAATAAAGAAGACCCACCATCAGGAGCTCAACTGAAGAAATTAAACCAGTTTTCCATAGACCTCAATGAAACTCTCCATTATTGTGACAGTAAAGCATTATTAAAGTCTTCAGAAACTCTTTCCTTTCTGGTGCGTGATGCAGCTCATATAACTCCTCATAATTTTGAGAGCTGTGTACATGCTATTAGAGCATTTGTTGAGGCCAGTTTAAATGGAGGTAAGATGTGATGATATTCAGTTCTTGACCTTAAGTTTTATACAACAGAAGGGCAAATACCAATGAATTTTGCTTGATTGCCAGGCAGCCTAGGAAAGTGGCTGAGGAATCTGCCAATCATTAATGTCAAACCTTGATATTAAACATTTAATAGTTTAGAATTGTAAAATAACAGTTAGCCAACACTGTAACAGTATTACCTGGTAAATTGTTGTTAATATTTGGAGCTCGACTTTTCTTTCTTTAGCAGTCAAATAAAAATATATTCAGTAAAAGGTTTTTGAAATCTAACTGTGAACTAACTTTATTACTAATATTGTTGTATTTGATTTGTGATACTAGATGTAGATGAATTATTTATTGTATTTTAGGACATTTGAAAACACCAACCCGGCAAGTACAGAAGGAAAAGAAAGCTCATCATAAATTAAGTCGTTCCAAAAAAGATCACAATAAAATGAAGAAATCAATGTCATCACCAGGTGTATCATTAGTTGGTAATTCTGATGATGAAGGTGAAGGAGAGGGAAGTTCTGTAGGACTACCATCTTTATCGATACAATTATTAGACTTGATGCATACATTACATACACGGGCAGCTTCCATATTTAGTTCATGGGCAGAAGAAGATAGTGCACGAATAGATGCTGGTACAAGTTCATTGTGGGCTAAATGCTGGTGTCCTTTATTACAAGGTAATTGTGTTTCTAATACCTCTTTGATATATGTCTCCATTAAGGTGTCTTGTGTTCTGTACATGATACGCTGATCCTTAATAGATTTTTAAATGAAAACATTCTCCATACTTGTATGTCAGTAAAACTATTCAATCTGATAGATTTATTACTATAGTTGTAAGTAGAGCTAAGTAACTCCACCCTTCAACAAGTCCTATTCTGTATTATAACTTGTGTTTAATTTTACATGTTTTAAGGTATAGCACGATTGTGTTGTGATTCAAGAAAACAAGTAAGAAGTCAAGCCTTAACTTATTTACAACGAGCTCTATTAGTTCATGATCTACAGACATTGTCAGCTGTAGAATGGGAAGCTTGCTTTAATAAGGTTAGTTATTTTTAAAATAGTTTATCTAATTAAATAACTTCTATACGCAGTAGTCTGTCTTAAGTCAATTTGATGATTCATTATCATATACAGATTGTTTTTATTCATAATGATTAATTTGTCTCTAGGTATTGTTTCCATTATTGACAAAACTGTTAGAAAATATTAACCCACAAGATCCTAGTGGTATGGAAGAAACTAGAATGAGAGCTTCTACTCTTCTTTGTAAGGTAAGTTGTAATATTAATTGTATATTAATTGTAACTAAAGGAATATATTATATTCATACATAAAGCCCACTTGCAGATCATGGTATATTATGTAAATGTTCTATAAACTATTTTAATGATCATCAGTTAATCAATCATCATACTCCTGTACAAGAGATAAATAATTTGTAATTTATTGTTTGATAACATCTAGGTGTTTTTTCAGGTTTTCTTACAACATCTAAGTCCACTCTTATCACTGACAACATTTACAGCTCTATGGTTAACTATACTAGACTTCAATGAGAAATATATGCATGTTGATCGTAGTGATCTATTGGTAAGTTTTTATATATATATACCAGAAAGATGCCAAACTGTATTAGAAACTCTGTGATTTAGTAATGCAGGGTCAAGAATAACCAGTATTATTATTTCTTAGGATGCCGGCAAAGAGACAAGAATAAGTCATTGTGTGGGGTATAATGAAAGAACTATCTTAAAGTCTTGAAACAAAAGTAGTAAACAGCTGTGAACTACTATATATTACACATTTCTGATATCCTTCTTCTCTTGTATTAAATAGTATGTGATATAAGATAAATACTGTAATCATTTATATTATTTAGTCAGAAGCTATTCCTGAATCATTAAAGAACATGTTATTAGTGATGGAAACAGCCAGTATATTTCACACACCCGATGGCGTGGAAACAAACTTGTGGAGACTTACATGGGATAAGATTGATACATTTTTACCTCATTTAAAAGAAGAGCTTTTCAAGCCAGGTAAATAATTTTTGCCATTGTTATGGAAGGTTGTTTTATAGTCTTATACAACAATATTAAATTAATCATGTATCGATATATAGAGACGTTGTCATTTACTTAAAATATTCATTTGTACTTTGTCATATTGTTGAGTTATTAGGATTTAATATCTTATTTATAAACAATGTTGTAGAACCGAAGACAAAAGATATGGAACGTACAGAAACGAGCAGTAATAATAATAGTAGTGTAAATAAATCTAGTACAGTAGAAAAGCAACAGCCATTACCAGATGTACCACTAGAAGGTATTACAGTTATAAAAGGTGAATATAATCAGTAATTTGTTTTTTAAGTTGCATTTTTCTCGATAATCCTATAGGAAAAAATTGATTTACTTTTTGTTGTCATAAAAGTTACATCTTCCATTTACTGTAAAGGAAAGAGGAGAGTCTGTTTTTTGTTTTAAACATTGATTTGGGAACTAGTTAGCTGAAATATAAGTTTATGGGCACATGTGTGGTATATGTGCAAATCAGGGTGAACCTAGGAATGGTTTGAAATAAATGAACCTGAACAAAGGGTATGTACTCCTAAAAATATGGATTTCTGATTGATAGACATATAGGATTTATATTTGAATTACAGATGAAGGTTCTCAGTCACCAGCTAGAGCCAGTAGTCCACTCATGTCACAAGAACCAACGACTGGATCAGCTTATATATTACATCCACCTTTACCAACAGTTACATCTATAGGTGTTCCTAAAACAACAATTAATAGTAGTAAGCACCCTCCCATACTATTAACACGTGATGTCATGTCATCTTCTGCTAATTATATAACACCACAAGTGAGTACAATCAGATACTGAGGTTCTGTTAATTATACCCTAAAATAAGATAAAAAAAAAAATCTTCTTACAATGGTCATTAAGAATAACATTTTTATTTCAACATTAGGTCTACTGTGTTACAATTAATGTTTCTAAGCAATAAACACATTGAAGTGTTTAGTTTACCATTTTGAGTCTAAATGATTTCTATCAACAAGCCAATAATAAAGGAGATTCATGTTACTTTGCATGATCTAAAACATTACTATGGTAACTCAGAATATATTCTATTGAAATATCTAACAAGCATGAGATATTGTAATTTTTCTGAAGTAAAATAATTTTTACAGACCTCATACATGTATGTACGACTACTTACTTGGATGGTTATTTATAGTATTGCAAATTAATGTTCTGTGCTTTTGGTGTTCTGTAGTTTCATTGTATACTTATTGTCCTCCGCTTTTTGAAACAAAAGAACTCTGCTTTTAATTGAGGTAGAATATTCTAACTTTGTATAGATGTTCATTTATATGTATGTCTTGGCTAAGTTCGATGATGATCACTTTCTGGTTAGGCAATTTGGTTTGTCAATGCTTTGGAACATAGCTTTGATCTTGAGTGATGAAACTTGGTCTATAGTTTCATTACATGTATATCAACACCTTGACTTAGTTCAGTGGTGAGCATTTTCTGATTAGGCTAAACTAAAGATAAGCAATTTGATTTTTCAGTGATTTTGAATAAAATAATTCTGATTCTCCTAAGTGAGAGTGATGAAACTTGACTAAGTTTGATAATGAGCATTTTCTATTTATTTTGGAATTAAGGCGGGGAACATCAGCCTTACTGTTGATTTGTTGTTCTTACATTTCCTCTAATAACTACAAGTTTTCAGTACTAACTCACTAATTTATTTAGTAATACTTTACTCTATTTATTTCCTAATCTGTAATCAGTTTGTTCGAACCAACAATTATTTATTTCATTGCATTTTATGTTGATCTGTTTTCGGGATAACAGTCTGTTGTAGATATTATGTCTTGAGATAAAGCCAGAGTTTAGATATAACCGATTTTGTGTTCTATTGTCAACAGAGTAAGCCGCATAACTAAAATTAGTAAACAAGATGACCATTACCTGTTGCTAATTGAAATAGTAAATTGGATCAGAACTTTATTTTGAAAAGGTTGAGAGAATACCCTTCAAAACGTCACCTAAATAAATCAGGAATTGTTCTTCCATAAGTATGTGTTATAGTATAATTCAAGAGATTTAACTAATTTAAGGCTTGTTTTCTATATACCCTGTGTATTGTATAAATGTATCTAATCTTTATTGTAATTTCTGTATAATTGCATAGATGTAGTAGTAACATTCATTAATGTAATAAAATTCAATTATTATTCTACTACCATAACTAGATATTTTGATTTTCTATTGTAATTCATGCCAGTGTGAGAAATGTATTATACTTTCAGTCCTTCACTAACTTTTTGATTGTCATCTAATTTGTTATTTGTGCATCAATGATCATCATTTCAGGAATTTATTATCCATTGCAAATTACAATATTGTGAAAGTTGAATCTCTAAAACAAATAGCAGTTCAAAAATTGAACTGAACTTTGGAAAATTTTGGCATCCTCTGCAGATAATATAAACAGGATATGGTTAAAACAAGCCAGTATTTTCATTAAATTCTTTCTATAGACCTGTTTTTAATTCAATTGAATCGAAGCCGAGATATTATCTACCATTGATATATTGATGTTAAATAATCAATTTGAGTACATTTTAGCATGGAATTAAGCTCTAAAAAAATATTGTTCAAAATATGCAAATGATGATCAGCAGTTTTAACTCTAATTACATTATACACCATTGTAATATTAGTACACCTTTGGGTTTTGAATTGTCAAGAATCAAGAAAAAAAAGATTCTCTTATATTAATTATTTTGAGAAAAAAAATGATCTTTGATTTTATTTTCAGATGAACCTGGAGAAACCAGCCCCAGTGCTAGTGATAGAAAATCCCCAGTAAGTGGAATAACTAAACCAGCTTCTATAATACATACAATATAATAAAATTGCAGTGCAAATCTTACACCAAAAAAGAAAGATTGAAATTCCCTGAAGGTCATGTCAACTGAACTCAACTTGATTTTTAAAAAAGATACATGTTTTAATTATAGTCAACAGGTACAATAATTATGCAAATATATTGGGTAGCTATAATAATAATGTGTATATATATATATAAGAATGAAATCTGTACATATTTCTATATATGTTAAATATATTACTACAGCAAATATTATATATGTATAAAACACCTTAAATTTCATCTCATTTTTATGCATATTACAATATCCACATTTTTGCCAAAATATATTCTTTTAGTGTACTATATTTTTGGTGTACGAGAAGTAGCTTTTTTACTAAAAAAATAAATAAATATTAACTTCCAACTTCTTTTAAGAAAATCAGAATTTCATTGATTTATCCTTCTTTTTGATGCAATCACTGGTAGAGCTTTTACCACAAACACTCAGTCAATTCTGATGCAACAAGTTTTTGGATACCTCCCCACCCCTCAAAAAATGAACAAAAAATGAACATAGCTTATGGGCTGTATTGATAATTCATTTTTCAATCGGTCAGCTAAAGATATTGTGTTGTGTTTTCTTTTTTCTGGTTAATTCTGTATTTTAGGTTTAATTACATATTTAAGTGCATCTATGAATTGTTTGCTAAAATATTTTATGTCATGTAAGTATCAAATGTTATTTATTCATTGTCTACATAGTACATATATGTATGTGAAGTGCTAGTTGATGTGTAATAATAAAATTCAATATTAAGTGTGATACAGTATCTTAATACCTATTTAGTCATTATTTAAGTGTATATATTAATTAAATTGTTAATTATTTATAATACTATTTTAATAATAATTAAAAATTTTATTAACATAATAGATGTATGCTTAATGTTGGAATATTCTGACCATTGGGACTGTGAATATGTAAAGGGTATATCTAAATTACAAGCAGAAAAATCTGATAATTTGATGGGGCTTCTTTGTGTATTTGTGTTTACTCTACATACACTGAAAATGATGAAATGAGAACTCTTTTATTTTTCCCTGCATTTCAAACAAAGCAGGGAATTATTAAAATGGGTCCATCTGTCTCTGCATCACATTTTTTGGAACACAATAATTGAGGTACAATGTTCAATCTTGGTGATTCAATTTGATTGATTTTGTGATACTTTTGAACACACTGACTTTGATTCTAAGTGAATGCTGGATTTGCAACGAATAACTATCATCTATTTATTTGGAACTGGTGCCAATGATTTGATTTTGCTGTACTTTAGAACAAATCAGATTAGACATCAGAAAAAATTGAGGTGTCAAGCGTATTTGAAAGAATTTTTCACAAAAGTAGAAGCTTTTTTAATGTCATAACTAGATTACATTTTTTTCTAAGTAAAGCTTGAATCACCCTCTCAATGTATAACATCAGAAATAATGTTCAACTTTCTCTGTGCCAGATATATATTGTTTTTGATATATTATTTAAAATATAAGTTAATGTATATTAAGAGTATCTTTTTATGTAAATAAAAAATATATATGACCTTGGTTGTACAGTTATGTGAAATACAGATTTATTTTAAATGTAAATATATATAGTCATAGTCAAACTCAACTTTTATTGTACAGTGCACATATAAAAGCAATCTATTGTTGGTAAATGTGTCAAATAAATTGTTTCATAAACTTCTCATGTAGAGTCATTTTGTGTATTTAATCACAACACACATTCTTAGAAAATACTGACCTGGGGCTGGTTGTTCAAAACTATTTTTATACGCCCACATTGGTAGTCATATATTGTCGTCGCCCTTGTCCGTCCGATAATTACTGCCGAAGTTATGGCCCTTGATCACTTTGTAAAATCTTGTGGACGCTCTAGAGGCTAAAGTTAATATCCAATTGACTTTAGATTTATACAGTGTTTAAAGTCATCAGACGAGGAAGCCTTTTGATTTTATATTTATACACCGTGTTTACGCCTAAATATCATCGTTTCGATTGACTTTAGATTGATAGAGTTTAAGGTCTTGCCACGAACAAGTAATAAGTATATTGATTTTCAATGATTTTTTATAACTTGGAACAGCTAAATTCATATGAAATGTTTTGTATACTTAACGTTGGCAGGGGCCAAACAAATTTTAATGATTTTCTGATAATTACGTAATGAGTTGTTACTCTTAATATGCGACAACTCTTGTTGACTGCCCAGACGATTTAAGTGCTGTATGTTTTGTTGCCTGGCAACCTATCTTTATGAATGTGGACGTATATGGCCTCGTCTGCGTTGTGTTGTCTGTGTCCTACAGGCCGCAATTCTTAATGGATTGTCTTGAAACTTTGCATTCTTATACCCTAAGGATGTGTCGCATACAGGCTGCAATTCTTAATGAATTGTTTTGAAACTTTGCATACTTATACCCTACGGATGATCCCTATTGTTTTTGGAGCATGCCCTACCCCAAGGAGTAGAGCCACGCCCATTTTTGTATTTGTTTGTCGTCTGTCATATTTCTTAACAGAGCATCTTGAAACTTTGCATACTTATTTCTTATACCCTAAGGATCATCCCCATTGTTTGTGGTCCAGGAGCAGAGCAACACCCATTTTCACCTACAGGCCGTAATTCTTGATGGATCGTCTTGATAACTTTTCATACTTATCCCTTATACCCTAAGTATGTCCGCTATTACTGTTTGGTGCATGCCCAACCCCCTGGGAAAGAGCCACGCCCCATTTTTGTGCTTTTGAAACTTTGCAGGATTATCCCTATTGTTTATGGTGAATGCCCGACTCCCAGGGGCAGAGCTACACCCATTTTTTATCTGTGTGTTGCCTACAGGCCACACTACAATTCGTAATGGATCATCTTGGAACTTGGCATGTGTAGGACAGCAACTATTGGTTTTGGTGCATGCCCCAACCCCCAGGACAGCCACCCCCATTTTTTTGTGTTTAGCGTCTGAAGGCCACAATTATGGTGCATGATCACACACTTTGCCACACACACTTTCAGTTAACAAATTTGGATCCAATTCGGTATGATCTATCATAGGGTTGTACCTATTTATATTGTTCCATATCCAAACCCCAGGGGCCAACTACACCCAATTTTTGTGTTAATGTCTACAGGCTGCAATTCTGAATGGATCATTTTTTAACTTTGCATAGTTATTCCTTATACTGTAAAGACAGCAATTATTTATTTTAGTGCATCCCCACAACCCCCAGGAATGTGGACGTTTTTTTCTCTAAACTCATTTCCATATTTTGAAGGTTATAATAAGACACTTTTTAGTTGATATTCTTTTGGACAGGTTAAGGGTCTGGTCAGCACAAGCAAATCTAACCTTGGCTGTATAACAAATTCTGCCAATTTGAAAACTTTCAAGTTCCCGGATTAAAAATGGTGGCGCCCATGAAGATGCCTGTGAAGAGTGACATGTACTTCCGATATCAAACGCTTACATTCTTTCAAGTTCATCCTTTTTTCTTTAAACAAAGGACAACTTGCAATTTCTAAAAGCGGCAAGTTTTCCTAATAATACCAGTATGGGTGTAGCTACATATCCCTTACCGTCATACAGCCGAGGTTAGATGTAGAGAACTGGAGTCTGACGAGATTTAACTAATGCTGGTGTGACATGTAAGAATAATAATTACCCCCCAATGTAGAGATACAGATTTTTCATTCTGACGTACAACCATGCAAATAATGAGAAACATTTAATAAATTAGATGTAAATAATCTGTATTTATTGTATAGCACAGACACTACCATTAACTTATGATCAAACTATACAGTCAGTTTTTTATTAAATAAAGTGAAAATTTCTGGAAATAACTGCAGCCTTATAATGGACATATTATATTAAACAGAAGAAGAATTCACAGTTATAATAGTTAAAGGAGCTAAATCTCTATTCTTTGGCACCTAGAAATGGACACAAATGAGTCGCAATGCACTTACTAATGTAATATGATTGTATATAAACTGATTTACATTCAGATTTTTGTTTTTAATGTAATTTTAATCAATTATGTTCAGCGAAGAGTGCAAATTGAATGGCACTAGTCTTTGGTGTCTGGTTATTCCAGTCTACATAGGTAGTATTCTCCTCTGGGATATGTTTAGTCTTGTTCATCAAGTCGTTTCATTACAAATTGCACTCGAAAGCATTCTGGCACACGATTTGCGTGCCAATATTGAATATTGGATATCAGTAGGCCATCTTTTCATGGTAAGATAACAACATCAATGTTGATTTAAAGTGACCAATAAGTCTTGTTTGCAATATCAAAGCTGGATGATACTGAGTTAAAGACTTGCCTCCCTTAACTATTAGCATATAAAAAACTATTTCGTGTCATAACTGTGCACTTTTAAAGAAAGTAAAATTTTTAAAAAATGAAAGCATTTGTTTCAACTATTAATTTGCATCTTTATTTATGCTTAGGCTATTTTTAGCCCAGCAATGCTCTTCTCTAAACTCTGAAAAAAGAAATAACACTTTTAAAGAATATTTTCGATAAATATAATAATTCAAGATGTAGAGGTACATAGAGAAATATCAACACTCATCGATAAAGTAAAAAAACCCGAGGCTCTCTGAGGTTTTTTTTACTTTATCCACGAGTGTTGATATTTTTTGATATAAAAAAGATGAGTAGGAGATTTTATTTATCACCCACTCCTTTCTTACGTGCACAAATAAATAAATATAATTCTTTGCTATAGACTTCACTTTTACTGAACCTGATTACATAACGGCGTAGTGATACATCATTTTTTTATAGCAATTCAACCATTGCAAAGTCCTTTATATTAATAAAAAATGAACTGTTCTTTGAAAATACAAAAAAGTAGTTCCTTTTTAACTGACCAATCAAATTCATGTAAAGCAATATATCCTAAGGAGATATCGCAGTAGATTATGAAATTTATCACACAAGCGATAGCTACTGTAGAATGTATTATTGATTATTGGGTGGTAAAGCTAATTAATCTTCAATTTATGCTTAGTTTAAAAGGTTATAAAATATTTACCTTAACATCCCAGATAATAATATTACCATCTACACCTGATGTTGAGAATTTACTACAATTAGATTTAGTTCCTGAGAAAATACACACCTGACTGTAATTTAAAAAAAAATAAAAACAATTATTTTAGAACACTATCTGAATATTCAAACCTCAACTTTACTTTGAGATATTACATTAAATAATTCTTACAGACTAAACTGCCAGTTTTTGTAGACCATCTATTAACAATGTGTCCATCCAGGTTATATTTCCCTATTTACATACATGGTATTTCTATAATCCTATAATGGTATTTCTAATTGGAAAAGACCCAGAGCAAACAGTGTACTGCATTTTGATTGGCTATTTTGTTATTGTTAAGGAAGCTTGTCGGAAGATACACCCACAAGCTGACATTTCGAGACTATTCGCTCAAACGTCAAGTTGGTTTTACAGCATTTCGGGTTCTAAGAGTTAAATAATCAATCTGAGTACATATTAGTGTGGTTTACACCACAGAAATATTGATATTACCCTAAAAATGCAAATCAAACATCATTACTTTAAGAAAATAACCAAAGATCAAAGTAGATTGACTTATTACTGTAACAAAGAAGGATGTTTTGCCTATAAAATATAGTCAAATGTATTCAGGATTAGTCTCCTTACAATTACATGTGAAATACTATTATCATAATCTTCCCTAATATTATACCCAGCTCATCAATTCTTAACCCTTTCAAGATTTCCAATTGGAATTCAAAACCTACAACCATCAAGAATTATTAAATATATATTTTTATTACGTGATTGTATTTTGGTGTTGAGTCTTTAGTTCACTTGAAGAGTCACCAGAAGTGGCATGCGAGTCCAGACTCTTGAAACGATTCATAGCACTGAAAGTATAAATCAACAGGACAATAAAACATGTTGATAACATGTAACAAATAATACATGTAACAAAGATTAACAAGTGACAAATATCTGCAAATAAATATATGACAATAAAAAATAATTATGTAAAATTTATGTAAATTTATCTAATAAGTTTTTCACATTTAATTTTTTTTTTGAATTTTTCATTTTATTACTCATGCCATTAGTAGATTTTTCAAATTCTAGGGCATTCGAAAAAAACAAAAAACAAACCATGATCTACTTGTATGGGGTGGGGTGTTTTTCAAGTTCATGCAACATTAGATATCAGATGTCCGTGCAATTTAGTTGTTTTTTTAATATTTCTATATAGGTTAAGGTATGCCAAAGTTAATTAATAACACTAAACAATTGCAATTCAGTTCATTTTTAAAATTAGCTTATTGATAAGATGGAGTGGAAGTTTTAGTTCACCTAAAAATGGTTCAACCACACCATTCCAGTTGACAACAGAGAAAATGATTTTATAAGCCCACAATATAAGAGGGAGTAAATTGTCTCTCCATCCAAAATTCTTGTAAATGCTCTACAGATCAGAATCTTTTCAAACCTGTTGGGATTGTTAGGCTAGTCCTATGAAGGAACCCCACCACAATTCAGGTTCGTGCAATAATTTGCCACCGTCTATAAAACCTTGGAAATGCTTTAGAGAGTTTTTGACTGGGAATGTTCGGCTACTGCCCTTTAACATGCTCTACTGTTTAGAATTTCCAAGACATTCTTTTTTTTTTTCAAATTGGCTACAATTACTTGGATAGTCCTAAGGAGAAATTCTATCAAAATTCAGAGTTTCACAACTATTTTTTCACAAAGTTACTGCTCTTCTCCAAATCTGTGAAAGTGAAATATGTTTCTAAGAGTTGTTCATCAATTTTATGCACAGATATGTAGTTAGTTATTGCCACTGATGGTAAGCCTATATTTGTTGTCTGGCAGGTATAATTAAGTCTATATTAGATGAAAGCCCTTGTTATACTTCCAATTTATATAGTAAGTCTGCCTTACACTCATAATTACATCTATCTACAATCTATCAATGTTATTAAGTTGGATTAGAAATATAATCACACAAATACTGCAAGTCAACTTGGCATTCCTCCAAACCTGAATACTGAATATTCTTCCTCGTTTTCATCTGAGTTATTTTCATTATCGAGATCAAATGAACTAATGGAATTATAGCTGTCTTGTCTGTAAACAATGATCTTTTATAGTCAGTTAATTCAGACATACTTCAGTAAAATTCCAGATATCTAACTGCTATAGTTTTACCTGTATGTGTTTGCAAACATTTCACATGTATAATAATAAATCTTTGAAAAAGTAAAATAATTTGACATACTGTACAGAGATTAACATGAAATTATAACAATAAATGGTATATGGTGAATAAATTACATTTGACCAACCTCATTGTTCCAGATTCTTTCTTCTGGGCTTCATCTAATTTCTTTATTAGGTTTAATTTTCCACCATTATCATAAGTAAATAACATGGGATTACAATCATAGCCCTTAAATATATAGAATTATAGATAAATATTTATCAAAAATTATTGAATTTTTTGTGATACGATTCAGCACATTTTTAGTTTAAAAAGTACATAAAATGACCATATGAAAACAGTATTACACCAATTTCACACCAATCTAAATATTCTCATCAAAAGGGTATATGAATATGGCCATAGTGATTATCTTTGCTATGGCAAATTTATAACAAATTCTCAATAAAATTACACCATCTTGTAATAAGCCATAACATACTGTCACGCTTATTTCATATAAAACAAATTCATACATGTTTTATTTTTTTTTACAAAAGTGGATTAAGAATCATTAAGGAGAGTACTGAGCCCCTCAACCCCCAATGATTTGCAATGGATTCAGTTTTAATTATCTCCATCATTAAAATTGTCCAAAAAGACAAATATTTTTCAAGGGCTTCACCCCCAAACCCAATATGATCACTGGATGATCACCTGCTGCCTTTACCGTTACCTACAGTTTATAACTTGGTGAAATATTTTACTATGATGTTATAGAACTACTTACAGAAGCTACGAGGCTGTTCTCTGTAACCCATGTAACACTCTTAAATGGGAGAAATGTTCCTTTAACTGTCGCCAAACTGAAATAAATAAAAACATTACATTAAATAACGTGTCTGCCAACGAAAAAGACACCCACCAGGAGCTAAGACCTGTCATCTTGGGTATCTCTCCTTTAATATCACTAAATGACAGTCACTTCAAGTCCTCCACCCAACCCCTGCTACAACTTACAAATATCTACTGACGCTCCTTAAGTGTCAAAAAAACTTACAATATTCTTATGGCAGAGTTATTGCACGAGCACGAATACTTATGAGTAGCCAGAAATAATGTTGACAGTTTAGATGTATATCTAAAAGCCTGCAGTCATAACAAAGACTATGGAACTTACAGGGATTCTTTAGCAGCATCAACCACATTGACACTAGAGTCATGTCCTACCCACACCAATCGATCACCACTTGGAGAAAAGGACACAGAGTGAACCCAACCTCCTGTAAATAAAATACAGTCAACCTTTAGTAAAGAGCAAGTATATTAATCAACAATACATCCCTATTCATTTACTCAACATCAATGTTTTGTTAACAATTTTACAATCTTGTTCTGAGCTAAAGTGAATCAGGATCCACTACTTATGGATGTAAACAAACATATTCGGTGACCAACCTATCAAACATAACCTAATGTTTTCATATTGCATTGTATGTGCATTTACTTAAATATGATAGAAGGTACTCCCCTATATAACCTAATTATTTTATCAGAAACTTTTGACAATTCTGCTTATTAATGCTTAGCAAGAGTTTAATTTCCTGCCAATACTCACACTTTAAACTGTAAATGAACAAAATAATTTCAATTGTAAATTGTATGATTTATTGCTATAGTAGTATTTATATAGGTAAAAACTTACCACTGCCATTGGAGTGTTCAGCTAAGAGGGTACCAAATGTCATCTTTGTTCCCCAGGAAGATGCATCAGGTTTTGTATCATATTCTTTGATATAACCAGAAAATACTCTGATAAAAAGATAAAATCCAAGGTTTTAAACAGTACATTTCATTAATTCTTGCCCCCTGGCTTGACAAAACTGTATGCTTATTTAATTTTATTCTTCAAATGTGTTCCACAAATACCAGTGTATCATATAATATGAATGAATCAGTATTTCAATCATCATATTTCTAAACAGATATAGACTCACCTAGCTTTAAAATCTGTAGATCCAGCAGCCAGTAGAATACTGTTAGGGTGCCAATCTAAGCTGAAATATTTATATCACAATGCAAGCTTTTGAATAACCAGAATCATTTGTGTGTATAAATGGGACAATAATTCTTGATAGCTCTCTTTATTTCAGTTCATCCTGCTTATGTCAAATTTTTAATAATTTATAGCTGATCATGAACTGGCAGGCATTTGAATTTGCATACATAGGTTCAGATTTTGACCTCTTTCACAAATTTAAATGATTGCCACAGTAAATGTAGGAATTGGAATAGGATAAGGAATGTATGACAATGACATTTATATATCTTCAAGTCGTGTCAGGTTAATATACATACCATGTAACAGTTGATCTGATTGGTTTCTTGATATGTTTACTGACCCACCAATTATTTTCATCTTCATAATAAGAAACAGATATCAATCTAGCTCCACTACCAACAGCAAATTTCCTTTCTATAAACAAAATAAAATACAATGCTGCAAATACATGTACTGGATAGCTTTCATATTTAGTCATTATAATGAAATTTTATGTTGGTATAAACAATCTTTACATTTGAAGCTATTTGGTATACAAGCTCCATAAGCCAATTTTCTCCCTTTTTGATAGATGAAACAATTGTCATTGATTATAAGCAGTGACTTCTCTTCTGGAATAATCTTGATGCAACCACTGATGTAGTCTAGTTTGAAACTGCATTAACTGTTTTGATTCAAGTCTAAATTTTCTCTAGAAAATAAATTTCTCAATATACCACAACCTGTACTCTAATAAGTTTGCTGTATCACAACAGCAATATTACTTTGGGTCACAATACACAGAGCTTAGATGAATAAAACTTGCAGTTTTCTCAATGTGCCCAATTATTGTTACATTCTGATGAAGTAACAGCCCCAAAATGACTACATGTTTCAATACCAACATAAACAAATATAATAATACATGTATTCTATCATTCCATTGAATTTAGGAAAACGGTGCCAATTTACCATTTGGTGACCACTTCACAAACGTAGCTGCTCTATTTATCCTCAAAATAACCAGATTAGGTTTCCAGCTTCCATCCTCATTCATAGTCCATACATAAGCATTCCTGTCCTATAAATACAAATTAATGTATACTTTAACTAACAACCCCCTATCAATTCATTGGACTTGTAATTTTTCTTTCAAAAAAAAGCATAGCTCTGCAGATATGAGTTATATTAGAAAATGCAGTAAAATTGTCAAACACCATACAAACAACGTAATGTAATATTTTCTATAAATTAGTCTAAGATATAGTACAATAAATAACTTACAGCCCCACATGTAACAATCTTGTTACTATTAGCTGCCCAATCAATACTAGTTACTCTCTGTCCATGTTCTGTTAAAGTATGGGTTGGCTGCCATTTATTAGCGTTCTTTTTATATAACTGAACTTCAGATGAGTTCAGAGATAGAGCCAGGCCTGTGAAAAAATATAACATCATTATTGTTTGTCATATAATTAACAATACTCAAATACAGTCTTCCAAGAATTACACATATATCACTTTCAATTATAATACTCAGTAAAATCAAAATAAATATTCCTATTCTTCACATATTCAGAATTACAGAGTAGTTCTTTGGCATGAATATATTAGGTGTCTTTCTTCTTTCTGACAGCACACAGTATCTCTGTTGACTTCCTATACTGTTTTTAGATTGTTTTAACTGATTTATTTTAAATCTATGCATGTAAAGTTCAGTACCTGTTCTGTCTTTATTCCATGTGTGACAAGTCACAGGCTGGATTCCAAAATTGTGTTTTTCAGCCATGTTTTTTCTTTAGCTAAACTGTAAAACAATTAATAGAGACATGAGGTATTTATGTTTACTTAATTTTATTCATATGAATGATCAATTACAAAGAAGTTTTCAATTGAACAGTTTAACTATATCTCGAAATATATAATGTTTTCCTGGTAGTTTGGATGTTTACCAATGCATTGTTATGTATTTAAGATCATGACTAAAATGGTATTCTCAGGAATTCCTCTAGTCTGACCATATTATTTCATCATGACACCCGTTTACACCTTGTGCAGAGTGCCACTAGTACTCAAAGTGATTGATTTTTTTTACTAGAAAATTGTATGACAGCATCTATGTGGTACAGCTCAAGGGGATCACGGTGGCTAAGTGGGTGAGACGCTGGCTCGCTAGCCTGGAGGTTCGATCACTGCATTGGCCGAGAAGTTCATCCAGATTTTCTGGCGTGGTACTCCCTTGTCAGTGATGCAGGATAAAAAACCGAAGTCTTGTGTACATATATTGGCGTGCACATAAAAGATCCCTTGACAGTTGGAATTTGATATAAGAGTAGGCCGTAGTGCTGCTGTCCGGGCAAAATTTCACTCATAGTACTCTCAGTATGGCGTATGCTAGAGCTGGAGATATTGGTAAAATCAAACATCGCGATATTTCCCCAAAAAACGACGATATATCACTATATCGCGATATTTTAGTTTTATTATAAAAAGCTAACAATATATCGCGATATATCACAATACCCCGATATTTTAGTTTTATTATAAAAGATGTGATTATATAAGTGTTAAAAACAGGTCATTCCCTCCCCCTTAGGGTGCATTATTCCTGTTTCAAAAGCACAGACCGAGAATTAAGTTCAAGGGTTAGGGTTTTGGCTAGGCAAATGTGGAGAGGGGTGGGGGAGATGTCCTAGAACCGTGTTAGGCTTTATAACTACTGTTCAATCAGCTTGAGCTTCGCAATGTTCCGCCAAAATGTTGAATAACATGTGGGTATGAGTAGACTCAAAGAACCAGACGTAATTTCTCCTATTCGGTACACTACAAAAGCGCATAACTCTGGAGTTTGTCTAAATCTCGAATATCTAGACGCAATTTAGTTTTATTTACAAATAACATTTTACTTTTATTTAAATCGGCTTCAGTTTAAAAATTGGCAAAAAAAACCCCCAAAACACCCAAACACACACACAAAATGATAGTTACATGTAACTAACAAACGGCATCATACATTAAATGGTAATAACTATTTCCCAACGGTGCCAATGATAAATCGACCGAAGACGACGAAGAGAAGATATTATGCCATGACTTACTTGGCTGGTTATTCGAGTGTTGCACAGCATTAGCGACGGGTTTGACATTATAATGACAAATTCCAACGGCAAGAGGGGAATGTCCCTATAAATTAAATAATAATTTTTCAATTATGAATTTATTTTTCAAGTTTAATAATCGAGAAAACCACTAGACTATTCATGTATTTAGTAGGCCTTGTCAATGAACAAGTGACAAGTCATCCGAGTCATCGATCGTGACGTAATGTCGTAAATTGTTCGATGTCAATCCCATCCCAAATGCAGCACATAATATCGTGACATATCGTGTAAAATACCGGTATATTAATAGAAAAACACACAATACGATATATCATTATACCGCGATCTTTTAGGTGGTTTATAAAATATCGGAATTCAAATTTTAATATCGCGATTTATCAAATTACCGAAAATATCGTCCAGCCCTAGCGTATGCCCGTCTTCATTAGCCCAGATCGGAGCAGAACTGTAGGACGTTAAAGCCCATTTCATTTCATTTTCAGTACAGCTCAATATTTTGATCTGAAGTTTTTGATAGACAATTGGGCTATTTCTTTGCATTTTAAGGTTTTATTAAAGGGTGCCCTGTGAAATCTAGGATCATTGCTTGAATAATTCACACTTGAATCAGTAGCGGGGGTTTTGGACGAGTTAATTGGCAGCTCTCCTTACCTTATTATAAGAAAAAGGAAGAAAATTGATACCATTATTATTTAATAATAAATCTTAGTACTTTGTGACTGACTCCAGTAACACAAACCAACCACACCCCAAGCTTGTGTATGTTTGCTTTTTTCTGAAACTCAACAAAGAAAATAAGTGCTTACCACTCAGGCAAATACTTTACCTGTATGTCTATAAGAAAATATACAAAATTAATAGAAAAATCCGCGGACTATGGTCAGTCAACACGAACTTCCTTTTCTGGATATTGACCACGCCTGCTATAAACTGATGCACCGCCAATAATAATTTAAAAAATAAATCACTAATCTCTCATCATCGTTTTCAACATATTTATCTAAATAATTCAAAATATTAAATAACACGCCGTTAAATCAATATGTTTATCCATTATTCAAATTAGATCAAGTTACAATTTATTTGTACAATTCATTTTTACTGAGCATCGTGACAGATAGTCGTGATTGTCACATAATGTAAAGAGAGAAGTAACCCTAAAACCTGTTGATCACGGCTTGACCTTTGATGCGTGTTTTAACCAATCAAATTACACCACATAACAACAACAACAAGCGCACATGTAAATTTCAATTTCAGTTCTAGTCATTTTTGCTTCCTTGTCATGAACATTTTCCGGGTTTTAAAGTGGAAATGACGGCCGTATTTCTACAAACGATATTTCTGTTCATTTTTGTTGCATGCACACACTGTACCAAGCAAGAAACTGATGATGGTGTGCAAGAGCCAACTTTGTGTGAAGGTATATTATTATTATTACCTTTTGGCATTGTATTATTGTTAATGTTAGTTTGCACAACTCAGTCAACTGATGTTAAATGTGGGTAACACGATTTACCCAAATTCACTCAATCAATAGCGATTGTTTTTCGGGGGTGGGGGTGTTTAAGAAAAATGAGACTGACTAATGCATAAGCCCCTAACACGAGGTGGGCAGTGACGAGGAGAAATTTTTGACTCTACTAGTCTCTAGAGTCTCTGATCGAAATGCAATTTCCTGGACTTAGTGGGAATTCATCATGTTATTATTGTTAATAATTATTTATTATATAAATTTGCAAGAACGTACAAAGCACTGACTGTGAATCTGTGACAACTTAGTGATAAGAATTACATCATTTACATGGATCTACATGTATATCTGGTACTCGGACCAGAGACCAGTCGGACCAAGACCTGTCGGACCAAAAAAAAGACCACTCGGACCAAAACGGAGACCACTCGGACCAACCTAAAAGACCACTCGGACCAACCCAAAAGACCACTCGGACCAATCAATTTATGTTGGAAGACCACTCAGACCAATATTTATGTTGCCCCTCGGACCAGTCAATTTATGTTGGAAGACCAACAGCTGGTGCAGTAGGTAACAGCTCTAAGATTGCCTGGAAAACCTACAAGAATTATATAAAATACAAAATTATATGAATTATATAAAATACAAAATTATATGAATTATATAAAATACAAAATTATATGAATTATATAAAATACAAAATTATATGAATTATATAAAACACCAAATTTTATGAATTATATAAAATACAAAATTATATGAATTATATAAAATACAAAATTATATACCAGTATTACAGGTTCTATGCTGCCATCTTTCACACCCGTCACACAGTATAGCCTCCTGACTTGGTCGAACTAAAGAATCGCAAACTATACACATATCAGACATTTTGACAAATGATGTTGTTGTTGTTAGTTAGTTGTATTTTACGTCCGCTTCCACCAAGGTGATATCGCAGACAAATTGACAAATGATAATGAAATATGGTTGGTTGGTTTCTGGTGTTTTACGTCCACTTCCACCACATTACTCCAATCACACCAATCAAAAATAAATGAATTTTCTTTCATTTGCTTCATCTACTTTATTACCTTGTAACATGGGTGAGTACATTATCAACACTACTCATTTATCGTTGTTTTGTTAATTAATCTTCTTTGATGTGCTTCATTATGACCAAATACCACGGGTAAGTACATATTAAAACAAACACAATTTATTAAAACAACAATTTATAAGCGATCTGAGTAGTCATATTAAAACAAACACAATTTATTAAAACAACAATTTATTAGTGGTCCGAGTAGTCATATTAAAACAAACACAATTTATTAGTCATATCAAAACAAACACAATTTATTATAACAACAATTTATTAGCGGTCCGCGTAGTCATATTAAAACAAACACGACATAGTAATAACAATCTTGATAAAAAAAAAAATATGATATATTTCACCGGGTAGACTAATCACCGGAATTCACCGGAATTCATTTACAATCACCGGAATTCATTTACAATCACCGGAATTCAACAGAATTCACTTCTAAAATCCCCGATTCCTCCCACAAAACTCTCCGCTTCCTCCTACAAAACTTTATTATTGGTCCGAGTGGTCTTTTTGTTTGGTCCGAGTAGTCTTTTTGTTTGGTCCGAGTAGTCTTTTTGTATGGTCCGAGTAGTCTTTTTGTTTGGTCCGAGTGGTCTATCAATTGGTCCAAGTGGTCTTGGTCCGAGTGGTCTTTGGTCCGGGTGGTCATGCATTCGTATATCTTCAATACATTGTTGTGGTGATATACATAAGTTAGCAAGATATGACCATGTGTCCTCATATTTTCACCAAGCGTTCACGCTAAGTCTAAGTCAAGTTTGACCACCAATCGGTGATTTTGTCTAGATCAATTGTGTCCACCATTGAGATATTCCTGTTTTGTTACTGAACGCATAACAGTTTTTACGAGTGCTGGCACGATATATCTTTGAATCGATGTATTGCTGCGATTCACCTTCTTAAGATTCGCATATTGAACTGCGAGACGCTGAACCAATGTATTATGATTATTTTTTTTATGTTTTTTTGTCGCTTCACTCAGTAACCTATAGCGGTCACTCTTAGTTATCCATGTCACACATTATCCATAGGTACACATTTCTCTTAAATTGATTTGGTCCTTATTTTGATCCATATTAAAACAGGTTTATTTGTTCGACATTAGCAGAGCTAAAAATATCAATTATTTATTTATTCTGTTGTTTTTTTGGTAAATATTGACCTGGTTATGAATCGTGATACAAATCGAATCGTAGCATATGAATCGCAATACGTATCATATTATGACTGCAGTGGAAATAACTGTCACCAGTTTTTACTAATTTGAGCTTTGAAAAACTGGCACGTATTGTGATATAGAATCAAAGCAATCATACTATACACAGATACATGTATATTCATACATATATTAAGTATTTGGGATTTTCCCTTCTATTTTGGCATTTTTTGTTTACCTCATTAATTGATTTAGTCGTTGATGCATAATAGGTGTACAAGATGATCCATATCATATTTTGAGGTTTTTTGCAAATATATTTTGAGAAATGCATGTACCGTACTGTTGATAAAACTATGCAGTATTAATTAACTATACCTAGCTTACTCATATTCACTCACTCATTTAGTTTGCAAATTTATGGCCACTGAGTTACAGACAAGATTAGATGAAACTGGTAAATCAAAAGAGGTGATAGAAACTGGTCATGGCCTGGACAGCAAGAAAAAAATAAAGAAATACCACGTCTCGTGAGTTTTATTGTATTCCTTACATTTCAGGGTTACACATGTGTCAACTATTACATGTATAACTTGGATATATAAGTAGAAGTGTCTGGCTCCTTTGTTTAACAGGCTCCCCCTGGAAAAAATTAGCGCCCATTGCCCTTTCCATTGGACGCAATGCGAGGCCAACGATCAATCTGCTCATTATTAGACGCCTCACCATTTGGGGGGCGCCATATATATATCAACATGATTGGTGAGGTGACATTGGTTGTGCGCCCATGACGAGATTGGCGGGGCGCCCAACCAATGTCACTTGGTTTTATGGGCACCTCACCAATCATGTTGTTATATATGAGGCGCCCCCCAAAAGGTGAGACGTCTAATAATGAATTACACGATTAACACCACAACTTGATTGATGGGGCGCCCAAGACGTCATGATCTGTGGGGTGCCGTATCCCGAAGGGGCAACTAATGACAATACATGTATATGATTGTCGGGTCGCACATAATGCCAAGTGACATTGTTTGGGTGCCCACGACTTGATCAATGGGGCACCCAAAACGGCATGATTGGTGGGGTGCCTTGTCCCGGAGGGGTGCCCATAATGCCGAGATTGGTGGGCCGCACACGGCGAGATCATGGGCGCCCAACCAAGAAACCGACTGCATACTTACACCCGAAGAAATCTATTATAAGAAAGCCAACTGGTCAAATTCAAGTTGGGGATGAGATTGATTGAAGCCTGCACCAGGAATGATAATCTTCAAACAAGTCGCACTCTAACCCAATTCAGAACTTTACATTTTTCTCATAAGTTATTATAGGTACGCTGAAGTCGTATTCCTTTCTTCCAATTTTTATTATGTTCATAATATGCTAATGATATCAAAATATCATAATACGCCAATATCGCAAATTCAGTCTCAAAATTGAAATTTTCCATCATTTTCATAGTTCCTCTCCTCTGGTGCAAACCCTATTTTGCAAAAATTTTCTTGGGGCAAGAGCACCCTAGACCAAGTGTAGGTACATCGATGCCCTTGACCCCCCCCCCCCAACATTTTTGGACTAGCTACGGAACTGTTTAAGAAATTTTGGGGTATGTTTACACAACTTAATGCACTGTTCAGTGTTTGAATATTTACCTTCCAAAGTTGCATCTCTAATCTTTCTACAATTAAAGTTTCCCATTAAACATGACCTAGCAAATATCGACTTTTCTAAAAAAAAATTTCTAACATGCAATGGGTGATTTTGTTTTGGATATAACATGCAACTTGTAGAAAGACCTGGGATGCATATTTGAAAAGGTAGCTTATCAAAGCTTCTGATTAATGTATAAATAGGTGTTTCAGGAAGGGAATCTCTGAAAATTCGCAAATCCTCCAAAAGTTTGGTGTCCCACCTAAATCTACTATAAAGGAATAGCAGCAAATATTATTTTCAATGCATTACTTTTCTTTTAGGGTCTTGTCAAAATTGTTTAATGTGGTTTTTTTAACCTAAAAACACAGTATTCAAGATGAATTTCGAAAAATCAGCATAAGTTAAGGGTCATCTTAAGTTTACATGTATATTGCTTTTAGTAATTTCATGTTGTGATCTTTTATTATCTTAGAATCATCTATCAATGAGTGAAAGATAATTCATTTCTATACATGAACATCCAAACCAAGATTTTGATATTACTATGGTTATTTTACCTAGGTCATCTAAATTACTATCTGAAGAAACTTTTTCATCCCCTTTTTTATACGCCCACATTTCAGGGTGGGAGCACTATGTAGTTTCCCTCAGACTGTCAGTCTGTCTGTCAACAATTGACATGTGAATGCAATAGATGCTACAGTTTTTGATGAATTCTTTTCAAATTCAGCATTCGGCAACCATTCTGACCATTCATACCAGAGTAATGGCCCTTTTCCTGAAAACCATGTGGAAACGATAGAGGCTATAGTTTTCAAATTTGGTGGGAGCATTAAGGTTATGGGAGGACGAATTCTATTGATTTTCAGTGTTCCTCAACTTTCCGTTCAAAATTATTCAAATATATCATTTTAAATATATCATCGTTACATTCCGACAGTGATAGAGTTCGAGTTTTGCAAAAATTGGATCAAATTTGCCCGATAGAATGGTCGCTTCTTGAACGCAAATAGTGTAATAGTATATAATATCAAGATTGTGGGCCCTCTAGAGGTCACAATTTTAATCCTATTTTGATGAAACTTAAAATATATGTATTTTTCCCAAAGATCTTGACATTGTGAACTCAATAGAGGTAATAATTTTTATATAAATTGGTGTGAAGCATCAGGGTCATCAGAGGACGAAGCCCATCAATATTCAGTGTTCTTCAATACTCTGTCACACCACCCCTGCTTAAAAACTTGTGAAATATGATAGAGCCGCTAATTTTTAATGGGTTCTTTTCAAAGTTGCAGCCATTATTGATATTCACTGTTCTTCGATATTCAATTCAAGAAAGATTTGGCCATATATTACATGCTTGCATGGCTATCTTTGTTAAATGTAAAGTTGGAAAATGATTACTGGCTTTCTTGAATCTTTAACCAATTTTCTTTTCAAAAACCACTTGTTTTACTGTATAATCACTAGAAATTTTTATATTAACTTCAATTTCATCTTGTATATTTCAGTGAGCTAAGATTAATAGAGGCTTTGAACGAGCCACATATATGTGATAGAATATTAGAATATAATATACATAAAGAAAAGAAGGGCAGTTTAAGATTTGCTAAAGGCCGTAGTGAAACTATGGAAGCATTACATGGTCTAGTGTAAGTATGGAACACTGTAGCTGTCTTATGTGGAGCAGGGGCGGATCCAGGAATTTTTGCAGGAGGGGGTTTGCCAGGTTCCTGAGACAATGTTTCTCCCCCCCCCCTCCCGCATTGCCTCTATCGTCATTTTGTGGTATATACACACACATTGAGCTTCTTAAACAGAGAAATTCAACACCTTATTTGACGTCAATTTTTATTATGAACTAGCAGGATACCCGGCTTCGCTCGGGGGTCATAACTCCGAAACTGGAAGTGGTAGACTAACGCCACCTGGCCTATGTTACTCCCCGGTCCGAGCTACCCCTATACCCCAAATTTCATACTCGGGGCAGACCTAGTGTAGCCGCCAACCCCGAACAGACCGGCTTCACCCGGGGGTCATAACTCCGAAACCGGAAGTGGTAGACTAACGCCACCTGGCCTGTGTTACTCCCTGGTCCAAGCTACCCCTATACCCCCAATTTCAGACTCGGGGCAGATGTAGCCGCCAACCCCGAACAGACAGACTTCGCTCGGGGGTCACAACTCCGAAACCGGAAGTGGTAGACTAACGCCACCTGGCCTATGTTACTCCCCGGTCCGAGCTACCCCTATACCCCAAATTTCAGACTCGGGGCAGACCTAGTGTAGCCGCCAACCCCGAAAAGACTGGCTACGCTCGGGGGTCATAACTCCGAAACCGGAAGTGGTAGACGAACGCCACCTGGCCTATGTTACTCCCCGGTCCGAGCTACCCCTATACCCCAAATTTCAGACTCGGGGCAGACCCAGTGTAGCCGCCAACCCCGAACAGACAGACAGACAACAGTCACAAATATATATATATACTATTCAAAAAAAGTTGGGGATATTTGATTTTTAAGTGTTATTAAAGTCACCTAATGAAACTGACGAAGAAACAAATGACAAAATGAAATGAAGTTCACATTCATCGATTTATTCCAAATGATCGTTAGACTAAGTAAGGCACAGACTGACCATTATAAGGGTAAAATGATACCCGGGTCAAACAGCAAAGTTACCACAGCATCACAACCAAGTCAGTAACGGGTAAATCCTCCTCTGTTTGCCAAACAAGCATTGATCCGACGTGGCATACTCCTAATGAGACGTCTATGGTCATTTTGGTCCAGATTGTCCCATTCCTGTTGCAACGCAGCAGCAAGTTCTTGGACATTGGCAGGACGGTGTTGACGTTGACGTAACCTCTGTCCAAGCATGTCCCAGACATGCTCGATGGGGGAGAGGTCGGGACTCAGTGCTGGCCAAGGTAATGTGGTGATGTTCTGTTGTTGGAGGTAACCTGTAACGATCCTGGCCCTGTGACATCTTGCGTTGTCATCCTGGAAGATGAAACGGCGGCCATGACGTCGTGCGAACGGCACAACATGGACTGCCAAGATGTTGTCCCGGTAGTACTGGCCTGTAACACGCCCTGCCACAACATGTAAAGCCGTTCTTCCAGCAACAGTGATGCCTCCCCACACCATAACAGAACCACCCCCAAATCGATCATGTCTGATGACGTTAACGTCTTGGAAGCGCTCGTTTCGACGACGCCACACCCTCCTACGTCTGTCCAAAAAATCAACAGTGAACCTTGACTCATCTGAAAACATCATATTGCTCCAGCGTCGATTATCCCAGTGTTGACGATCCCTACACCAACGACGTCTTGCCTGAATGTGATGATCTCTCAAACAAGGGATCACGCGAGGACGTCGGGCGCGAAGGTGACCCCTATGCAGTCGATTCCGAATCGTCTGGCCACTCACTCTCACACCAGTGTCTGTTTGAAGACGAGCGCTGATCTGATTTGCTGTGATGACACGATTTCTCAAGGCCAAGGTACGGATAAATCGATCCTGGGCTTGAGTTGTCGCCCTTGGTCGACCTGAGCGTGGTCTGTCCTGTACAGATTGTGTATCACGGTATCTGGACTATAGCCTGCTTATGACAGACTGAGAAACATTCATCGTCCGCGCCACAACCGCCTGTGTTGTGCCGATCTGTAGCATGCCAAGGGCACGTAACCTTTCATTTTGGGTAAGCCGACGCATATCAAAATTTGTTTTCTGGTCACTAAAACAATTAAACTGATGTTTCCACCCTGGAATTCAATGCCACAATGACTGTAACATTCAAAGTCAGAGTCGTGCAAATCTTGGGTTGGACCCCCATGATGATCCCAAGCATCACCTGCATTCCATGCGGTAGCTATTGGTGCGTTTGGGCGTCACATGTAACTGGAAATGTTTCTTCTGTTAGGTTCTATAGAGACTTTTTTCGTAGTCATTTGCATATTTTAGTATTATGCCCCCAAAATCAAATATCCCCTACTTTTTTTGAATAGTATAGGTTAATACAATGACATTGTGATTCAATTTCATGGATGCAAAGCATTAATTGTGATATCACATAATGTCTATATCATTATCTCGTGCTTTGAGTGCCTATCCTGTCCCACATCTGACGATAGAGGATAAAGTACATGGCCGAGAAACTTTTCTCATAACAAGTGTTGATTTGTAAAAAAAAAAATTATGTACCTGAGCACCCCTCTGGATCTGCCCCTGTGGAGATGTTTGTGATGTCTTGTTAACTGAGTGTCTTGTCCTGTTAAAATTGTATCATATCTTCTGAAATATCTTCCTCACTATATCATCACACCTTTTTAAGTGTTATGCTATCTTGTGGTATCTTCTCATTTGGTCATTATATTATGTTAAACTTACATGCTATCTTGTCTAAATACCGTACCATGGTGGCTCAGTAAGTAAGATGTTGGCTCGCTTACCTGGAGGTCCCGTGTTGACCGACAAAGTTAATCATGATTTTTCCAGCGTGGTTCCCCATTGACAATGTTATTCAGATGGGACGGAATAACGAAGTCCTGTGTTCACTTTGGCGTGCATGTAAATTCGAAAAAAGAATACACCGTTGTGCCATTGAGCAAAATTTCCATCATGGAACACTGTATACCGAATGCACAATTTCATTAGCCCAGTCAGTGAAGAAGAGTAGGACGTTAAACCCCATTTCATTTGTGCTGGGGATGTATGTTGGGTTGCCTGGCAAAATATCCTTTATCTGAAGGAATAGGTTGACAAAAGGGAAAGATCTGATTGGTGCTTATTAATGTCCTTCAAAAACTCATTATTGTGTGTATTTAGTACTTGTCTTCATTTGTTATGTCATTGTTATTACAGAGATAAAGGTGTAAAGGTGGAATTAGGAATGCCATATGAAATGTGGGATAAACCTTCTGCTGAAGTTACTCAAATGCAAAGAAAGGTAAACTCAAACATTCTTATTAGAATTTCATGTAACTTTTAATTCTAGAAATCTGATTGATTCCGTAATTCTGTATCATGTTTACTTGAAGTTATCCTTAAAATGTGAAATCTGCCCCACAAATAATCCTATGGTATCTTCGAAAAATGTCAGCTCTTTATTTCTACTTTTCACAGTGTACAGACCATTGTCCATCTACTGTTAGATTATATATATATATATATTCTCTATTGCAGTGTTTCAATTTAGTAGAAAAATATGAAGAAGAAATTGAAGATTGGTACTTCAATCATCAAGATGAAAACTTCATGGACTATTTTTGTAAAAATATGGTACTGAGTCCAGATAACAATGGTAATTTGGATTGTTCATTTATTAGGGGCATTGAATGTGGACATAGGCCTAATCACCTGCCCTTTATCCAAGGGCTTTTGTAGGTGAACCCACTTTTTACTGTAAATGCATACCCATTATACTAGTACTCACTAGGTTACAAGTCCAACCATCTAACCATTGCTTTAAGTTGTCTGCCATTCCAGTACAGGCAATTGAAATTAATTACCGGTACATCTTGCCAACCTCAATAAAATTGGTTCAAATATTTTAGTTTTTATGTTGTTCAATGCAATTTTTCAGCCTGTCTGAACGAATCGCCAGAATTGCCAAATACCAGTCAAGAGACTGCAGAAAATACCAAATCAAAGAAAGAAAGTAGGTGCAATAAGTATAATGCCAGTAGTGGATTGCATATTTTGTAAAATAAGAAATTTATGTGTGATTGACTGGATCATACCTATTTACTGGATTTGAATACATTTTGTGATGGATGATACAACATCAGAATGGATAATCGAGACTTTGTTTTTTATCGTACCTACTTCAGTAATGATGATCGTTATCTTTTGTTTAACTATTATGCGTGAACTGTCAGCTCTTTATCTAATCTCCCATAATGCCCCTTTAAGTGTCTGCCGATGACTTATATATATTAATTTGTTTCTAATCTTAAAACACTCCTTATTCAGTTAATAACTTTATTTTTGTAGGTTATAAGAAATATACTTTTAGTTCAAACTAAGTTTTCCTGTTACACTGGGTAGATCACCTGCATGTATCTTCTAAAAAATGGAGCTGCAGTGGCTCACTAACCAGAAGGTCCGGGGCCTTCAGTATGGTTTCCCCATGTCAGTGGGTGCAGAGAGTCTGGCAAGGACAGTGTCTAAGTCATTCACATGGTCTAAGGAGCCAAGGTCCCATGTAGCCTACACATTGGCATTGATGTACAAGACCCCTTCACAGACAAAATTTCCCTCATAGCAATGATGTTGGGTAATAAATAAATTCTAAATGACATATTTATATCAAATATCAAAAATCCTTGAGAAAGTAAAATTCACTGGTAGTTTTAGTCTTGATGGGTTGTCAACATTTCATAATAACGATGTCATTGGCTAGAATATACAGTCTTCTCTGTTTTCATGTACAAAATCTACTTTATTTTCAGTTCGAGAGCGTAATAATAGCCCTAAAACAAGATGTCGATGCCCACGATATTAATTTAAAAATTGCTATTTCAGGAAAATCTATTTGCACTGCCTGTTCAATAGAGAGAGAGTGATGGGGTTTAACGTCCACTCAACACAAACTAGGTCATTTCGGGACTAACATGGTTCAATTTATTTCAATAATTCGCTTGTGCGTCAGGGTCATTAGCAGTGGGAGGAAACCAAAGGACCTGAAGAAAATTAACAAGGTTGGATAGGCGACCATACCCCTTGTCACGAACAAGTGGGGAAACTGAAACCACGCCACTTGCTACAGTGTAAACCCCAAGGATCTTAATTTGAATTTGATTAATTTATTTCAGGTGCAAAATTAAAAGGAGACCATGGTAATGGACCAAATGGTAAAATAGAATTATAAACAAAATTGTTTGGCCAGGGTGGGGACAAACCACAAAAACATACAAAAAAAACCCCAACAATTAATTAAACTGTTAGACATACCCAATATTATCAGTTAAAGATGCATGGTGTAAGATTTAGATAAAGAATAACGAAAATGAATATACATGTATTGAAAATTCTAATCAAATTACCTAATTATGAGTGAAGTTATGAGTGTTGGAAGTTGTAGATTGTTAATTATCGTAGCAATGGTACTGGACAAACAGGACTAAATCTGGATTTTTAAATCTAGTGGGCATTCTAATCTATTTAAATCTGCATCCAATGTTCTAAAGAGTTGTTTAGGGGCTTGTCAGGTAAATACATGTAAATAAATATTTTATATACCATTTGAAGCCAAAATAAAGACCTGCAATAGGCAGATTTAGCTCTTACATAATGCATCTTTAAGTTACTTTTATTTATCTTGCTATGAGACCTCAAAATCAATTTTCGGCTTCCATTTTAGCTCTTACCTTTAAGTTACTTTCATTTATCTTGCTGAGAAATCAAAATTAATTTTCTGCTTCTTTTTTTTTCTCAATAATTTTTAATGTAAATTTTGATAGCATTTATAAACTTTTTGATCAACCATTTACATGTAGCTTATTTGTCCATATGATAAAATCAACATCATACATATACTTATTATTGTTTTTGTTTTATGTTGGATAAAAATCTATTTTTGTTTTAATAAATTAATTTATATTCTATATCTTGTTATGAAAGATTCCAGTCCAGGGAAAGTAAATTTGTTTAAGACCTATTTCTAATACCATTGCATGTACATGAAACTTTACATGATTTTTATCATTTTAATGATGCCGTCCACAGTGTCTGAATTAAAGGGACATAGTAATGCCAAGATTCCTTTGACCAGTCATTAAAGAAAAAGGAGATGGTCAATATTTTTATCAGATGAATGGTTGGGCTCGCCATGATTACAAAGTATCTTCAGAGTTCAAACAATGACATAAGCCAAGGAATGGAATGGTTGGGGAGAATTAGTCTGACTCCTGATATAACAAGAAGCTAATCTTACACCTTAAATTAGTTTTTTTCTTCTTATGCAAAATATTTTATATTTTATGGACCTATATTTCTACAGCCCTTCATGGCACATAACTGCAGTTTAACTCTTTTTTTTTATCCCAAAATTAAATGAATTGGGAATTGTGATGTTGGAATAGGTAAAATCTCTAATTGTGTTGTAAATTGGAATAGGTAAAATCTCTCATTGTGTGGTAAAATGAAGTCATACAAAGTGGAAAGTGACAGTTTTCCATTAGTAAATGGAAATTGTGGAGGATATGCAGTAGCAAAAGTAAAAGCTTGTTTTTGTGTACAGAATCCTGAACAAATGCAAATAATGTTGAATAAATCTAAGGCTTATTCACAATATTGGATATTTCGCAGTATAAGAGATATATACAGTGTTCAATGCTCCCCAAAGCCATACGAGAAAACAATATTTTTCAGATGATCATCAAATATTTCAGGCAGTGGGCACTGATTTCGATTCAGATTGTTGTGGTATTTCATTAGAATGGTGTGTACGCACATACATACAATAATTATTAATTAGGTGTGATGATGAATATTACACTGAGATCAGTCAATGTAGACATTTTAGTTCACTGACTGTTGATCGGGCACTATCTGGTATAGTTATGTAGGTTCATTTTTTCAGACAAAAATGATACAGCTCAACCACCCCCAAGGAAAATCGGCCCATACGCCTATAATTTAATGCTCCCTCCTGCATTTCTATTTATTAGGTTAACCTAATCGTGGTAGTTTTTCTGTTGCTGCTCCTAAACTGTGGAACAGGCTGCCATCACATATTAAGGATGCAAAATCATTGTGTACATTCAAATCCTTGCTAAAAACACACCTATTCAGTGCAGATGATGGGGAAACTGTCGTAAATGTGACGGACTAACTCAGCGCCAGTGAGCAAACTTTTTAGATACGATCGAGGCGCTATACAAATCCATTATTATTATTAATCATAGTGCTCAATTCAAGTGTGCTTGGCATGCATGTGCAATTGCACATGAGTCTTCTATTTTATGTATGATGTCACAATTCTAAGATGATGTCCTAGAAATTGACAGAATGGGTCGCAACGCATATAATAATGTAATATGAATGTATATAAAGTGATTTATATTCAATGTTTCCATTTTTACTTAAATATCAAATCAGTTATGTTCCGCGAAATATATCAGAAGTCTAAATCGAATGGCAACCTCTAGCGTCTGGTTTTTCCAGTCTACACCAATAGTATTTATTGCGCATGCTTTCTAGATAAGAATATGGCCTCACCTTTTTGACACAGCCCACCAAATATTCCTATGCCGAAAGTTTTTTTTAGTCTTTCTCTCCCTTTCCCCCTTTTGCAGGGAGATTTTTGTTGTAGACTCGAAGAGAAGGGTTTGAAAATGCATTTTCTGCCAGGTTTTGGGGAATATTCATGATTTTGAGGTGGAAGGATACAAGAGTTGAGAGCTTGGTTAAGTTTACTTCCAGTTTGTGTATTTCAAGTTTTCCATGGGGAACCTTATATGTGCTTTTGAGCAAGAGGTCGCTACATATTGCTCCATCTGTGGTAGAAGGCATTCTACCAGACGAAAATTTTGGGAAAAGTTAGAACCGGTCTAAGAGATGAGAATTAACATTAAAGTCATTGGTGATCTGTAGCCGTTTGACATGACTTGTGGAATATGGCTAGCCTCGTTCTTCGAGTTCCTTGTTACAAATGCCGCCGAGTCGCATTATGGTACGCGATTCGTGTACCAATGGTAAAATGTTTATTTTGTCTTAAATATTGGATATCAGAAGTCCATCTTTTCCCGGTAAGATCACAACATCAATGTTGAAATAAATTGACAAATAATTTTGTGTTTTCAATGTCGAAGACGTTGGATGATGTTGAGTTAGAGACTTAGCTACTTTAATCTATCATCAGTGGTTTATTGACCGAATCCCAACCTAACCATGTTTCTATTCATGGGTGATTCGGCAATCTGATTAAAATACAAATCTATATTTCATTTCGTTTTTTTGTACTTTCAATGGCCTACACTACATGAAGATCTGACAAATTGGCTTATTTTCACAAAGGCAACCTACTGGTCCGGTTATGAATAATCAGCTTATGTTTTTTTTTTCTATGAGATTATCAAAATTACTGTTAAATGTGCTAATTACTGGGATTATGAACCACATATGGCCGATTCTCACTAAGGTATGACTCTTAGCTGACAAGCAAGTTGATTGACTTCTTAATCAACAAGTAATAATTTAGATAGATTTAAGATACCACAGTGGCCGGTTCATTGTTTTATTAATCGTTTTTTGGTTTTTTTATCAAACAACAAGTGGCGGAAGCGGACTATAATAAGACGATTAAGATCCCTGATTTCCTGACCCTTCTGCCCCAAAACCCTAAATATTCAACAAAACATGGAGAAATATTATGAAAAAAATGTATGTTATAGTACACATACAAATTTATGTAAACCTGTAAACCTGCAAAGATTTATGACTCTTGCATTAATAATGCAGAATTCACTATCAAATTTTGCAGAACAAGTACCGTCTACTGTGTATAAAATACCCCAAATGCCAAAAATTGATACAAAAAAAAAAATCAATATTTCGATACTGTGTAGAACTTTGACTACACTATATTAGAAGTTGTTACTTATCACATGTATAATGTATCACTGGGTGTTTGAACAAACATTATTAAAAGCAATATTTTTGTTGGTTTCTTGTAAAATTAGCATTGAAAATCGACTCACCGAGGAAAATAGCTTAAATCCCTTCTTTTTCAAATGCTAACCATGTATAGGAGCCTTCCACGGAAAATTATGAAACTTTGGGAAAATGTTGCATCTTTGATATTTTACACCTTCATTTTTTATCTTCATTAAATTTGAACATTAAATCATGATTTATTTCAGATTTTGCAGATTTGAATGAATTGCAATACTTCTAATTGCCTGACCATCATAAAACAAAACCTTCTAAGAACATTTTGTGCATGCTTACAATCCATTCCTCTCAAATTAATTAATGTGCTAAATAATCAAAACAGGAAGAAATTACATTGTTGTGAACAGCAATGGAATAGATTTTTAGATAAATAAAACAGGCTTCAATGCGTCAGATGTGAGAATACTGCCATCACATTCTACATCAATATCACAAATGTGCATGTATGAATAAAAACAAATATACATGGTTTAACCATTTATTATCAATTTTTCCTGATTCAGGAACATACAGGTCAATATAGATACACTGAAAGCTTTAATACAATAATAAACACTCCCTTTTAGCTTGTAGTTCTAGAACCATGACTGATCACCACAGTCTATATTTTACATCATTTTGTCTTTGATTCAGATTTAAAATACCAACAACTCAATATCCATTCTTATCTACTGAATCTAAAAACTCACAATAGTGGAAAAGAAATGGGTAAATGAAACCATTTTATTTTTTTTTTTCAATCACTGCAAAACATGGATGTTCTATGTGGAAACAAGAAAATGAATGTTTTATATGAGATGCTTTCAATGAAACAAAGGATAAAGACACAAAAATTAAGGTAAAACAAATAATAACAATATGCTTATTTCCTTACTCATTCAAGTCAAGATAACGATTCAATATAACATAAAAACTGAAAATTAGAGTCTGTTTAGAACATTTAGCTGAAATAAAAATTAAAAGGGTGGATATTCATTTAACTCGCATGCTTTTTTTGTTGAATGCATAAGATAAAATGAAGATGCTAAAATGAATGAAAGCTGTGTGTTTACCCATGATAACAGTTTGACTATCTCTTATATATAAATCAAGTTGTATGCAACACTAAACTATACCAATTTATCAATTCAGATAATAAGCTTAAGTTTCTGATTAGAAAATTCATCCTAAAGTACAAAACACCAAAGTCAAATATTCATTATATCTACAAGTTACAAAACAATTTATATGAATTAGCTGAAATAAAAGCTGAAAAAGAATAACCCTGAAAAATAATATCAGAGACCATCTTCAAAAGAATTAAGACTATCCCATTTGGTATGAAATACCAGATTTAAAAATATAAGCAGTACAAATTATTTCTTACTGGCTCATACAAGTTCTAGCCATTTACATAAAAGCTCAAAACGACATAATTTAAACACAAAAGTCAATTCATAAAAATTAGATGGTATATTATCTGTAAATATTGTATGCTTAATTTGTTATGGTTCCTTCATTTCAATTTATAAATATTTCTATGAAAGTATTTAATGTTAGAAATAACATTTTTAAAGTCAGATGACCTGAAATAGAAGCAGCTGTAAAAGAAAACTGGATAATTTATTTACTGCTACACTAAATCAAATGTGTGTAAAAATTATGATTATGTATGTACCGAAAATTCAACTGAGTGGTAAAATCAAACTATGATAAAAGAAAACCCAACATTTTCCTAGATTAATGTTGACTAATGTTTCCAAGCCTAACTGTGGTTTGATAGTTAAGTATTGTTTGGAATTGTGAGAATGATTTATGTATACAAAATAAATTATGATTACTCTTTATAAATTAAGTCATGTGATTGTACTCAAATCTGAGCTTCCATCAAATGTAGATTTGAATGATATATTTTCTAAAATAGTGCACTGAATACAAAATTAGCTACATAGTATGTATGTACAATTTAGTGATCAAAATTAATTTCTTTATACATCTCAACCAAATAAATAAAAACACTTTATATATCATTATATTGTTCATTTTACCGATTGCAGCTATTTTGTTTTTTATTCCATACTAAATTTGAAAGTTCTACTCTACTGGGGAAAAAGCTCATTAGATAAAATAATGTGAACAATGCATTTGGAAAAGAGTATCAGATGTCTGAAATATTTAAAATTTACAAGTATCACAAAGAAAAGAAATACACATTCCCAGAACTTTGAAATTTATGGGCCCTGTAGCTTTGAAAAAAAAAATAATAATACTGTTCCACTTAGTAACTAAGTTAAAATAATGTTTCATACTAAAGACTTCAAATTGACGATACTTAAATTCTAAATTTTTTCTAATTATTACACAATTTTAATTATTTAAAACACATATTTGATAATAAACTGATCTATAGTTTATCTAGGATTTTGCCATCTCATTCCTGGTGGTCTAGAAAATCGTTGTCCGTCACCTCCAAATCTTGGATTCATTGGGCGTGGTCCTCTGTGACCTCCAGGACCTCTTGGACCGCCAAATCCCCTAGGACCCCCTGGACCTCTAGGGCCACCTGGACCACCACCTCTAGGACCACCAAATTGTGGATTATTCCACTGACCAGGACCCTGGGGACCTGGACCAAAGTTTTGTGGATTTCGGGGGCGGAAATTTCTTGGGCCATCTGGTCCAGGACCAAAAGGAGGAGGAGGGGGAGCTCCATGAGGTGGAAATCGTGGTGGTCCACCAGCAAATCGAGGTCCCCTTGGAGGAAATGGAGGTCTAGGTCCCATGCCTGGGGGCATGTTGGGAGGCATACCAGGAGGTGGTTGAAAATTATCTGAATTAGGAGGAAGATCTTTTGGTTTATCAGCATCACTTGGGGGAGGGGGAGGTATTGAAGGATCTCCTGAAGACAGAAGTTTAGCTTCAGCATTTTGATGATCTTTGCCAGCTTGTTCTAACTTTGCAATAATAGCACTAAGGTTTGCAGGAGTTTTAACAGTAACAGGATTTATTTGGGGACTATCACTATTAGATTCTTCTCCAGGTGTATCCCACTTAGATTTTCTCTTTCTAACCCTTCCACCATTACCAGCATCTTGGTTTTCACGAGGAGGTGCATTATGACGATCACTGCTAGTATTTGTAGTATTAAATCCAGATGTTCGGTCACTACTTCTATAATCTGAATCACGCGACTCAGGTCGAGATGAAGTGTCTCTTGATTTATCTGAGTAGCGCGATTCTTGACTACTTCTTGAATTAAAACCTGAACTATTCAAATCTCTATTACCTCCACCATAACCTGAGCTATCTCTATTTTCTCTATTTTCTCGACTATCTCTAGCATCCCTTGAGTCTTGTCCGAAAGATCTATTACGGGAATCATAACCACCAAAAGACTGATCTCTATCTCTCTCTCTATCTCGATCCCCACTTCCTGATCGGCCAGTGCTAGATGATCTTTGTTGATTCTGGTCTCTTTGGTTATAAGACTGATTTCTGGAATCACTGTCTGATCGTCTATAATCTTGGTTCTGTCGATTGTACTTATTTTGATTGTCTTGATCCGGTCTACCAAAGGATCGTTTCTGATCCTGGTTACTTCTATCATACGCTCTGCTTTGATCTCGATTGTAAGAGCCCTGATTCTGATTGCTTTGATCTGATTTAGCTTGGGGTTGTCCATAATTTTGTTTATCAAAAGATGAATTAGAGTCTGGTCTATCAAACTGACTTCTATCTGGATTAGACGGAGGCGGTAAAGGAGGTTGACCAAAACCGGGTTGTTGCCATTGCTTTTGTTTAGCTTGTCCAGCTGAAGTCCAATTTCCAGGTTCATTTCTTTGCCTATCAACACCAGCAATACCAGGACGTTGATCAAGATAATTGTAGCTCTGTTCAGCTTGTTCTTTTGGGGGCCAACTGTAACTTGGAAAAACTGGATTCTGATCTTGTTTATCTTGAGTTGGTGGCCATGATGCCTGTTTCATTTGAATCTGTTGTCTAGCCAATTCGTTTAATAATTCTTGTCTCTGTTGCCCATATTGGCCTGCGAATTCTCTAGATTGAAATGGTTCTTGCTTTATTTGACCATATTGATCCTGAAAATGAAAACTAGCTGCCTGATTATATATATCGCCACCATACATATTTTTATCTCTTTTCGTTTCTTCCTTCAGTGTTTTCTCTTTTTCCTCTTCAGCATATTCTTGTTTGATAAAATCTAGAGCACTGCCTGGTTCTTGTTTTGCTCTCTTACTTGGAGGCTCTGCACCATATCTTCCCTGGAAACCACCTCCTTGTTGACCATAATATTGATCTTGGGATCCATAATTACCAGGACCAACTCCAAACTGAAAGAGTTTTAAAGTACTCAACACGTTGGGTGAATAATCCCAAAATAACAAATTTATAAACAATGACAGGAGAAATTAGGCGTAAAAAATATATACTGTTACCATTACATGTAGGTGAAATAAATGTGGGGGACTGAGTCGTCAAGTGCACTTTAGATCATAAGGTCTGTCACTGAGACAAGCGGCATCGTTTCGAATTTTTCTACAGGTCCTCCCATTTTCTCCCACTCCTAAAGATCCCTAAGCACGAGCTAATTAATGAAATAAAATTGTACTATATGTTGGTCCCGAATTGACCTTGTTTGTCTCAAGTGGACATAAAGCCCGATTTCTCAGTCTCTGAAACATATAAGCCAACAGTGAGACTGCTGTCCCTTGCCACAATCCCAAAATATATAGATGACACATATTAATTAATTATCTTTTAGAAAATTACTGAGCAATCAAACTGATCATCTATACTTAGTCTAAGCAGAAATTGTTCAGTCGGACCCAGTCAAGGTTTTGAAGTACCTGGTAGTGAAACTCTACAATAAGTTAAAATCAAAGTTATCTTGTCCAAAAGCATCGACCAATGAAATTGCTTAGCTCTGCTTAGCCATAGCGAAAAATGTTAATCCTTGAACTTTCCAAGACTTTCACCTAATGAACTTCTAAACCAAGTTTAAACATTCTACCTCACTTCAAAGCATAGTTGTTATGTTCCAAAGTCTTAACCAATCAACTTGCTTATCGCTCTGCTTACCCTGAGCAGAAAATGCTCATTATCGAACTTAGTGAAGATATTGATGTAATGAAACTAAACACCAAGTTTCATCACTCTCGCTTAATTAGGAGCCACGGTGGCTGAGTGGGTAAGACGCTGGTTCGCTAGTATGGAGGATGCATGTTCGATCCATGCATTGGCCAAGAAAGTTTATCAGGATTTTCCGAATGGTTTCTCCTTGTCAGTGGCGCAGGAAGGGCGACCTTCAGATGTAAACTGTGGTCCCGACTACAGTCGGAACCAGCACCCAAACGTTAATGGCTCGGACCATTTGCTATTCAATAATGGCGACGCCTATGTCAGTTGTTTCCCCTGCTATATTTCCTGCCATTTACTCATTTTTAAAATGATATTTTGATGATGAGGATAAAGAAATGCTTTCAAAACACTTTCTTACAAAACTGATTCCATCTAGGTTAACTGGTAACATGGATCAACTCATTTTTAAAATGATATTTTGACGATGAGGATGAAGAAATGATTTCAAAACACTTTCATACAAAACTGACTCCATCCAGGTTAACTGGTAACATGGATCAATTCACAAAGTTTTTTATCGTGGGCCTATATATATTCTCTAACTTCCGGGTGTTACCATGATGTAAATAACGCATTGGCGATTGGCAACTTTATATTTTTCAGACAAATCTACACACGTGTCAGTCTGTTCAACTATCTCAACCGTGCCATATCACATGGTCTGGCAGGTCACGGCCAGTGGTTGAACTAAATGTCATTCGCATGCAGATAGTTCGACTAGAGTACGGAAAATCGTGCAAACGAAGGTCGCCAAGGATGGACTGATAAGGACAACTGTCTAGTTACTTTTATGGTATGAGGTCCCCTGTATACATTGGTGTGCACGTAAAAGATCCCTTGGCAGTTGGAATTCGATATATAAGTAGGCCATAGTGCCTCTGCCCGGGCAAAATTTCCCTCATAGCACACTATATGGTGTATGAATGTTTTCATTAGAGCCAAAGTTATCAAGTTGAAAGCACCAAACAATCAAATAGCTCATCTTTTCTTAGCCTAAGCAGAAAATGCTCATCTAACAAACACCTACAAAAAGTTTCACATTCTAGCTCAATTAGAAGGAGAGTTATTGGGTCCTAAAAAGTGTGACAGACAGGCGGACAGACGAACATACCCATTTCAATAGTCCCCTGGGGGGCAGTAAGTATCCATATATGATCAGCTAAGGTCAATGACATTGAGTTCTTCAAGTATGAGCTATTAGTCACTGCCTGGCAATACTAAACTAACAATGGTATTAATCACAGGATGTTTTATTAAAAAGAAAAAAAAAAAACAGTGCTAAGTTAACGTTTCTTAAAATAGACAGGGGATATTATTGACGGAATGACAGTATTCTAATTTATGAAACATGGCATAAATAGCAGCAATATAAAGTGGATTCAGAATTATGAGGGCCCTACACCAATTAGTACGCTCAGCTCCATATAGTAGTGTAAAATATCCACTACGTCGGTAATGGTTAATATTTGAATTTTTTCAAATTAATTCAATTGCAGATATCTGTTAATATCAATAAATTTAACTAAAAAAAACTTAATAACCTATAATATTCCTTATTAAATTACATTATAGATCAAGTTGGTCTGTGAAAATGAATGTATGGTTATCCATTTATAAAAGATAGCCACACAAAGCATCGACAAATCTACCTACACAATAGCTATGCCTCGAAAAAAAGTTGGCCCATAGACAGCAGCTTGTTTGAAAGGAAAACTTGAATGTTGACCAAATATGAAAAGGATCGTTAATGTCTTCAAGAAATCTGATCTCTAGGCATTCACAAGCTGCTTCTCTGGACACATATTTCTCTGGAACAGTAAGTCCTACAATGCTGAAAATCAACAGGATTTATCCTCTCAAATCCCAATGCTACACTCCAATTTTTGAACCAGCGGCTGCCAGGCAGGATACGCCCACATTTTCGAGAGATGGATAGAGAACAAGCTAAAAATAAAGCGATTTTTCGTACAATCAGGGGCCATAATTCAGGAAGTTACGGTCCGATATGTACGAATATCGAAAGGAACCGAGATCTTTGGATTATAAACTTACATTTCAAGTTTCAACAAAATCGGATAAAAATTGTGACCTCTATAGGGTCCACAACCTTGATATACCATATTTTTACGCTAATTGAGAACGAACAGCGGCCATTTTGTCTGTCAATTTTGGGGCGATTTTCACAAAATTCAAACTCAACTGTCCTTAGGGTGGAACGGTAATATAATAATAAGTTTTTTCAAATCGGATAAAAATTATTACCTCTATAGGGTCCATAAGCTAAAAACACGATTTTCGTACAATCAGGGGCCATAATTCAGGAAGTTACGGTCCAATATGCGTGAATATCGAAAGGAACTGAGATCTTTGGGTTATAAACTAACATTTCAAGTTTCAACAAAATCTGATAAAAATTGTGACCTCTATATCGAAAGGAACCGAGATCTTTGGGTTATCAACTTACATTTCAACAAAATCGGATAAAAATTGTGACCTCTATAGTGTCCACAAGCTAAAAACGTGATTTTTCGTACAAACAGGGGCCATAATCCATAAATTTTCGATCCGATACATGCCAATATCGAAAGCAGCCGAGATATTTTGGAGATAAACCTATATTTCAAGTTTCGTCAAAATTGGATAAGAATTGTGACCTGTAGAGTGTCCACAAACAATTGTGGACAGACGGACGTCCAGACGTCCGGACGGACAGGGGCGACGGCATAATACGTCCACATGAAAATGTGGGCGTATAAAAACAATTCCAATAAAAACTGCAGTCTCTATCATGCTCACAATGTTTTCAGAAAAGGGGGCATAACTGTTAAAGCTGTTAAAAACTGTAGCCATTTTTGCCATCACAAGTTTTTCACACCATATATGAGAAAAAATCCACTAAAAGCAGTAGCATCTATCACTTTCAGAAGGCTTTTGAAAAGGGTCTAACTACTGAACAGAAGGTTGCAGAATGCTGAGTATCAATAGGGTTTGCTTCACATAAAATTTGAAAACGAACAGTTGCCATGCAAGATTCGACCACGTTTCGCAAGACATGAAAGGAGAGAAGGGACAATCAATAGGACATATCCTCTTCTTTTAATCGAATTCAAATAAATCTGTCAAAAGCTGTAGTCTCTATTCCGATCACAAGGTTTTTGTAAAAAAAAAAATGGTATCTATGGAACAGACGGTCATGGAACGCTGAATATCAATAGGGTTCGTCCCCTCATGATCCTAATGATCCACACCAAAATTAATTAAATCTGTTAAAAATTGCAGCGGAATGCTGAATATTGATAGTGTATATCCCCTCTTGAACCCAGCAATTTGAAAAAACTCTGTTAATAACAACAGCCTTATAAGGGAACATAACTTGGAACAAAAGGTCATGGAACGCTGATTATCAATAGGATTCATCCTCTTATGACCACGGTGCTTCACACTAAATTTGAAACAAATCTCTTAAAAACTGTATCACATTGACAAGCCAATTGTTGAAGGACAGGGGTGATGTCATAATGCGGTCACACTGAAATGTGGGCATATAAAAATGGGAAAATTGAGAGGTTGTATCGCCGTAAAGATGATTTCAAAATTATAGTAATTCTAATGTGTGCTGTATGATCCACGATAGATTGCTGGTAATCCAATCCACAAACGTAACAGCCTAACAAATAAAGCATTTGATGTAAATACCTGTCTTGAATCCTGGGTAGGTCGATCATTGCGGAATGTTTTCTTTAAATGTTTCAGTTCTTCGTTATATCTGAAATATTATTTTCATATTTTCTAGCTTTCGAACAATTTATTTACAACATGGTAAAAACAATGTTAATCCCAAATTTAATAACCTACTGATTAAAAAAATATTGCATCAACCAACATGCTACATATAATCATTTATACACAATAACTAAACATATAATATCTTCAAACATAATACAGACAACTCCCCACCTCTTTGTACATAGAATATAAAGTAGTAAAACATAACAGCCAACTAAGACATTTAAAAACATAACATCATTTGGGTTTTTAACACATTAACACAGAAGAAAAAAAACAACTGAAATTAAAACCTGAAATTTTTCTGTCCTAGAAAATGTAGGTATTATGAAAACAGTGTTAGTACTAGGTAGTGCAGTTCTAATCTACTGTTAATTTACTAATAGTCCATGCTGTATCAATATTTGCATTTAATCAAATTCCTGAATTGATGGAAGTAAAATAAAATGAATGGTACTATAAATAAAAATTCAAACTTAATGTGCAGCATTTTACTTACTGTCGCACTAAAGGCTCTGCAGCCTCACGTGGTAGTTCAATGAAGTCAATCCTATCAAATATATTTTCTTCATAAGTAGGGAGAGAGTAGTTAGCTTTCATATCTTGCACAGCAGCCTCCGGCACAAATTTTCCTGGAAACATACACTTTCATTCATGTTTGTTCTCAAAGACATGTATTCACATATTGGCATTTAATAAATAATGAAGCGATAAGCATGGTCACAACTGAATATAATGTGCAATAGTCCAAAATAGAGTCTTAGATTAGCGTATTATAGCTAGCTGTCCAGTTTGTTGTTCCTGCAAATAAACTCAATCATCTGTCGAATTACTCAATTATTTATGTGCTTGAATTAAAAACACTCACTGACACTTTGTTTATGAGATATGCTCCTGAATCATAATTATCAAACATGAAACATGAAATGTTTTTCTGAGAAATTTCCTATTTGAAAAAGGCAAAAATACCGGTACTATAATAGGTTGATATGTGTACAGAGTTTTATACAGATATCTGGAACGGTTTATGAGATATGCTCCGGCAACAAAATCAGGACAGAAGGAGTTCATTTCAATTTCAATCCTAACTGATTCCGTTGTACGCTGAGAAAGTTCCTCTGGATTATCCGACGTGGTTTCCACTTATCAAATGAGATGAAAAACTGAGATCCTGTGTACATTTTGGCATGCACATAAAACCACTCTTGATAGTTGTAATTCGATATAAGAGTAGGATGTAGTGCCGCTGTCAGGGCCAAATTTCCCTCATAGCACAATGCATAGTGTGTGCCAGTCTTCATTAGCCCAGTCCGTGCAGAAAAGTAGGATGTTAAACCTCATTTCATTTCCTTTGGCACAGGATAATAACACAGTCACAAATGCATACTTCTACATTTTGATTTACCATATGCCATGATTGGCCTGGGCTTTCATGCCCCTAAATTTTGATTTACCATATGCCATGATTGGCCTGGGCTTTGATTTAAGACAAATATCACATTCTATTAACAAAATTATTCAAAGTACTAGCGGTAAGTTTGAATGACACAGGCAAATAAATGATGAATAGCTCCGAATATCAGTGGAGTTATCCTTAAAAGCAATTTAAATAATTTCAGAAGGTAATTAAAATACCCCCAGAACAGTGGAGAAAACTAATAATTACTGGAAGTTAGGTTCCAGATAAAAAGAATACAAGTCCCCTAACCATGGATTATATACACATGTCCGTACATGTTTTAAAGCTGAAATAGCAGTGATAAATATATTATAAAGCAAAAACTCTTTCAGTGCATCTTTCAATTTCTAGTTTAAATTACAATAGATATAAATTTATTCCTGAAATAAATGAGAACTGGAATAGTAGAAATTTTTTTAATGTAATCATACATTCTGTGCTGAAAGTAGATAACGTTATTCATACACCTCCCAGCTGCTTTGTCACTCAGACAGCAAAATTATGTATTTCATTTTGTATCTAGACATAATATGTCATTATAAAAATTATGTTCCTAAATCAGTAAACTTCACCTCCAATATTCTTGGCAACATCATCTTGGCTATATCATTAAATTTTTAATGTATGCCCTGATATGTTATTTGATCATTTATCAACTGTTGGATTGCACTTGGTTGTTGTTAACATAAAAAAATCAATCTGTCGAGATTCTAAAACACTATTTTATCTGCCATGTTTTGAGAATATTTTTAAATTGAGTCTTGAGATTTGATTAAACAATATACAAGAACATAGGATTTATTAAAAATTCAAAAATCGATCAAATTTGATGGGTCTTTACATCAATAACGCAAAAAAAATTCTGACCTTTAAAGGGTTATCTACACAAGTTTTGAATTCATCTTCAAATAACAGAACTTAGGACATAATTTCCAGAAGTATTTCAAGATTTATGCCTCACTTAAAATAATGAAGGATATTGTAGACTACGGACAGGATAGCAATTAAAGTGGGAGTAGCACTTATGAAAATCAATATAGTTCCGTTCCAGACACTTTATCATTGTACTCTGGATTTCCTCTATTCCAATGCTTTTGATTACAAAATTAAGTTCACTGGTACTATAACATTTAATCTTGAAACACTAACATTTTTTTTCAGTCTCATCCTTATGAATGGGATACATTGAAATTCTGTGTAATTGAAATGTTCATTAAATTTGATAACCATATGCTTATTTTAACATTATCTGGGTCTACTCTCACTGTAAATGAAGACATATACAATAATTTAATTAAGCTGTATCTTGAGTTGAATCTGAAAATGTTTTGTCTAATAATAAATATATAAGAACCAGAAGCAGAAATGTAACTTATCATATAATAAGCTTATATATGTATCCAGTAGAAAATATGTAACTCAAAGAACAAAAATTTCAATCAAAACTATCCAAATATAATGTCAATCCACAACTGTTTAACGCTAATAATCAATAGCTAAACATGTCAAAACTTAATGTCTAAAAAAACAGGAATTTTTGTACAGAAATATAATTAATTCCCTTCAAAAAATTTATATGTTGTCTCCTGAAATAAAATTTATCTTATCTTGCTCCTGTGGATGATTTTCTATGTCTCAAATATTTTTGCTGAGTTAGTTGCTGTAAACAAAGGCATGGTGTTTTAAAACTATATCTGTAGATTTTGTCACAATTTATATACAACAATTAATTATATTACTTATCCCTTTTGGGTTGATAGTAAATATTTTATCTTCGATATTTATTTCTATGACATAGGCAGACATATCAATAAAGACCAAATATTGTGTCTTCCCAAAGCCACATAACTGGGCAAATAGGAAGCTGAAGATAATAGATTAAAATAAGAACTAGAGAGAGAGAGAGAGAGAAATGGGGTTTAACGTCCACTCGACACAAACTAGGTCATTTCGGGACTAACGTATGGTTTAATTTTATTTCAATAATTCGCTTGCGCGTAGGGGTCTTTAGCAGTGGGAGGAAACCGGAGGACCCAGAGAAAACCCACGAGGTTGGACAGGCGACCCTACTCCTTGTCACGTACAACCGGGGAATCAAAACCACGCCAGTTGACTCAATGACAGACTTTATGATACAGTGCGCACATGCTAACCATTCAGCCATCCAACCCCCCAAAATATGAACTAAAGTATATAATTTTGGTATAATCGATAGATATAAAGAAAAACAAATCTAATCATGTCCTAACAAAACAGTGCTATATTGTATATACAGTATATATTCTACAATATATTTGTTAACCCTATATCATCAATAAACATTTAAATGCTGTTTTTCCTTAGTACAATTCCATATATTCTTGCACTTCCCCCGCATTGAAATCATTCCTAAATTCCTATGTCTCTGATGCCTTTCTTAGTCTTCATTAATTTTTGGTTTTGTAAAGCATGAAATTAGATAAACGTAATGAATAATTCTTGCTCATTATATCCTTTAACATGTAAGAGTTTGACTATCACTTGTCAATACCTGCAATGGTTTTTTTCAAAATTTTCCTTGTAATTATTGGCTTCACACAAAATTGAAAACAACATCTTGCATTGGTTTTCATGGGCTGATTCTCTATTCTTTAGCACCTAGAAATGGACACAAAAAGTTCGCAGCGTATATAATAATGTAATATGAATATACATTCAATTGTTTCTGTTTTTACTGTAATTTCTAATCAGTTATGTTCAGGAAGTATTCTCCTCTGAAATATGTTTATCCTCGTTCATCGAGTCGCTTCATTACAATTAAATATTGGATATCAGAAGCCCATCTTTTCTTGGTAAGATAACAACATCAATGTTGATTTAAATTGACCAATAAGTCATGTTTGCAATGTCGAAGACTGCGCATGATATTGAGTTAAAGACTTGGCTACTTTAAAAAAGATTCTATATAGAGAAATAGGACATTAACGTATGAAAATTGATAATCAAGTTTTGCAAATTGCTTATGCCGGGTTCCCATTGTCCCTATTGAGTCCACGATCTGCTATGTGCAGATACGTTTGGATACGGTCAACACGATGGCTACAACTGACCTCAATATATGATAAATCCTGATAGGATCATCATGATTACTTCACAATTAAAACCACAATTTTGTGTTAAGAGGAAACCTAATATTGTCAAATTGGAGAAAAACTGTTTTGAATTAGTTCCATCGGTATTGGGATTTTTTTCATATTTCTTGTATATATATGCTAACAGCAAAAAAGGAAGGGATAAGAAGTGCTAAACCCAGCATACCAACACTCTTCTTATCATCTATACAAATTTCAAAAAATTATCAAACTCTAAAATAACAAATTTTACAAAAAAATCCCTATTCACAATACATCAAAGAACATTTAACAGAAAATATATAGAAATTCCAGATGCACATCTTTAGAAACCAAAACAACAATTAAAATAACATGTTTGATGCATAAATAAATACACATATCAAAACTCCTAATACATACAGTATAATATTAAATGTAAAAATCATACATTCTGAAATTGTTTCCTGAAATAAATTACGCTCAACAATTGCTTCTAAACATTTGTCTCAAAATAAAATAACAAAGCACTATTTCTGAAAAGGAGAGAGCTGAAAAAAAAAAAAAATAAGAACAAAAAAACTTGCTCATATAATCAATTCATATTATGAGCCCTAGATAAGTCAACAAAATTTTGTCTTCGAACTTAATAAAAAGAATACAAACTGCATAAAACTGACAAAACTTCAAACTGCCAATTGTAATAAAAAAAAACCCTCCAAACTGTCAATTCAAACACAGACAAAACATTTTTTAATAGCCACAAAACAGGTCTTTTTGGGATAAGCATATAGTATTCTATTTCAATAATTTATTTGTCCCCGCAGTTTTTTTTTTACCAATGGAAGGATACTCGAAAAGCCTGACACTTCCATTTCTTACAAATCTTATGATCTACAGTGAACCTGTATGTTAATGTCCGGAACTGTAACCCCAATGACCTATGGCATCAATAATATAAATACTTGAAATTCTTAACTTATTTCACCACATCAAACTCTTTCTATGTATAAGTGCTTTTGTTTCCTTCTGTTTGTTAACAAAACAATGAGTAGGAATTTAAATAGGATAACTTTATGAAATTGGTGTGATCTAGAAACATGTATATATGGCTTTAAAGGGACAATAACACTCTTGCTGGCTTGAAAGCTCCAGAAAATAAATAATATCTCTATCTATGTACTAGATGTTTAAGTGTCCTACCTGTTGTGTAAATTATCCATTACATCCTATTTTACTTGTCCAGAGGGTTCGAAAATATTTTTAAATCGAAGCTTCATTTGAAAAGGTTTACGTTAGACGTTTCAAACCATTATGTTGAATTTTTCAAAATTTTTAAATAAGGTGTGTTAAGATGAAATTAGTATCATCAATTAATTGAAATATTCTAAAATAGTACAATTTCTGGACCAGAATAAAGATTGGGACATATTATTCAGTGGTATTGAGCCTTTAATGAAAGAAAACATTGTGGTAACTACAATTCCTCGGTTTGAAGGATATATATATGATAGGAATGAGTATCAGATGGTGTTTTATGAACTAGTTCCTCTGTATAACCAACAGTCAACCAAATAGTCATTTATATCTTTAGTTGTGCAGAATAAATAAATATATTAAATATATATCTGAAAGTAAAGATCTGAAAACAAAATATTTTCTTCAGATGGCTAGTACACTAGGCCTTTTTTTTCGATGAATGGCAAATTAACCCTTATCAACATATACCACATTTCATACTCAAGTAAGCAAACCCAATATTCTACACAAAAAGATAGAATACAACACAGACAAGTATGTATTAAAAAATCTAACAGTGTTCCAGGCTGGTGTATTTTATGACTAATAACAATTATGAAACATGTATCCTAATCCTTTAACAAACTAACTTTACCCAGCTTATACTTGTCATTTATCTTGAAAATATAAAATTTAAAAAGAAAAAATGCCTGAAATAAAACACTGAAAACAAAATTTATTGTAAATTTTTTCTTTCTTCTTTAATCTATGTCAACAAAATAGTGTTTTTAATTGAGAAAAATGTCAACTTTAGATTAGAGATGAGCCGATAGGGTTGTTATAAAAAAAATCAATATCATACTTTTAGTAAAGCTACCGACAGATAGAAATACTGAAAATTAGTATACTAAAAATTTCTTTGACGAGAAACCATTTATCATTGAAGATAAACTTTGGGAAAAACTCACAGATTCTTCTTTGAAACGACAGTTCAATATTATATTTAGGTCTCTAATACAAGTAAGTGTTTATTGTAATATAAACTGAAGATAACATCATAAACAGAGTTATTTTTAGTTACACAAAAGATCTGGCATAACGATTGACAAGCTGCCTAATTATAACTTTATACTAACTATACATTTTTGAAATTCAATTAAAATTTATTGATCTTGAAATTACCATCTGAAGTTATTAAGTTAGAAACTACATTAAATGATAAATTACAAAATGTATTCATTTGATTATTCATAGATATTTATGTTTTTTTCTCCAACAAGTAAAAAAAAAAAAAAGCAAATTAATTTTACAACAGTTACTATACTGTGTACCATAATAAAATCAAGATTTGAAATAATAAAAAAAGAATCGCACAATTATGCATTTCTTTAACTTGATATTGTAACCATATTTTTTTTATTCTGCAGCTATAAAAAATGATCCACAAGCTGACTACATTCAGACACGCTCATACCAAAAATAACTGTGGATCAATAATGATACCACTGTCAAAGGCAATAGTTACATTAGGTAGTTCAACTGTAAATGCTGGAAAGTTGATAAAATTTGGGAGTAATTTAAATTTCATAAAGAGGGTGACAGTAAAGCACTGCAATAATTTATACAAAATCAAATTGAATCAGCTATCTTGGATTCAATCATGGCAAAAATATTACAAAGTTCAAGAAGAATTGCTCAAACTCCAACAATGATGTAATTAGTAGGATGAATATCTGAAGGCCAATCTCATTTTTAAAAAGGACTTGTTATATGATACATAATCTAAGATGCGTACAAGTCACATCTTAAAAGCACAATATAATTTCTTTACAATTGAATATATGTCAAAACATAAGAAAAAATGATCAATAACAGCCATTAAAGATAGATATTATAACCAATAATCGGCTCATCTCTACTTTAGACCCTGTAATAAAATGATAATTTTCATTTTGTTCAAGATGAGTCAATTGTTTTATAATATACAAACCATCTTCATGTGTTCTTTTATATGATCTTCTCTCTAATTCTTGGTTATCAGGTTGTAGGACAGCAGCAATGCGATAAAATTTTTGAAAGTCTTTCATTTTGCGTTTTCTAGCAGAAGCGTACACATTGGTTTGATCTAAGATATAATTTCTCTTCTTTTTACAAGCTACAAATATAACAAGGTCATTTTAGATGAAAAGAGATCAGTTTCAGGTGATAAATTTCAAATAAAAGTAGGAAATATTTTCATTACCAATACACTGATAAACCAGTCAGATTGATGAACTAGGTCTATTTGTCAAATTACACAATAACAGACAATACAGTAATCAAGATTACCCACATTCTTTATATTGTCTACCTTATGTTGAGCAGTTTTCTGGAATATCCAATAAAACCATACCATATTTAGCTCATGGTTCAGTTGAACTAACAGTCATAATTCTGGGGAAATTGAACTATTATTCTGAGGTATTGATTGAGTATCTACATTCTTGTTAAAGCGAGTCATGTATTTCCTAAATATTTGTGAATAAGACTGTTTTCCATGTCAAAAAATTGCTTCCTCTCCAAATTCGGATACCATTATTTAGACTTATGGTGCATCCAAGACTACTAATTGATTTAAATAGCTAATGAAGTAAAACAAAAGAGAATATTTAAAATGTAAAAAAATTTATGGCATCCATTGGTATCTCCAATAATCCACCTAAAATAACACTATGTTTACATCAGAGTCTGTGGCTACAAAATGACCAGTCTACTGATGAACACATGAAGAAAATAATTTAAATTCTAGAGCAATAAACTATTATGCTCTTGACGATGTTATAATGAGATATGGAGATAACTATTTACAGACAAAACAAAAAGTAATCTACCTATTTTAAACAATCTATTTAAGCATTTAGTTGATTTGTCGATCAAGACTTCCCATCTTCCATGATAGTTTCTTTTTCTTGGCAAACCCATAACTTTCATCTTATCAATAAGAGTATCAGATCCAACAACATTATAACGTTTTTCAGGATGAGATTTCTCCATATTAATACCCCACAGGGTTTTGCCTGCTCCTGGTAATCCAACTATCATTATCATCTAAAATCATGAAAAATTATATAAATAAGTGTTTATTTCTTGGAAGTAGAATTTTATCCCCAACTTCTGTTCTTTGAATTACAAATCCCTTAGTAACTTTAATTATGACTTGATACACATCAAGGAATGGGTTAAAGGCATTATCTCTGACATGTGGCAACTAGTTGGAAAAATGTAGCATTTTAGTTGGGAGTTCACATCTCTAAGCACAAAACTATCACAGTGCGAAAGCTGTGCAACCCAGATTATTTACAATGAATGTAGATGATTAAGCTATAATCTCTCAATTACAGAAAAAAATGGCTGCCATTCAGACAGAATACATTTTTTACCTCACAATCTTCAAACCTCTCTGGCTCCAATAAACCACGTACTAGTTGAAAACCCGGTAATTTATTAATATATGTATAACCTCTTGGTGGTGGAAACCAAGGATCTATCTGACCAAAATTCACTCGGAATCTGAAACAAACAGAAAAGGTTATTGCATTTTATCTGAAATGATCATGACTTAAATTTCTGTAAATTATTCTTTGATAATTGTAGGATGTTAAACCCTATTTCATTGTTAATTAAACATTGTTGGTAGTGGCATACCATATTGCAAAGTTCAATTTCCAGGTAAAAATCCATGCCGACAGCAGCTAAGATTCTGTGACATAATCAGTGGCAAATAACTTTATAAATAATGTTGTCTCCTGTCTAGATACATTATAAAAGACACATAAACACAATTAACACATAATTTTACCTAGAATTTTTAGACAGGACATGTGGAAACAGTGCCATTTTATCATTTCCAACCTGGTATCCATGAATAGGCAAGGCAATTCCTAACCATGTGCCATTCTTTAAGTAAGATATAGTAGCCGGAGTAGAATCTAGGTCCAACATAGCACCTATAACATCACCAGCTCCAAATATTTCACCATAATTACTAAATTTACAATTTGTAGAGAATTTCCCTGTTCCACCATATCCGTATGACATGGGTTCTTCTCCTGATATAAATAAACAAAAACATAAGCTACATACAGCTGGTATCTGAAAAACATGCCTTGTATAACCTACACAAATTATGCAATCAAATGTGAAGGTATGGCCTATTTACTGTGTCTGAAAGAATCAGTTCAAAATGTTTAGGAATTTGGAAATGATAGTGATAGCCAATCTAATAGGATTAAGTAACTCTTTCCGAGTGCTCACCTGGGACCAGAATTAACAAGGTTTTTCTGCACTAAAATACATTGGCTTTATTTCCCGACATAATCTTATGCCTAGTATTTTTACTTCAGCTATATTTCAATGCTTGTAATTCCTTTTATGCACCAAATACATAACCAGGTGATACTTAATGCATATACATACAACTTAAACCGATATATAGTGTTAATCTTACAGCAATTATAAATACTTACCTAACTGAAAGGAACTAGAGTTAACAGACCAACCCACACGTATAATATGCGGGTTTGTTTCTTCATGATCATGTCCAAAATCTACAGGCAAATTTTCTGTAATATGCACTTCATAAAATACCTATAGTAGTATAAACATGGTTTGATATTACATCATTAGAGAGATATCAGGCACTTGATAATTATTCATTTATATTACCAGAGATAGAATAAAGAATTTTACTTCAACTACTCCATATAATTCAGAAAGGTTATAAAAATGTTTAAATTTCAGGATTGACAGTAATTAACTATATGCCTTTGAGTAAATCAGATTTAGTTGTTGTTCCTAATTCTGTTCAGATCAAGTATCAGTTTAGTATAGTTTAAGATTGTAGCTTAAATATCTTTTATAATATGAAGACAAACGCATTCAAAATATTTGTACCTTTCCTGTACACACACCATGTGTACCTCTAGCACCAGCCCACGTAAAACAGAATCCTGGCGGATCAGTTAATGGGCATCCACCATACCTATAAATAGAACAAGACATTCATCAACTTAAAACTAGCGGTTGTCATGCAAGATATGTCCACATTTTGCAAGAGATGGTCAGAGAACAAGCTAAATATGAGATTTTTCGTACAATCAGGGGCCATAATCCAAGAAATGATCCAATACACACAAATTTCGAAAGGAACCATGATCTTTGGGTTATAAACATACATTTTTAGTTTTGTCAAAATTGGATAAAAATTCTGACCTCTATAGTGTGTACAATCTAAAAATATGATTTTTCATATAATCAGGGGCCATAATCCATGAAGTTATCGTCTGATAGATTCTGATATATTGAAAGAAACCATGATCTTTAGGTTATAAACATACACTTTTAGTTTTGTCAAAATTGGATAAAAATTCTGACCTCTATATTGTCCACAATCTAAAAATATGATTTTTCATATAATCAGGGGCCATAATCCATGAAGTTATCTTCTGATAGATTCTGATATATCGAAAGGAACCTGTAGAGTGTCCACAAGCAAAATGTGATCGGACGGACAGGAGAATTTACAATATACGTCCACATGAAAATGTGGGCGAATAAAAAGAACAATATATCACAATTCAGTATCCAGTAGCTCTTAGTCTTAATGACGTTTATAACAGATATTGAAAAGATTTATGATGATCACTGTATTGCTTAGTTTCAAAAGACAGAGAGAGAAATGGGGTTCAACATCAACTCGACACAAACTAATATATGGTTCAATTTTATTTCAATAATTCGCTTGCGTGTATGGGTCTTTAGCAGTGGGAGGAAACCGGAGGACCCAGAGAAAACCCACAAAGTTTTTGGCCATCCAACCCCCTGCCTAGTTTCAATAAATGTATATTCATTTGATTAGTACAAATATATTTACCCATCATTGTCAATTTCAAGATGTAGGTCAGAGTTGTAGGTATCTAAAGACATAGGTGCTTTATCTCGTGATCTATCATCAACCATATCAAGGGTTTTAGAATCAACTTTTTGTAGTTCAGCACCTGCATATCTGAAATAAAAATCAGGTACAGTAGTACCACTTAGGGGAAACCATGCCAGAAAATTCTGATCAACTTTCCCAACCAACATTGGGATTGAACACGGGACATACAGGTTAGCGAGCCAACCTCGTGGTCAATGAGGCACTGTGGCTTCATAAACTCAAAGAAGAAAGTCTCTAAGCTATTTGCGTACAAGTAGCAGCCATTTTGTCAAGCGGTTTCTGTCTTTTTTTCACAATATTCGAACGCAACCATTATTAATGTGTAACGGTAAACTTTTTTTTAAAACAGACAAAAATTGTGACCTCTAGCTTTCCACAAGCTAAAAAACCTGATTTTTTCATAAAATCAGGGACCATAATCCAGGAAGTTACGGTCCGATATGCGCAAATATCGATAGGAACCAAGATCTTTGGGTTATAAACGTACATTTCATGTGTATCAAAATAAAAATTGTCCACAACCTTGGTAATACATACTTTTAGACTATTTGCATTACGAAATTTGAACTTAACCTTCATTGAGGTTTAACAGTTATATTCTTAAACATTGTTCAAAATTGAATGCAAATTAGTACTTTTAGAGAGTCAACAAGCTAAAATCATGATTTTTCAAACAATTAGGGGTCATAATCCTTGAAGTTGAGTTCCGATATGTGCAATTATCGAAAGGAACCAAGATTTTTGTGATGTAAACATAAAATTAAAGCTTTATCAAAATCGGATCAAACTTGTGACCCCTAGAGGGTCACAACATTGATAATTGATATGCCATAATTTTACACCATTTGTGTACGAGGAGTGGCCATTTTGTCCGGCAGTTTCTTTCCGATTTTCACAAAATTCTAACTCAACCATCATTATGGTGTAACAGTGACATCTTCGAAAGTATTTTTATTGAAATCGGAGATCTTTGTGAGATAGACCTATATTTCAAGTTTTGTCAAAATCAGATAAAAATTGTGACCTGTAGAGTGCAGGGGTTGAAATGTTTGTAAAATTGTACTTGTCTCAGGTGACAAGTAGAAATATTTTTTACTTGTCACTTGGTCATATTAAGTTGTCACCACTGATTTTCGTTTTTAATAAAAAAAATAAAAAAAAATTAATAATAAATAAACTTATTGTATTTCAATTTCATTTGTAAGAAATGCTTACAATCAGACTCTGTGTTCACTTTAGCACATTTTAGCGGAAGTAATGAAACAAATGACGACTGTTTTCTCACTCGAGAATCTTCGCTATTCCGACTCGTTCCTTGTCCGCACATTTCCAACTCATGGTGATAATAATATAATTTGAAATAATACGGTATCCAATCAGGCATGCATGTATATTTTACATCCCAAATGAACCACGGCAAACGGAATTCAACGATCAAAATATTTAATTTTCTTCGGGAAGAATTTTCTAATATATTTTATTTTTTAATACAAAACGAAACATTAAATGATAGGCTTTATATATATATATAATTGATGTATGCCGCCTGTTCAATCGTGGTTGTGATTGTCATTCAAATTTCAAGGTAATTAATGGTCAAGCAAGGACATATATACATGTATACGATTAGAATTTTAAGATTTTTTACCGCCATGTACCTCAAAACATTATCGACAAAATTAAATTTTAATCACAACTTCCATTTTAATATCGTAAATCGCCAATTTGACGACCTACAGCTGAGCCATGATTGCCATGGAGTTATGTAATATTGACTGTGATTGGGTGATTAAAAAGGAATAGCCAATGGCAATAAGGCTTTCAAGGTCTCAGTAGTGTTACTATTTTAATGCAAAGAAACCTTTCCCAGACGTATGGAGCAAACTTAAAAGGACCATATAAGTTTCAGTCTTGTCAATCAGGGAGAAATTCGCCACCACACTACTATGGAGATAAACGGACAGCTTGTCGCGTGCTGTTAAATAACGTCTAATTATTTGTTTTAAAATGAAAAGTTCCCCTCTTCCAATTTTACTGGAATGGATAAAACAGATATACATTTTTACTATTTAAGCCTGAATTGTTATAGATATTATTCTAGTTGTCGCCGGCGAAGTAGATTTTTTTTCTACTTGTCCATTGAAAATGTTATTTGGATTCGACAAGTAGACAAGCGTTATTTCGACCCCTGGTAGAGTGTCCACAAACAAATTGTGGAAAGACGTCCGTCCTCACAACAAAAATATATGTCCACATGTAAATGTGGGTGTATAAAAAGTTACAAACTATGATGATACATATATTTCCATACTATTACTAGTATTACTACATCATGGTTTTCTTATGAACGAATTTCATTTGATTTAGGATCATTTACCATCAAATTCAAATTTCAGCCAGTGGTTGTTCAGTACCCATATAGGTACCTTGTTTCTGCTATTCATAAAGAAAACAAAACCTTACACTTCATGTAACCTCAAATCAAGAGTAAGTTGGAAATGTAAAGTTTATTAGAAAGAGATGAGTCCTGGTGGACAGAAATGACATTAACTCTTTATAATCGATCTAAAAACGTGAACCCCTCTGTTGTCAAAATAAGATAGCTGTCCAAATTTCAGGATATTAAATTTTTTCAAGGTTCAAGTCAACTGTAGATGAATTTCTATTCAAGCCCATACCATTTTACCCATTCTTCTTCACTATTTATCTTTATTTCTATGATCTTGATACCCGGTACTTGCGGTATATCCCTCAACTCTTTTTGCCATGATCACAGAACTATTGTTGACAAAGATCTCATTTTGAATCAAAAATACACACCACATAAATGAAAGTCAATTACACTTACCTGCTTGCATCTTCATTTCCAACTAAACCTCTTTTCAGATCCATCAGATTAGCCATGGCACCCATTGTTAAACCTGGTGGCATCTGCATACCAGCTGGCAGTCCTTGAGTCATTCCAGAAGCAAGTCCATGGGTCATGCCAGGGGAAAGTGATGGTGTCATTCCTGTCATTCCAGGCATACCAGTTGCCATAATGGGCATGGCCCCTGATGTTGTAACAGGATTACCATGAGCTACTGCGAGTTGTGCTGCTGCCAATTGTTGTGGATTCATCATCTGTAAAGATGGATGGGGAAGAACCCCTGGAGCCATTCCACCCATTCCTGGTGGAGCCATTTGTAATGCATTAGCTGGCATGGCCACCATATATGGCCTTGGTACCACCATTGGTACAAAAGCCGGATATTGATTCATTTTGATTTGTATCTTTACTCTGTTATTTTATCATTTCAATTCTGAAAAGAGAAATACAAAATATATACCATAAACAAACATTGGTCATTATAATGTTAGACAACGACTAAATCAGCTTAAAATTGGATGATTAGCTGCACCCGCATATACCCAATAACTGACACCATAATGAAAACAAATCGTGAATCATGGAATGCCAGTTAACTCGCCCACAAGCAAACGCTTCCACACAAAAAGTCTGGTTATGTTTTTCACAAATAATAAAATATGCTGTTGAGTCGTCCACACAACATTGTGTATGTCAATGTTATGGATAAGGATAGTATTCATAGTGATTATAATTAATTGTATTGAGTGATGCTTTATCGTCATATCCATGTGGTTTTCACAGCATTTGATATAAGTATAATTTTCATGATAACAATTGGGAGGCTTAGATCGCGATTCTAGAGTAGTCGCATTACGTCTAATTTAATAGGCTAATGCCAATGGCCGAAAGAAAGAGGATAACACAAAGAATTTCTCTGGAACTAAATTCCATCCAGAGGTTCTGAGCTATATTCTACATAGAAGACCAACGAATGATGTATTGTATTTTGGGATCAGGATTAAATGATTATTTCACTGCATGCTACTGTTTGTTACTGTTAGTGTGTATCATAATCATTTCATACTCATACTATAGAATGTACATGTATAGACCTGGTACTACTAGTACTAATATAGTTCAGCTCTGAACGTAGGTCTCCTTACAATCGACCTCTACGTTCAGTAACCATTGAAAAGTTGCGAATCTTCAGTCATTTACTGCTTTGCCTAGCCCAATTACAATCAAATTTTTTCAAAAAATTTCAATTTTGTTTCAACCGCTTACCTAAATTTCGTTTCGTCTTTTATGGTCGAGTTACGTAAATTTGTGCGTTACCCTATATTTAATCCAGAGTGTCTTGAGGTTTCGTTCACACGTAACCTCAAGATTCCTGAAGCTGTACTTATTTGGAGCGAACTGCGACTGAATTGTTGGCACATCAAATAGCCTCAAGCTGAAAGGCGTCAGTCGATAAATTCTAAATGCATGTCCTACCTTATTGTGTGATCCATCTCTGAACAACAATGACACTTACTGACAAACAAACGTTGTTCAGTGAAACAGACTTATCCAATATTACATACACCAACATTTCTTTCAGTCGCAATGTTGAGATAGTTTGACCTTTTTTTGACGTCATATCCTCCGCATTAAAATTTGAGGACACCTGTGGCTGTTTTACGCGAAACAAAGTGCATTTTTGTACAATATTTCTATGGATTGTGTATATGTACTGTTTTTGTAGAGATTTTATATCGGGATAGAAGACGATGTTTATTGAAGGAATAATTAGGTCGCTCTTCACATGTAGTTGAAAATACACGTCCTTGACAATTTATAAATGCCGTAGCTAAAATTAGCTGACATGGCACAACTGCCTTTCTTTATATTTAACAAATACTGTTGTCATTTTCCGTCACTGAACGTGCAATTTTTATATTTGTAGATAGACAAATGGCCCGTGCAATGATTTTCCGTGTCAATTTATCTGGTTCTAATTGTGTTTGGTCGTACTGTCATAAGTATAAAATTTACAGAGTCTTCATGGAGTAATAAAGTCATCGAAATTTGTTTTCCTTTCGATCATTTAGTTATTCGTGTTCCCAACGGTTGCCATCATGTCAACCATAACTAAAATTGATTCATCAAATTTCCTACGGCTCTGCCATAACCGTCTATAATAAGGGCACTATTTTAGAAAGTGAGCATTCTTATGAAAAAATAAATTATAACTGTAGGCTCGGGACACTATTTACAACTAAATCTTGCATTTCTGAATTATTGACCTCATCCCAAGCCCAGCCACCCCTGAACGACTGTATGATATTGAAAAGTTATTACCTATGCATTTCATGCGTCTACATGTATATAAAAGGCATAATTTTTTGATACGTGTACATGGACAACGGTGCAATTTGGGCTATTTTTATTACCGTGGCAGTCCGTGTTTGCTTCAGCTTTTACTTTTTAAGACAGTTTTGCCGTTGCCGTGGTAAATTCTAGCATTGGCGGTATGATTGAGATTATTATTTATAAAATGTTATTAAATGTTAATTACAATATAAATCCTTAAATTTGTCAGCGTTCGTAGAATGTTTCATCGCTACCGGTTGATTATGATAGCTTCTGTCTTGTCAATGTCACTTGACATTTTCCTGCTTTTTCTATCTATAGAGTTGAAAATATCTATAATAAAGCACTGAGTCTTGTATCACACACACGGCAACTAAAATAAAAGGGCTGATTGCCATTTTAAGTAAGAGACTAGAGAGAATGCCTTGTTCACAATCTGAATAACATTTTATGAAAAGATATTTGGCTGCCGAGACATTTTGAACAGATATCGGCTACGCAAATATCGGGAGAATTTCTTCTGATAGGCTACTCATTGGGCAATTAGGCTACTGAATGGTGAAACCGATAATTGGACCATCACTAAAAATTTACAATGATTAAAAATTTCGTTTCGTTTAACGAATTCCGTTCATAATGTGCACCATGCCAGATTTCAACTTTTGCCAATGTAGGTCATTTCCTGTTTCACTGTGTTTTGTCAGTTGTAGGCGAAGATTTTTGTGAAATCTCTTAAAATAGACAACAAAAAAGATTTTTCGAAACATAGATGGATATGATATTTAAGTTTAACGTGTTAGCAGTGCAGATAACTGAAAATTGTGAACCTTGCCGTCCTCTGAAAGAAGTAAACTAGTTATCAACTTTTGCGACGAGCTTTTGACTATTCAGATGTTAGATGTTACGTCGTCAGAATATCAAATAGTAACATCTAAATTGTTGGATTACCCTTAGATAACACATCTCATCTCTCAACCCTCCGTGTTTCGAGATGAGAATTGTTCCCATTATCTTCAACGTAGCAGCTCCGGGAGTGATTCACTCCCGCTAGTTTTAAACAAAATTGAAATGAAATGAAATGTAGTTTTATGGCACGTCAGCTCCAACCGGGCTATATTGCGCCAAACATATGGTGAATATTACGAAAAGGGCTAAATTATATCACAGAAAAACATTATATGCATAAATAAAAACAATATCACAGTTAGTAAAATTAAAAATAAAATACAACTTTTATGCATATATAAATATTAAATACAAAAATGAAATGATATATATATATACAATTAAAATTTATGATAAAATCCTGTCTCTTTTAAAAAGTCTAACACTTTACCATATAGACCCGGTTGGGCAAACATGTGATGTAATGACTGACAACGGTAAAAATTTGATCTAATATTCTTGAAATGCTTGCACTCAATCAAAATGTGCTTAACTGTCAAAGGAACATGACAGTGTTCACATTCTGGTTGAGGCTCTCGCTTTAAAATGAAAATATGAGTTAAAAAAGTATGACCAATGCGAGAGCGACACAAAACAACTTCATCTCTCCTGTTAGTTCTATAGGAGTTAGGCCAGTCTCCTAAGAGAGGCTTAATGTGATGAAGTTTGTTTGTGCCTGCAAGATTCCAAGACCGTTGCCAGCGGCCATAAATAAAAAGATTGATTGAAGATTTAAAATCAGAAAATGGTAAAAGGAATTGTGATATGGGAAGATCTAAAGCAGACTTGGCAGCTAAGTCTGCTAGATCATCCCTTTAATATCAACATGATTGGGGAGCCAGCAAAGGACAATGTCCTTGATGATGAACTCGTGTGATAGTAGCAGACGATAAATATCTGCTACTAATGGGTGCACAAACTGTTTGTTGTTTATTGCCTGAGAGAGAGAGAGAGAGAGAGAGAAATGGGGTTTAACGTCCACTCGACACAAACTAGGTCATTTCGGGACTAACATATGGTTTAATTTTATTTACATAATTCGCTTGCGTGTAGGGGTCTTTAGCAGTGGGAGGAAACCGGAGGACCCGGAGAAAACCCACGAGGTTGGACAGGCGACCCTACTCCTTGCAACGTACAACCGGGGATTCGAAACCACGCCAGTCGACTCAATGACAGACTTTATGATACAGCGCGCGCACGCTAACCATTCAGCCATCCAACCCCCCGTTTATTGCCTGTAAAGAGGACAAAGAATCAGTAAATATAACATGTTTGACAATATTTTTCATCAAAACAACGATTGATTATTGTTATTTATAATATTTCTGCCACACCCAACTACAATTAAGCATATAATCCTACTTGAAACGGGCACAAATCGTTGTATTTAAAATCGAGGCGTTAAGCCGTTACTAAGACCGCCATCTTTTTAAACAGCAGACGTTTAACGCTGTCATCATGAAGGCGGGGCTAAATAGAAGGCTTTTATAACAGCCAATCAAAAAGTGGAGAACATGTCAACACACAAAATGACATCCACATGTTATATCCGCGAATCATTTCAGAAAATAAAATCAAATTACGGCGATAATGTTGAATTAAAACCTGAACAAGAAATTATTTTGGACCTGATAATAAATGACAAGAAGGATGTTTTTGCTTTATTACCGACAAGATTTGGCAAATCATTGAATTATATATTAATTCCATATATTTCAAATGAAGTAAAAGGGGTGTGTAGTGTCGGCGCATGTCTAAAGCACTCTAACTATGAATGGATTTAAATGGCGGTGTATGTCAGACAAAAACAACGCTTCATTAATTCAAACGTGAATATTTGGAGTTACTGTCTGTTCCAGGTTATACTCCGACTCGAAAAATCCTTGCCATGCCTTCATTTTTTAATTAAAATGGCTAAAACTTTGTGACATACCTGGAATCGTCACCCCTTTGATTTCTTCCCTTAGAATAAATGACTAGAACTCCGATAAAATCCAGTATTCTCTTGTAAATTTCATATATTTCGACATTGTCACTTTCTCAGAACATAAACATTTCAACTACGCGTGCGTTAAATGGGGCACTTGCATTTCGCATTAGGGTAGACAGGTACTTCACAAATTTGGTGCATTCGGTTAGAAATGTCTAGTGAAGGAGAATTCGTCCGTTTGTTTCGCGACAATAAAACTTGTTAGGTTTTCACACTTTGAAGCTTGTTTGAAACAGTATTGTTCTTGCTCAGATTGATATGGTTTTTTTTCTGTTTCCACCTTGCTTATTTCGCACAAACATTCTCATTGGATAATTTTGAGTGACTTAAAGATTAAAGCTATTTTGAAAAGGCGGCACATGTCAGAACCATGCGAACTCTCAGAAATAAGTAAATTGGTGTAAAAAGTTAGCACTTATTTCAATTTGAATAAAAATGTCGGGTAAAATGATTCCGAAATTTGCTTCCTGAGACTTTATAGCTCTGTTGTAAGACTGAAACCAATTTTCGAATTTCGTTTTCCTGCAATTTAGATCTTAAGACTGAAACACAACTATTCTCAAAAGCATATATAAGTCATATATAAGAGCAAACGAAAATCCATAGATCATTTTAAATTTTTGACATGTCCGGGAAATAAGCAATTTTGTGGTAATCACTTTCAACTTATTATGCCCATAAAAGAATAAATACTTGTTTGATTTTCATACCAAAATTTGCAGCATTCTGTAAATATTCCTTAGATGTAACCAATTGGTCACTAAAAATGACGTCATTCTGGCAAAAATTATATTTTTGCGAATATATTCATCAACAGATTTTAATATTTCCCACTGTTCATTACATTATCGATATTCATAGAATTGCATTGCAGCAGATTGAATGGTAATCTAATTAAAACACAGATTCTATTTTGTTTCGTTTTTATAGTTCAAAATTTCGTTTTAATTGTCTTTACTACTCTAGAATCTGGAAGAGTTGCTATTATTGACGTGTTCTGGATGATGTGGGGAATTAGCCATTGAAACGGTCATTACGGCGAGTTCTTGGGCTTTTGATGCACGGAACTGTGGGTAAACCACAAGAAACGTTAACGCTGATTGATTAATCAATGGCTGATGTCATAAGATCAAAAGTCGTGCAATTAACTCCCGACGTGAACTTCCTTCCATAAAAAATTACGCGCTATGTCAAGGAATGTGTCAAACAATTATATTACTGTAGTTATTTGAGAAACATAATACAGTGAATTATAAACCAATAAAAAGTATTTAAAAAAAATATTGCCTACCTTCTAAATATACAAGTAAATTCTGTATACATGCACTACAAAGCCGGATCGCAAATAAAGGACGGTTAAAATCTGTTTACCAAAATTAGATACATTTGACCTGACCAGTTAGCGACCATCCACACAGTAATGGCTCGTATGTAAGTTAATTTATTTTAAAAATGCATTATATAAGGGCCACATTTGCCTGTCCTCCTTTAGGCCCTAAATGTTATTTAAATTATTAATTAGACATTTATTCTCATGACCACTCTAAAGCATCGGGTGGTCGTGATTTTTAATGGAGTGAAATGGATAATCGAGAATATTGTTATTATCGTAAAAATGGTAGCAATGGAAATCGAGATTGCGCTTTTCTTATCAAAACTCCCAACATTTATACCTTCGCTCAGATTTATGTAATTTGACTGAAGTGTCAATATATTCCTTTATCATTATCTATTTTTAAACTATAATATCTAAACTATCAGCTCTTTATCTTAATCTTTAGATAACAGTCACATACATGTAGGCCTATGTCATGTTATTGATTTAATAACTGCCTAAATGATCTTATATAATAGTAGTATTATTTTTGTTGAAGGTTTCATTAGGAATTGCGCTACATAGAAAATTATTTGATCACCATGCCAGTTTTAGCTCAAATTTGAAATTTCCAACAGTTCTCAAGGCAAATTTTAAGCCACTGAATAATGCAAACCGCCATAACCAATGGACATTGTGGACCGAGTTACGTTTGAGTATGTCTTGCAGCCTTCTTCCACAATTCAATCACATGTCAGCTAGGTAGGGGGTTAAAATTTGCATGTAGCTTATATCGATATCAAAAAATTACAACCTTCGGACAGAGGGAAATTAAATATTCAAGTTAGTGGGACAAACAACCATGGTCTGGGATTCAGTAAATAACTCTTTGAAAAGAGTTATATTCTACTGGACCGAAACAACCAAAATACATTCAAGTAGGGTGAAACGACTTAACGCAAACCCAGCACCCCTTGTCCACTTAGGCTCGCCCAGATAACTAGGCCAAACATGGCTGTTTCCAGTAGTAAAATGTCAACAAAATTTGGTTTTACAATAGGGTGACCCACCATAAATAAATATCTCCAAATATCTCGACAATTACGCCACAATATTTATATATATGCCAAGCCTCAAATCAGTTTCACACAATTATAGTCACTAAATAAACGATCATGTTGTACTTAATAAGCTATGACCATTAATCATCTATAAATATTAGACTGAAAACTGGTTCCAAGTTGCGTCCATAACATCCAGACACTTTTGAGTAAAAGATAGGTTACGTGCCCTTGTTTTGAAATTAGTCTCGCTTAACCAGTCTATCGACCATTCTACGTCTGATTGACAGGTCGGGATAATCAAGACTACTTTTTTACGAAACATAACAGAAAGCTAGAACAAGAAATTGAATTTAGAAATAAGCACTTTAGACAACTCAACAATTGTTTTAAGAAACTTGTAAAAGTAAAATGAAACTACTGCTAGTATCATGTTCCTGCTAAAGAAAGTGATTCAGAGATAGTATTTGTACGAAACCAAAAGATGCCGCTCTTAACGGTACAGTTAATGATAAAGCAATTTAAAAAATAAAACAAACGTAATTACTAAAGCTGCTGTAATAACCAAGAAGCTAAATTTTACTGCTATTCAAAATCGTCAACAATAGATTTTTTACGGCTGTAATAGTTGATATATTTGTAGAGAATTGCACGTGCCATGGCTATTTATCGACTCAAAGCGAGTGCGGGGTAGTCAGAAATCAGTTCGAGACACGCAACTGATGCGTGCACATTTAGCCGTGTCGAGACCAATTTTCTGTAAAGTGCACGGGTCACCCTATTTACAAAGGAGAAAGGCTATAAAGCTTGACCTGAACTTAGTTCTCATAAGAAAGAAAGTAATGGGTTGACCATTCGAGGTATTTCACGAACTTTTAGCCATTTTAATTACAATTTGAAGAAATGACAAGCAATTTTCGAGTCGTAGTATTACCTGGAACAGACAGTAGGTGATAGTTGTGCCACTACATTGCCCTATGTAAGTTTAATTAGTCATAATAGCATAAACTTATCTTATTTTAAAGATGTTACATGCATTATTAAAGAAATTGAGTTTGCCACTTGGAACTAAAGACATCCAATCATAGCTAAAAACAAACTCATCAGTATATCTCAACGTTTTTAGCTACAAGAAATTATTTTGGACCTGATAATAAATGACAAGAAGGATGTTTTTACTTTATTACCGACAAGATTTGGCAAATCATTGAATTATATATTAATTCCATATATTTTAAATGAAGTAAAAGGGGCGTGTAGTGTCGGCGCATGTCTAAAGCACTCTAACTATGAATGGATTTAAATGGCGGTGTATGTCAGACAAAAACAACGCTTCATTAATTCAAACGCGAATATTTGGAGTTAGGTGATAGTTGTGCCACTACATTGCCCTATGTAAGTTTAATTAGTCATAATAGCATAAACTTATCTTATTTTAAAGATGTTACATGCATTATTAAAGAAATTGAGTTTGCCACTTGGAACTAAAGACATCCAATCATAGCTAAAAACAAACACATCAGTATATCTCAACGTTTTTAGCTATGTTTTCGTAGCTAGATTACCCTATATTTAGATTGCAATGGCTTCTGCCAAGCCGTTTAGCAGAAGGGGACATATTGCAAGGTAATCAAGGTCTTATTTTCTGACAAGAATGTTCCTTTACATTGTTACTTGTATTGTTCAGGCGTTTACAGTACAGTACAGAGACTAACATACGACCGTTTAGCAGTAAAAAGTTGCCCAGTAAAATTGACTGGGGGCCGATTTTTTTTCGGCAAGGAATCAATAAGACGGTTCCTTAACGTACAGGGGGAGTATAATGGGACCTACGTTCAGAGCTGAACTAGGCCTAGTACTAATAATATAGAGCGATGCTCTACAGCATCGCGCGAAGCGCGGTGCTTGAGCAAAGCTCTTTTCCGGTAACACAGGAGCGTAACTGAAATTGTCACCCACAGACTGTTGATTAAAAATAAATTCAGACCGAAACCGGATACACTGGGCAAAACAGGCAATGCGCATGTCAACTTACCAAATCTCGCCCAAGCGAGATTACGCGCCTCATAGAACTATTTCTATGACGCGTCTAATCAATGACGTCACATATTTTTTACGTCAATGAAAATAATTCTCACACTTTTTTGTTCTTTCTTAAAAAACAAAATTAATGTATACAATTTAGATCTAGATCTAAATGAAAATCAATTTGGAAAAACTAAATTATTTAACATTTTTTGTATCACTTGAGAAAATTAATTATGATGGTTTTATATTTGACAATAATCAGCTTCGCTCTACTCAGGCAATGCCTGTTACATATTAGTAATAATTTAATAACTAGGCCTACAACCCTACAGTACTACTAGACTACACACACGTAAAAAGTAACTATCCTGGCGGCCATGGCAAGTGGTCATAATAAAATCTGTATGTATTCACTACAAGCTTCCATACAACACTAACAAAAAATTGATATTCCAAATGTATTCATGCAAGTGTAGACAATAGTTAAAATCAGGATAATGATTTAAAACTCACTAAACTATATCTTTCTTTACCAGTTCAATACAAAAATGGCGACCTACGCTTTCCTATTTTTCATAAACTAAAGTTTTACCAAAGGGAAATAACTTGTGTACCGGACCAATCGGTACTCATCGGCTGAATGTAGTCAGCGGCAGATAGCGACGTAAGTTTAACTATGGTTTAACCATTGGCGTCATATATATGATGACGGTGGGTTTAACGCCCCCCCGACACAAACTAGTTTATTTCAGGACTAACATATAGGCCATTTTTATTTCAATAATTCGCTTGCGCGTGGCCAACATGTGTCTTAAGTTGTAGGAAACAGGACACAGATAACCGTAAAAGAAAGGAACGTAACTCTTGTATATTGTATGGTGGCGCTATAGTCGCTACAGTCTAGTGGCGCTACATCCAGAAGAAGAAGAAGGAAGGATGTCACGGTAACAAAAGATAATAGTGAAAATAATGGAAATGCCTGCTAGATAAGAAGTATGGATGATAACAAATTATAGACTAGATAACAAAGAAGCATAATCAAAAGTTTTGTAAAACTTTAATATTAGTAATGCTTAGATCAAGCCGTCATACATTCATTGTTTTCATTTTTGGGAAATCCCCTTTTAAAATGGATATTCATATATTGCGTGTTATTGCACAACATTTAAACAAGGTCAAATTTATTGACTTCCACATAAATTCCATACATTTCCGCTCATTTTAACATTCTTGTTACCATTCTCGGCCTAGTGCGTTGACCGTGATGTAGTCATAACGGCCCCTATGCCATAACGCCATTAACGCCCAAAAACAGGTTTGGTCAAAACGGCCCTACTTTAGTCATAACGGCCAAACAGTTTGGTTATAATGGCCCAAAAATTTGGTCATAATGACTCAGACGGTATCCAGACTCCAGACCACTCGGACCCCAAAAAAGGCCAGTCAGACCAAAAGAGGGACCACTCGGACCAACCCAAAATACTATTTGGACCAAACCAAAAGACCACTCGGACCAATTAATTCATATTGTAAGACCACTCGGACCAGTATTTATCTTTGCTACTCGGACCATCTCCATTAGATAACAAACCTTAATCTCTCAACCCTCCGTGTTTCGAGATAAGACATGAGCCCATTACCTATAACGTTGCAGCTGCGGGAGCGATTCACACCTGGCATTTTTAAACAAAATTGACAATAGTTTTAATCAAAACAACGATTGATTATTGTTATTTATAATATTTCTACAACATCCAACTACAATTAAGCATATAATCCTACCTGAAACGGGTACAAATCGTCGATTTTAAAATCGAGGCGTTAAGCCGTTACTAACACCGCCATCTTTTTAAACGATACGCTGTCATCATGAAGGCGGGTCTAAATATAAGGCTTTTATAACAGCCAATCAAAAGGACAATCGAAAGCACAGTAACTATGAATGGATTTCGATGGCGGTGAAATGTCAGACAAAAACAAAGCTTCATTAATTTAAACGCAAATATTTGGAGTAAACGACAGTTGTGCCACTACATTGGCCTCTGTAAGTTTAATTAATCATAATATTATAAACTTATCTATTTTAAAGATGTTACATGCATTAATAAAGAAATTGAGTTTGCCACTTGGAACTAAAGGCATCCAATCGTAGCTAAAAACAAACACATCAGTGTATCTCAACGTTTTTAGCTACGTTCTCGTAGCTACATCTCCATATGCATCAACAATTTAATTGTTTTTCTTTGATGTGCTTCATAAATTTGATTAGCATGTAACACAGTAGAAATAGTTCCACTACTGATGTCTTCCGTCTAGCTCCAGCCACAGTAGTCACTAAACTACAAAAAAGTTACTGGCCTATAACTTTGTTAAATTTCCAATTACACTGACCCCAAATTGTACTTTACATAGCTTAACATATAATAAACCAATTGAAATAGAGGTAAAAAAAAAAAAAAAAAAAAAACTGTTCGGTAAGATAAGATTAAGATTTCAGTGTTCCACTCTTCACAATTTGTAACATTCTTATTTCTATGCAAACTGTGATGATATGTGTTGAAAATTTTGCAATTGAGCCTAATTTTACTTGCTCAAAGCCTCGAAGGATGTATCAATTGTTGCCGTTAATAAGAAATGTATGGCAAATGTGACGAACCTCATCCCTCAATACAATACCATCACCCAATACTACATGTACAATCATCATTCCTCGAAAAATTTTGTTAATTTCTGACGTAACTTAATTTATTCTATTTTGAACATGGCAGAAATAAAAAACATTTTGGCCCAGGAACCTTTCGGACTCAACACAAACAATGCTTCAGACTCAGTTTGACGACGGTTCGGACTTACATGATAATTTTTTAAAAATCTAACAAGTTTGAGGTCGATTTATTGTTATTTTAATTCATTAAACTTGTAACTCAATATTTTTTTTGTATTGTGTAGTTAAAAATCAAGTATGCAGCAACCATGTGAAGATGAAAAAGGAAAGTTGGTGGTGAATGATACCAGCTACAGGAGGACACCATGTACGGTGGGTTATAATGGGGATATCAGTGAATGTGTTACCCAAGATGATTATGAAACAGTGAAACAAGATGGTATTTATTTGAATATTAAACTGTGTTTATCATTCAAGAATATTATTACAAAGGAAATTTTATTATGAGAAATATTTCAAAATTTCTTAATACATCAATGACTTTTCCAACAGATAAAGGGACTAATGTTAATACTCTTATGTCTGACACCTACATTTTGTGTGAAAAGTATTTTGAAACATTTCACCCTCGACTACTACATGTATACACACCGCCTGTTTGTCTTAATATTGCCATGTGATCATATTCCTCGTTACTAAAATATGACTTGTCTTCAAAATGGTTGACGCTCATTGCTTATTGCATCTAATCATTAATTTTTGTCTTACGTCAGCTTGAGGTCGGGTGTTCGGTCCCTGCATTGGCCCTGAAAGTTCATCCAGATTTTCCGGCGTGGTTTCCCCTTGTCACTCATTGATGCAGGACGGAGGGCCTGACAAGGACAGCTGTAAAGTCGTTCGGATGAGACGAAAAACCGACGCCCGTGTACATATTGGCGTACACGTAAAAGATTTCTTGGCAGTTGGAATTCGATATAAGAGTAGGCCGTAGCGCGACTGCCCAGACAAAATTTCCCTCATAGTACACTGTATGGCGTATGCCCGTCTTCATTAGCCCAGTTTAGGAGTAGGACGTTAAACCCCATTTCATTTCATTTCATTTTTGTCTTGCGTCAGCTGAAGTCGTACACATTAAAAAAAATTACTGAGAATCCAATTTTAAGACTTCAGCTTTAAGTAATAGCTGTGCATTTAACCATAGTTTATTATATTGTATTTAAAAACAAACAGCATGGCAATCATGGTTGATCTACTTATTGCTGATTTTTGTACATTGTATATGATTCAGATTATGAGGAGACAGAGCAAGAAATTGGTGAGGTGAGAATTTCTAGAAAACGACCCAAAAACAAATCCTTGAAGGGGGAATCAAAGAAAAAGATAAATGCTGCTCCTTACAGTATAATCGCCCATAAGAAAGCCAAATCAGAATCTGTTGAACAAAATGAGAAGTTTTACAAAGATGAAAGCTACAAACATTTTGTTGATACGTAAGATATTATCAGTTCACATATTCATAATTAAGCTTTTATTTCATGCAATTATGAGACTAAAGAAATAATATTTTAAATTATAGTAGTATTTTAGTTCATGTAATATATATATTTGCTACTATTCATAAATAATAGATTTTATTGTTTAATTATTACAAAAAAAGGTTTTCCACATGAATATCTGTGGCTAATAATTCTCAAACTAGGTATGTGATATAAGATGTGTATTTTTATTTTTAGTTCAAATAGAAACGTAGCGGAAACTTTGGGTATTCAGTTACGAGATCAATATGCAGAAGATTTTGATAATGAAGACCATTGTATTAACTTGAAAAAGAGCAAAGCAAAACAATCAAGCACTTATAAAAAGGGGTAAGTTTAGAAGTCAACTAAAAGTAATATTTTGTGCAATAGTAGTTGGACCTGAAGATCATGAGTACAGAATAGAGCCCCAAAAATGTTGATTCCCAAATATTTGAAACCAGTCTGGATTTTGATATTTTAAGATTTTTCTGCGCTTTCATCCAAAGATAAATCAAAACAGGGTACCAGACAAATCAAACTTTAATATATCCCCAAAAATGTTTTTAAGGATTTTTGAAAGTGTGATACCTGTTGTTGATGGCTTAATATCAGTGCTTTAATTTAAAATTTTATATGAATTGATAGGTAAGAAGAAGGTAAAAGTCGTTTTACATTGTCTTAGATAATTGTCTTTTAAAAGAAATACAGTAACAATATTATAGGATTATACATTGGTTTTATATTTATAATGTTTACTATTGTAGTTGTATTATCTATGAATCTGAACAAGCTCTTAATCAATTACTGAGGGATTTGAAAAGTAGTGATTTGGACAAGTGTGGTGTCATAAGGGCAAGTTCAAAGGTCAGTATTCAGATTATTAACTAAAGTTGAAACTTAACATTAAATATACACTATGCAAGAGCTAAATCTGCTTATGGGAAGCGCAAACCGTCAATAAGCTTACCACATCCGACGTCCGACATATTCTCTCCTGCCACAGATCTTGTTAGTCTGTGATCGTCTAGACTTGTCTCTGGCTTATATTTTATTATAATTCTCTTCTTAGGACTCGTTTTCACATTGTGAATGTTCTTCAGTTAACTATATGCTTACAGTACAACAATTTCTTTAACATCTTTTATATGTCAAAAGCTCAGGATACATGATTACAAGCATAGGTTACACTAATCTCGCAGATCGAGGGGAGCCACGGTGGTTAGTGGGTAAGACGCTGGTTCGCTAACCTAGAGTTCACAGGTGTCAGTGGTGCAGAACAAAGGGCCTTTCAAAGACAGCTGTCTAGTGGTTCGGATAGGATAAGAAAAGCGAGGACCCATGTATACATGTACATTGGCATGCATGTAAAAATCCCTTGGCAGTTGGAATTTGATATAAGAGTAGGCGATAGTGCCGCTGCCCGGGCAAAATTTCCCTCATAGCACACTGTATGGCGTATGCCTGTCTTCATTAGCCCAGTAGGAACAGAACAGTAGGACGTTAAACCCCATTTCATTTCATTTCTCGCAGATCAAGTTTACTGGCGGAACCACCACATCATATGGCTCTCCTACGAAACAATGCCCAGATCCCTGCTATTAATTATTGAATTGGCCAAATTTGCGCAGTTAATTAGGGTTTCACACTGCGTAGCTTGTGTGAAACACTATTGTTTTTGTTAAGATTATTCTTATTATTATTATTTTTTTTTTTTTCCACTTGAGCATATCTCAGAAACTACTTGTCGGATCAATTTGATGTCTTCGGTTTTATTAGGAAAGTGGGTGTGACTTAGAGATTAAAGCTATTTCGAACGTTCTTGGACTATGCGAAATGTCCGAAACGCCAAAGTTGTCGTTTTTTGAAATATTGCAGTAATATTAACAATAATCATCGGATTTTAAGATTGGATACATTTTGACATAGCCTGAGACAGGGCACATAGCTACGGTAGTTTAGATTTTTGATTTTCGACGAATCTTTCAAATTTTGAAAATTTAAATTTTAACAAAAAACTTTTTTATTAATGAATAATTTTTTATGGCATTTTACCCAGGGTTAAAGGGTCGTCTGATTTGAGTACATTTTTTGTCTCGATAATTTTTCTTGGCCGCTATTGGCTAATTCAGTTTATCGGTTCTAGGTTGATTATTTATTGCCCGATTTTTATAAAACAAAGTTCATATGCTCCATGGTGCAAATTCTCAATTTTTTTATTACCGGTCAAGTTTTCTATCGGCACCGGATGTGACGCAATTTTGCTAAAAACTCCAATTTTGTCGAGTCGGAACGTCTTTTCAAATCTGATAGATCAAGATAAATGACCCTACAAAAGGCGCACAAAATGTCGTACTCGCTTTTTTTAATTTTGGTTTTGTATTTGCGCCGTTTCGATTTAAAGGTGTAAAAATGAGCTATTTATAACCCATTCAGGCTTTTCATATTTCAAAATATTTCTTCACAACTTTCATAAACTTGTAGCATTAATCCATACGAAGAGAATCTATCTCAAAATTAGTTTGTAATATGAGTATTTGCCGAGAAATGGTCAATTTTGCATGAGTCACTTTTTACGCTATTTTGCCTGTAAAAGAGCCAATTATTATTGGATTTTCATAAAAAAATAACACCATTTGATGCGTAATGTCAATTTTGACTAGTTCAAACCAATTTAACATTTTCAGTGTCACTGGAAATGGCGCAATTTGGGCAAAAAATGTATTTATAGCCTTCAAAACAGATATTTTATTCAAATGAGTCTGATTTGTAATGTTTTCAAAATTATGATATTTAATTCCAATCAACTAATAGAATGAACCCATACGATCATATAGATATCACAAAATGATTTCTAACTTGTTCAGTTGCGGGGAAATAGGCGATTTTCCGCAGGTTAGTTTTCAAGGTTTTTGGTCCATAAAACTGTCAATTATTATTCGATTTTCATAAAAATTTCACTGTGTGATACCTAATGCCATTTACGATTTCATACAAGTAATATAGTATTTTCATTATCACCGGAAGTACCGTCACTTTGGCAAAAAGGGTATTTTTAGCCTCGAAAACAAGTAACTGTTTGAAGTAAGCGATATTCATTATTGGTGTAAAATTATGATATTTGATTGCTATGGACAAATAGTATCAATCAATACGATCATATTGATATCACAAAATTGTTTCTAACATCTTCCCTTGCCGATAAATAACCAATTTTGTCAGGATCACTTTTTAAGATTTTTCGCATTTTAATTTCAGTGTATGGGTTCTGGGTAAATTATTTATTGCCTGATTTGTTTAAAAGAAAAGCCCACCTGGTGCATATTCTCAAATTACTTCTACATATAAAAGTTTCTGTCGGCACCGGAAGTGACGTAATTTTGCCCAAACTTCAATTTTGACGTGTCGAAAGGTCTTTTAAAAAGCAAATATTAATGTTTACAAATTTAATAGATCAAGATGAATGCTCATACTAAAGACGTAAAATACGTCTTGCTTTGTTTTATTTTTTTTATTTCGGTTTTGCATTTGCATCATTTTGATTTAAAGCTGAAAAAAGGTGTAAAAATGAGCTATTTACAAAGCATTCAGATTTTTCATATTTTAAAATATTTCTTGACAACTTTCACGAACCTGTAGCATTAATCCACACGATGACAATTTATGTCAAAATTAGTTTGTAATATTACCAGTTACCGAGAAATAGGCAATTTTACATGAGTCACTTTTCACGTTAATTTGCCTGTAAAAGAGTTACTTATAATCCGATTTTCTTTATTTTTTCACCATATGATGCCTAATGCCATATTTGACTGAGCGGATCCAATTTTACATTTTCAGTGTCACCAGAAATGGCGTCATATGGGCAAAAACTGCATTTATAGCCTTCAAAACAGATATTTTATGCAAATGACTCTGATTTGTAATGTTTTTAAATCTCTGACATTTGATTGCAATCAACAAATAGAATGAACCAATACGATCATACAGATACCACAAAATGGTTCCTAACTTTTACGGTTGCAGAGAAATAGACAATTTTCTACAAGTCAATTTTCATGGTTTTAGGTCTATTAAGTGTCAATTATTATTTGATTTTCATAAAATTTTCACCATGTGATGCCTGATGCCATTTATGATTTCACCAGAAGTAATGTCGTTTTTCGCAAAAACTGTATTTTTAGCCTTCAAAACAAATATTTTTTGAAGTGAGTTATGTTTATTATTCGTTTAACATTATATTTGATTCCAATGGAGATATAGATTGGATCAATACGATCATATAGATGTCCAAAAATTGCTTCTACCATCTTTCTTTGTCGAGAAATAACCAATTTTGTCAGGATCACTTTTTAAGACTTTTTTCACATTTTAAGTTCCCATTAGATAGTCAGCTAACTTAGTGGTAAGTTAGTAATAAATTTTGTCAGGATCACATTTTTGACATATCTAACGCATGGTAACAAATGTATAAATGGAATTGAAATTGCTGGATTTGGTTGATTCTGCGTCTATTTCATAACGCGTGTGCTATGCTTACGTGGAAATCTGTTTAACGGTTTCATTGGTACCGAATGTGACATAAGTTCAAGGGTAACAAGGCACCGGAAGTGACATAAGTTCAAGGGTAACGTGGCACCAGTGAAACCCGTCATTACTGCATCGCAGTTCTAGTTATGTGATGTAATTGGTAACTTTCCATCAAGTGTTTTAGACAATAAACAAATTAGCCTTGACCTCACACCCCTCTTCCTGTTATTCTTCTATTTCTGTTGTATTACATAATATCTAACTTGTTTCTAAATTTGAAACCAAGGACATAATATTGATACAATTCCCATATTTGCCTAACATTATTACTCATAAAAGATGTGCATAAATCTCCCAATATTATTACATTGATGTGCATAAATCTCCCAATTGTATATTACTCCGATGTTCATAAATCTTCCAGTATTATTACCCCAATGTACTTTCATTTATTTAAATATATTATTTTAGGATACAATTAAGTTAGCAGATGACAAGACATATGTTCTGGGTAAAAATTATACAGAAGATGGTGTTCTTGGTAAAGGAGCTTCTGGACTTGTTAAATTGATGACAGATAAAATTTCAGGCAAGAAATTTGTATCTAAACAGGTAAGTCAGAGCAGACATTACTCAGTATTGAAAAATTATGTTACGTTAAAGTTGCAATTTCATATTTTTAAAATTTATTAAAATAAAGCCTTAAAATAGATGGTATCTATAAACAGTCCTACCTTGTTAAAGAATAATCCTATTAATCCTATAATTCACTATTGTCTGTTGAGAAATTGGCAAAAATATCATTTTCATCTTCAAATTCCAACGTTTGAAGATAACCACTCCATGGTGGAGAATAGAAAACAAGGGAGGTAATTGTGTTTATATTTCCGGTGTAAATGAGTTTTAAGTGTGAGAATGACATCTATGATCGTATAATAGTGAGTTGACAACCTATTGAGCAAAAGACATAGAAATAATTATGTTTTGACTTTCTTAGAAAATATGAAATTGTAACTTTAACATTATTGCATACATTAAATATATACTACATTGTGAATGCCCCAAGGTCATTCTAAGATACATTGAGAGAAAACCCAATATAAGTTGATGTGGAATTTCAATCGAAACGTCATACTTTACAGTTTTTCCAACCTTCGACCATAGATAAATTGAAGTGGTCTATAAGACAATATGACTTCAATCTTGGATTGAGTGATGGGAGTGTTATTTAAGTATAACTGTATAGTATTTTAAATGCAAATCACCCATAATATTAAACTAGCCAAGCCTTTAACTCAGTATCATCCACAGTCTTCAACTTTGCAAACACGACTTGCACTCTTTGCGTATTTTGCCGAACATAACTGACTAGAAATTGCAGTAAAAACAGAAACGATTGAATGTAAATCAGTATATACACTCATATTACATTATTATATGCGTTGCGACCCATTTGTGTCAGTTTCTAGGTGCCAAAAAATAGCGATTTAGCTCCTTTAATGTAAAATAATAATGTAGGATGATGTTGCTAAAAATAGAAGGCACCTCTTGATTGGACAATTGGGAACAAATTATAACTACCGGTAGCCCTTTTCAAAATAAAATCTTCATTTTTCTAAAATCAATAATAATCATCAATTTCATCATTAAATACTGCATCAAATACTAAATCAATAGAACCATTAAAAAAGGGGCAGTCTAAAAGCTTACTGTTTACTGCACTTCACTGTCACTTTTGTAACCATAGGTTGATAACTTTTACCAACACAATCCATTCTTTCTGTACCAAATCATACTTTGGAAATGACTAAGTCCCAATCCATTACAGAGGTACCATTTGTAGATCCAGTTATTTCATTAAATTTTAGAAATTGAGTATAATTAGAATGAACTGAAAAACAAACCAACTGTTCTTATTTTAGCTGGATATCAAGAATTTTGATCCGAAAGAAGTAGAAGTGATGACTCAATTAAGCCATGAAAATATCACACAGTTTCACGGTCTTCTGGTAGATAAAAACATCATTCAACTTTTACAGTCATTTTCAGGTAAAATATATCAACTTCCTCTAAGCATTGTTATAACCAGAAAACTTTTCAAATGCATATTTTAGATATGGGGTTCTAAAATTTCCAATAATTTACATCACTGTTGACATTATTTGTGTTTTTCAGGCAAAAGTCTTGGTGATCTAGCAAAAGTCACCTCATTTTCAGAAGATGGAGTGATAAATATATCTATTCAAGCATGCAGTGCATTAAAGTATATGCACAGCTATGGCATCATCCATATGGATATTAAACGTAAGTATAAGATGTCTAATATAAATGGAGATGTAACAGTCAAAATAAATAGCATTTAGAAATGGAACAATAAATAACTCACAATTTGTATGGATATACTTTAGATTTAGGTGTGACAGCTCCATTGCTCGCGTTAGAAAGTCATTTTTCCCTGATTTTGAAACCTTTTTTCAACTTTACGTCACACAGTCACTATTTAATCATTTGTAATAATTTTAAAATATTTTGGAAACTGATATCCTGTTTGATATAATTTTTATACGCCCACATTTTCATATGGACGTATATTGTGGTCACCCTAGTCTGTCCATCTGTCTGTTCACATTTTGTTTATGGAGACTCTACAGGTCATAATTTTTGACGAAACTTGTAATGTAGGTTTATCTCCCAAAGATCTTGACTCCTCTTGATATTTGCACATATTGGACCGTAACTTTCTAGATTATACCCCCCCCCCCTCTCTCCATTGATCGTACGAAAAAATCATGTTTGTAACTTGTGGCCACTGTGGAGGTTACAACTTGAAAAATGTTGCAAAATGTGGATTTATCTTTCATGGCAACCGCTTGTTTTTTATTTTGGTTGGCATAACAACCAAATGTGATATGTTGTACAAGACTAAAGATCTGTAATTTTAAAAATTCACAAATTTTTGACATGTTCAAATAATATTGCTTGTATATCTCATTTTCCTTCTTATTTGATTAATGTCTCAAAATTGACCCACAATTAATCTTACTTGATAGCTACTGATTTTAAAATGTATAACAACCAGGTTCAAATATTAAAGATGGGTTCTCAGAAAAGTATTTATCGGGTGGTTATTTCCAATAAAAGTATGGTAATTTTGGTATATATGGAAAGTAGAGATATCCAATCTTACTAGAAAAATACTGGATTCCCCAAAAAACACTCATGAAGCGTATACAGGACAAAAATGTAAGGGTTCCCCTAATCAACAGCCCGACGATTAGGAATTTCTGCACGCGTGATGTCAAAGGTCACATGCGAACATTGAGCGTTTGATGTGCAAGTTGATAAACTTTTTGAAGAATTAGACGTACAACACTTTCTGAGATAAAAATGATGGAAAAAGACGCAGGTAGTGGATAATCCGAGAATTTAATTAGGATTCGATATTTGTAATAAATAGTAAGCGATTAAAGACAACATCGTCTTATGTATGCACTCAATTCTCCTCTGACTTCCAAAATAGGTAAGTCACTTGGCGTAAACATGACCTGGTTTGATCGAATTTTTATAGCAGGACATTCCTTCGCAATTACAATGTTTGAGAAGGATTTGAAGCAAAGTTATGACAAATTAATTAGTTTGAATGTTTTTAGTCCATATATACCATTAAATCACCCGGTTGGTACGCGGGAGGGGGGTTGGATGGCCAAATGGTTAGCACGCACACGCTGTATCATACGGTCTGTCATTGAGTCAACTGGCGTGGTTTCGAATCCCCGGTTGGACGTGACAAGGAGTAGGGTCGCCAGTCCAACCTCGTGGGTTTTTCTCTGGGTCCTCCGGTTTCCTCCCACTGCTAAAGACCCCTACGCGCAAGCGAATAATTGAAATAAAATTGAACCATATAAAATGACCTAGTTTGTGTCGAGTGGACGTTAAACCCCATCTCTCTCTCTCTGTACGCGTAAACCTATCTTTAATTTATAACATGGCCAAGACCATTTTTGATGAAAAATTTGACCAAAATCTCTTTGGCAAAATTGAATTTTTGAGAAAACCTATGTTTTGGAGTTCCTGGGGAAATCAGAGTAATCGTTACAAAAATGTGAAAATTGAAACAATTAGCCTATTACACGAATTTACATCTATATTTTTGATAATTTTACCATGAAATACAATCTGATTAAAATACAGGTCTTATTTCGTTTCATTTTTTATGTTTCAAAATTTCGTTTTACCTGTCTTTACTACACTAGGAAAAGTTATTATATAACCCACGTTCTGGTTGATGTGAGAGATTAGCCAATGAAAGGGTCTGTTCTTGCCGTAAAGTGTACGGAACTGTGGGTATCCCACTAGAAACATAAATGCAGATTGGTTAATCAAATGTCTAACGCCATAGGGTCAAAAGCAGTTCATATGACACCTGATGCGACCTTCCGCTACAGCCAGTCAGATTTTCATGTGGTGGAGGCCATCGAAAGTATAAAAAAAAAAAAAACGAAATATTGATCTGAGTTTTAATCAGGTTGTATGAAATGAAATAGAGCATCTAAAAAAAAAAAAAAAAATAAAGAGACTTTTTCAAAGCTAGAAAAGCCTTTCTTCAAAAATCGCAACTTTGAGCCTCCATAAAAAAAACCAAATTTTCATTTGATCTTAAATGTATAAAAAGTTTTGTAAGGAGAATGATGAGATCTACAGTACTTGTAAAGCTAATAAAATCAAAACTATAATCATAATCTTAAAATCACCTTTTCCACCTGCTCTTAGTATTGTTATATATGCTGCATGATCATGGAATCATCACACAATCCATGGGACAGAATGAAATTCTAATAAAGCTTCTGTAGGGGTATAAAACTAAATGCTAGAACTTGTTACAGCATTTGTTTCCTTTTATTTAAATACTATCTTTTCCAGTCACTCAATAATTGTACATGTATGTATTGCAAAACATATATAGTATGTTATTGAGTATTAAAACATAGGTTTAGACAAAGGATTTTTATTTTTGTAAGGTCATGTTTATTCTGCCATGGAGAAACAATTATTACCACGTTTTTCCATGAATCCTTGAACTTCTTTCTTTTAAAAACAATTCAGTTAGATTTATTTAGAAAATCAGACAATTCACTAATGAGGTAAATATTTGTTTTTTTCAGCTGACAATGTTTGTGTTAAACCAGAAACTGGGGAGTTATTTTTGACAGATTTTGGTTCATGTAAAACACCACAGCAAGCCATAGATGGGAAAGGTTTGACTCCGGAATATATGAGTCCAGAACTCAATAAAGTTATCATTAACAGACAGAGTCAGTCTAAGATTTTTGAAGAAGAAGAAATAACTGGGAAGAATGACATCTATGGGTGGGGTCTAACCATGTGCTTTATGATAGAGAGAGCTCATAGTATGCTGAAGTACATGAACCTAAAACCAAACATCACGGCTCAAGAGTTTTCAAATGCAAGAGCCATATACAGATGTCAGGTAAACACAGTAGTACATAAATAGTGATTTATACAGGTCTTCAGTCATTGAAAATTGATAAAAATTCATAAATTATTATGAAAATATTACCTTTTCCTATGAATGGAGACTGGATAATTTACAAACAACACGTCATGCTTACTATGCTGGATTGGGAGTCACGGTGGCAAAGTGAGTAAGACGCTGGCTAGCTAGCCTAGATTTCGTGGGTTGGATGTCGGGTGTACACATTGGTGTGTACGTAAAAGATCCCTTGGCAGTTGGAGTAGGCCATAGCGCCACTGTCCAGCCAAATATTTCCCTCATAACACACTGAATGGTGTAAGCCCATCATCATTAGCCCAGTCGGAGTAGGAAGTTAAACCCCATTTCATTTCATTTCACTATGCTGGATTGACAGCCAATAGCATGTACTTGTGCTTCTTATTTCTATTTAATTAGTCGGCAATATTGTCCGAGCGCCAATGTATCTCATAGTTGCTAACTTTATAGACAAATGTTATTTTGTTTACAGATTGCTCAAAATCCTCACTTTATGTCCACTGTGGTTCCAGATGATATACCAAGAGACATCAGAGAAGTGATTCAAAAGTGTTTACATGGTGATGTTCAAGAGCGTTTTACAGCAGCAGAGACAATACAGCAACTATTATGTAAGTTGTTTAATTGGATAGATTTTTATTCATCCACATATGTGATTGTGTATTGTCGTCACCTGCATCTGTCTGTCCATCGATTGAGATGCTATACAGACTAAAGTTATCATTGGATTGGGTAGAAATTGATATGCAGTGTTTATGTTGATGAGATGAAGAAGCCTAAAAATTTTCTACAATTACTGATAATTAGTAAGATCAATTTGAAAAGTCTAGTGAATGTTCTAGAGGCTAAACTTACCATTCAACTTTATTTCTAATACTTCTTGGGTCACATTACTTACAAAACTATAAATATGCAACAACCTTTTATGGACTGTTCTGATGATTGGGCTGCAGTGAGCATGTTTTGTTGCCTAAACTATCTTTTATCTTTTCATTACTGTTTTAAAAGATAGGTGGTCAGGCAATGCAACATATGCCCACAGCAGCTAAATTGTCAGGGTTGTCGCATATTTGTTCTTTTGTAGGTAATGGGAGAATCGAATGATAACTTTTGTCCTTAGATTATTTTGTTGCCTGGCAACCTATCTTTTATTTTATTCAAAAGTCCATCACATGTCCCCCAAAATCTTCTAATAATATGTCATTAAAATCCATTGTTTACTACTACTAGAAAACCTGTAGTGTGATAGACATGTCTCATAACTTCATCAAAGTCCATCACGTGCCACCCAAAAACCTTTAGTGTGTCACTGTCACCTGCTGACACGTGTGTCATAGGTTTGTCTTCTTAAATCTCTAGCTGGGGTCCCAATATCCACATTTATAGATATAAATTTCTAGCCAAGTCAAATTAAAAAAAAAAAATTAATGAATAATGATTATTAAAAAAAAAATGAAATAATGTTTAGAAAAAGAAAATGAAATAATGTTTTAAAAAGAAAATGAAATAATGATTTGGAAAGAAAAATGAATTAATGTTTTAAAAAAGAAATGAATGAATTATAGTAATACAAAAACAAATGAAATAATTTTTTGAAAAAAAATGAATTATGATATTTTATTACAGGCATACAGCAAAGTCGAATATTACCAGTTGTGCAACAGAATCGTCTTGTAAAACATCAGAACATCAAGGATAAACTTAATAATAAGTTAAAGATGAAAAATGGTCCGTTCCCAGAGGAAATCATCTCTGAGCCCGAGTCTCTAGTGGAAACATCTCCACTATCACCACCACCAATAACAACAACAACAGCTACAAATGACAACTGTCCTAATTTTCTTGCCTTGTTTTCAGATTAATTTGTATGCCCAATTAAACTGTAAACTCTCACTAAAACCTGATGTTTATGTAATATGTTTTTCACAGATAAGATAACATATTATAGAGACTGGTTAGTTATTAATAATGTTGATAACAATTATGAATAGCGGTATTTCTTTATATGCTTTTAGAATAGGATGCATGTCCAAGCCTGATTTATAATTTTTGATTCTTACTGCAAGCTTTAAAGGTGTCATTTTTTTATACTTTTGGTGACCTCCACTAAATGAAGATCTGACCGGTTGTAGTGGAAGGTTGTGTCGGGTCATACGAGTGACTTTTGACCCTATGATGTCAGACATTTGATTAAACAATCAGAGTGGATGTTTCTAGAGAGATACCCACAATTCTGTGCTAATCCCTCAAATCAACTGGAACACCGGTAATAAAACAACTCTTCCAGATCCTTGGGTAGTAAAGACAAGTAAAACGAAATTTTGAACTGTAAAAAACAGAACGAAATAGGATATTTGTTTTAATCAGATTGTTAAGGCTTTTTTCTGTGGGACGAGTTGGAGGTATTTGCTTAATTAAATAGTAATTTGAAATTTCAAGGTGTATCTTTAGTGCTATTTTTGTATTTTGAATGTGTTTGTAGTTAAATATTTAAATTTTGAAATTGTAGTTTATGATTCCCATGGAATTCTTAAATCTTATTAAGACACTTTAATTATGCTGTAATTCATTAGGATAATGTTATGCATAGATTTTACTCACTGATAAAAATGGCCAAAATACAGAAGATGCATTATTAAAATAATTACTGCCATCATTATAAGTATATAATACATTCAAATTATATGTGTAGATACTATATAGGTCGAAAATTATTAATAGAGAAGGCTTCTGGTAGTCTTGGGAAATTTGATACCAGTCTATTTTTAGAATAGTGTTCCATGAAGCAGGAAGTGCTCAAAGATAAAGGTACAACTTCTCATATATGCACCATTTAGTGAGATGGGATGGCAAACTGAGGTCCTGTGTATTCATTGGCGTGCACGTAAAATATCCCTTGGCAGTTGGAATTCAATATAAGACTAGGCCGTAGCGCTGCTATCCCGGCAAAATTTCCCTCATAGCACACTGTATAGGTTATTCCTGTCTCCATTAGCCCATTTGGAGCAGAACAGTAGGGCGTTAAATTTCATTTCGTTTCCATCTAACTTAGCTCAATTTTATGTTATAACTCTTGTAACAACTTGTGCACAAATTTATCAACTGGCCAATTGATTTAAATGACTTTTGGGGATGGTAAGCTTTAACAATTCCACCCATAGCATACTACATGGCCTATGTTCATCTTCATTAGCCTGGTTGCTGTTGAAAAATAAATCAAACCCCATTTCATTGTCTTGTATGACAATAAAATCATCGTGGTAAAATGTTCATGTTGACAGAGCAATTACCATTCAATATAATTTTTGTTTTATTTGGCTACACATTCCATATTTTATTCTCTTTCTTCTTTGTGTAGCTTTTGTCTCCATTATTTTATAACTAGTTGTTCATCCAGATTTTCCGGCGTGGTTTCTTCCTTGTCAGTGATGCAGGATGGAGGGCCTGACAAGTACAGCTGTCTAGTCGTTCGGATGGGACGAAAAACCGAAGTCCCGTGTACACATTGGCGTGCACGTAAAAGATCCCTTGGCAGTTGGAATTCGATATAAGAGTAGGCCATAGCACCGCTGCCCAGGCAAAATTTCCCTCATACCACACTGTATGGCATATGCCCGTCTTCATTAGCCGAACAGTAGGACGTTAAACCCCATATCATTTCATTTCATTTATAACTAGTTGACCATAATGAAATAGTTGTGTATTTTATATTAGCCAAAATAAAGTAATGAATTACATGTCAATTACTGTTAAGACACTTTTAAGCCTAATTTTAATGTATGGAAAATAGATTTCTATCTCGCAAAAACTATTTTAATCAATTCAACCCTTCCATTTTTCACCAATATATTTTATGTGTATATGAAGTGCTTGTCAAGTTATGAGCAGAACCAAATTAACTGCTCTCATCTTTATTATACATGTACATACTTTTCATGTTGGAGTATATTGTCGTCACCCCTGTCCATCGATCTACCGGTACCTCGACAATTCTTGTAAACGCTCCATTTCTTTTAAACTTTTTCTTAGCCTTTTTGGAATTGGTGCCGAGACCTTGTATAAGTGTTTCAGGTCAGAGTGTTTGAGATAGGGTTTTTTTTTCACTCTTGGAGGGATTCAGACTCCCTCATTAAATTTACCAGACAACTTAAAAGCTGTCCTTCAAAAAGCTGCTAGTGGGCATTTATTCATTGATTATTAATTGCCTAGCAACACATAATATTTTTATTAAGTTTGTTATTACACATATATATATATATCTGTAGTTTTGGAAATATATTTTTGTTATATTAATGTTATTTCATGTCTGAAAAAATGTACTCTATGTGTTGAATTGCTTGGCAGTTGGAATTTGATATAACAGTAGGCCGTAGTGCCGCTGCCTGGGCAACATTTTCCTTATAGCACACTGGCATTCAAAATCTCACTAAGTGAAATCACAAATGGTCTGTTATTTCTTTCTGGCTATTAGTCTTTCTTCCTATCCTGTCATCTGAAATAAACAGAATGTAGACACAAGATCTTGTATTAGTGTTTTGTTTCTTTTCACACACCTACATTTTAAGTAGGGTATGGATTGTCACCAAAAATATCTCCATTCTCTCTCTGTATATTGTCTACCAATTTGTCTGTAATGCAACAATTTATTTGAACATAAAAGTCTACTGGCTAGGTGATTTTTACACCATAGGGATAGCAGTTAAATGTAAGTGCCCATTTGAGTCTGGGATGGATTTTGTCAAGAGTGGAAGGTGGGAGAATTTGGACATTTTTTAGTGGGTGGATTAGTACTCTAAATACTCAGGAATCTCATATCTGCTTCAGATCATGATGATGATCGGCGCAATTCTGTAATCCGAATCCTCGTGGATTAATACAAAAATCATGATTTGAATATAAGGAGTAATGAATAGATCGACAACATGGGTTACTTTGCTCTGGAAAAATGTACCGGTATATATCATGATTTTAAAATAAAGTTAATATCAAAACACGACTTCACAGTCAAACGGGGCAAAATTTTACTATTAGCACAAACCACTGGCAAGGTCGGGTCCAGACAGCATTCCTTTCCGGTCAGTTTTTACCCTAAAAATTATACACTATATGAAATTCAAACTCACATTATTATTAGATTTTATTGATTGTACCAGTACACAACTGTTTTTTACATTGCTTTAAGTGTTTTAAACGGACCTATAAACCGGGAAGTCACAATTTTCACAGAGGCTTCAGACTGTTCTAAATATACAGAAGTTTCAGTGTTGCAGAAAATCATGCCAAAACCAATTTATAGGACTTCGGGGGAAATAGGGCGAGAAAAAAAGTGTTGGGTAACTGTAAACACAGGTGTTTTGGCCTTTCAGAGATGACAACACCACTAAAAGTTCCATGTGTTTATTTATGGAAGGAAAAAAATATAAATTATAAATAGAGTTGTCCTAGAAAACAACTTTGATAGTTTTTATACAACAAAATCACACACTTATATATTTATGGATACATTGTGTAAGACTTAGATAAAAATCTGTTAGTTCTCGTTATAACAGATAAAATGAATAGGCTATATTGAAAATTTCATTTAAATTACTTTATTTTGAGCAAAGTTATCTGTGGTTGTAGATTTGACAAGATGTGTGCATTGATCGTAACCACCGTACATTCAAGTCTTGGCCTCGCTTCTCCATTTTAAAATTTAATCATTAATTAAGCGAACCGTTCTAATCTACCTAAAATCCAAGCCATCCGATGGCATTGAGAGTTGATTGGCCTTGTCATGGTAATAAATGTCAAATTAATAATTTATATAACATTTAAGGCTGAAAGAAAGACCTGCAATAAGCAGATTTAGCGCTTACATAATATCTGTTTAATTAATTAAATATCTAGTATAGTATATGCGTAATAATATCAAGTAGAGTAATGTATATATTGTTGACCTGGTTTTAAGAATTGCACATATAGTATAGAAACTACAATCCTAGCTATGCAAATAAAACATTAAAACAGAGATTTTTACACTATGTAAAATACGAAAAGTTGAATTTCTCAGAATATTTTTTTGAAATCTTCGTTGATAGATAACAAGTCTGAATTGTTTATTCTGAGTTTTCAATATAAAACATTGAGTCAAAACCTAAAACTAGCAATTGATAAAAAAAAATTTCCAAGTTGCAGGTTTATCCATATGCATAGGAACCTACATGTTTTCATAACTTATCAAGAAAGAAAATTGTAAACAGAGGATTTTTTTTCTGGCTGGTCAATGGAAGAGTAGAAATAATGTTGAAATACAAAAATATTTCCAAATGTTTACCAAACGGCCAGGTTCATTATCAATCTAAATTCCAATTATATGTGTAGATACTATATAGGTCGCAAATTATTAATAGAAAAGGCTTCTGGTAGTCTTGGGAAATTTGATACCAGTCTATTTTTAGAATAGTGTTCCATGAAGCAGGAAGTGCTCAAAGATAAAGGTACAACTTCTCATATATGCACCCTTTAGTGAAATGGTTTCTGTTGACTAAAAGGTTTTGTCGTATATTTTGACAGGTATGTATCCATTAATTCCTGGTAGTCGTGTTACGGATGTAACATCTATGAGGACACATCTTTACAAAACGATATGGTTGTAATGTATGACATTTATCACAGATATCAAGCATTAAAAATAATACTTTTATAATATTTATAAAATAATACGTATGTATTTCTATGGTACAGTATTCGAAGTTCAACTTGCACTGAAAATGTTTTCTAATTAAATTTCTAGTTTTATGGAAGACTATGATTATTTTTCATTGTAGGATAATGAGTCCCATTTAACTTAACTGCTGAACATTTTATTTTGTATTTTGTTTGTCATTTTATATTTTAGATGATAGGAAAACCCTCAAGAAATTCTCTAATATGGTATTGAACAGTTTTAAGATAAAACAACTATTCATTTTTGCAATAATTATTTTACTGTTAGTTATATTGACTATTCTACATAAAACTAAATCTAAATTTAAGCTCCCTTACCCTATTCAACTGTTTTCTGTTCATCATAACTTGATTCCAGAAACAACCACAATGTTGAGACTCTCAGAAAATACCAACTTTTCGTTTGAAATTCGCGAAAACACAAACTTCTTTGATCAATCTAAATATTATTCTATGAAACCAAACAAAATCAATGGAATAAATCATGAATTTTTGATCCAACCGAGGAACTTCTGTGAAGAGTTTCCATATTTAATCATTTTAGTGCCATCTGTCCATACCAACAAAATTCACCGACATACTATACGCAGAACTTGGGGTGGTGAAAACTGGCCGGGTGTTAATTTAGAAAAGACAGTTAAACTTGTGTTTTTGTTTGGAAAGTACAAACTTCCTGAGATGGAATTTATAATCAAACAAGAAGCAGAGATATTTAACGATATTGTGCAAGGAAATTACATTGATTCCTATTTTAATCTGACAACAAAAATCCTCAATGGTTTGCAGTGGGTGTCTGAAAATTGTGAAGGCACAAAATATGTTTTAAAAGCAGATGAAGACACCTTTACAAATGTGCCTTTATTAATAGAATTTCTAAAACAACATGGGGTTGCACGATCAGTGATAGGACATCTCTATTCAGAGTCGCATGTGAAAAGAGTAGGTAAATGGGCTGTTCCTAAATCATTGTTTCCACCCCATACATATCCAGATTACATGGCAGGTAATACATATTTATTGTCTGGTGATATACTGGGTAAAGTTGTATGGACAGCCCAGTATGTGCCATATTTAAATATAGAAGATGTGTTTATAACAGGTGTTCTAGTCAGAATATTAAAATTACGTCATGTGAACGTTGACGGATTTACTATGTGGACATCCGCTAAACCAAGAATTTGTGATATATTAAAGAAAAAAATTATAACCGGGAACAAAGTTACTCCACAATATGCAGAAACAATATGGCAAGCCTTACATACTGGCTACGATTATAACTGTTGAAACCATGGAAAGTTGTTAATATTTTTACACAATAATATATTATATGTAAAAGTTTCTTATTTATATTAGATGTAATACAGATATATTTATTATCAATGGCTTGTGTGTTATGTATTGTCAGAAGTGAGATTAAAATGTATGTAGAAGATCTCTGTGGAATTCATAACCAGACTAATATTATGTGTGATGGATGACAAGCTGTAAATAAACCTAAAGCAACTGAGACTTAAAGTAGCTAAGTCTCTAACTCAATATCATCCAAAATCTTCGACATTGAAAACACAATTTATTTGTCGGTTAAAATCAAAATTGATGTTGTGATCTTACCAGGAAAAGATGGCCTTCTGATATCCAATATTTAAGACAAAATAAACATTTTACAATTGGTACACGAATCGTGTACCATAATGCGTTTCAGCGCTATTTGTAATAAGGGACTCTAAAAACGAGACAAGGCATATTCCACAAGTCATGTCAAACGGTGACGCTATATTCTTATCTGGAGAGTAAGCCCAATAAATAATATCAGCGTAGACTGGAATAACCAGACGTTAGAGATTGAAATTCGATTGAGAATACTGGCGTATTTCGCCGAACCTAACTGATTAAAAATTACAGTAAAAACAGAAACGATTGAATGTAAATCAATTTACATGTATATTACATTATTGTATGTGTTGCGCCCCATTTGTGTCAATTTCTAGGTCCCAAGTATTAGCGACTTAGCTCCTTTAAATATACTCAAATATTCTCATCACAACTGGTAAAATTTGTATCTTAATAATTGGAATGCCAAAGAAAAGCTTTATCTGTGGATCTGAGTTCCCAACTCTAGGCATTTAATTTAAATTCTCCGTGGGTTTGTCTTGTGTAGTTGTTAATGTATTGTGTGGTCCTCCTGCACTGTACAACCCTTGTCTTGCCAATTTTTCAAAAATCAATCAATTGACCTACTTGGAGCAAAATATTTTGCAAGAGTGTTTGCTGATCTTGAAAAGCACTTTAAATTGTGTATATTGTATTGTACATGCCTGGTTGAACTGTGCAGTCAAATTGATTGTCAAAAAAATAATATATCGGGTGAGGATACAGGATTTCTAAACCAAATGTGGATGTTTTCTACTTATTCTTGTTTGAAAATAACCATGGCAAAGTCGAATATAAAGGATAATTTGTTAAGATGTATTAAAACAATTTGTCAATTCTTATTCTTGCTTTATATGTTTGTGCTATATAGTCGTTTGTGCAATATAGTCGAATTGATGTCACTGGAGTAACTATTTTTTCTCACTGATGGTGAAAACTCCTAATATTTCTAATGCAGATAAAGTTCCACCTCCCAAAACCAATCAAAGTTAATTAAACAGACTCTTTATCAATCAAATAATAGACATTGTTCTCGGAAACACAGAATCCTGATTTTCAAATAGTTATTTTATTATGAAAAATAATACATCTATCATATATAATAAATCACTCATTATATATTAGTCAAAAATTAACAACTATATACAAACAAGTACATTAACAACAGTTAGATGAGTAATAACCATATCTACATTTAAAAAAAGTAAACAGTAAATTAATTTGATAGACATGTATAACTATTTTTAAAAGTAGACAAATTATGTCTATTTCAGTTTGACTAATATAACTTATTTAATATTCACTGATATATTTAGCCGATTAAAACAAAAAACTAAATTTACAAAAGATGAAACAATAAAACTTAGTTTTCAAACAACTACAATAAATATTAGATTCATTTTTCATCTATAACATTAATTAAACAACAAAAGATACAAAAAAATGATGTCATAAAATTATTCAGTATTTTCAAGTATTTGGAATCTTTTCAATAGTAGTCTTGAAATTTTGGAAATGCTGTAATAAAATGTGATGTATTAACAAATATTTACATGTTATTTAAAAAAAAAACAATCTTTAAAAGGACGCAATACTATCAATTACTTTGTTCTTTTTACAGTATGGGTCACGCTTAATTTATAATGAATTTTAAACTTGAACTGAAGAATACAAAAGTGTACCACCATTATGCTGATATATCTGGTAGCCCAAGACTGTTAACCTCTTGGGTGAACCTTTTTAAAAACATCAATCTACCACTACATCCGGTTTAAGTCAAAGCCTTTAAAGTCACTGTTTTACTGTGTCCTGTGTAAGTAAATGGAGACAGTGACTTTAAAGGTAAGTTGCCAGGCAATGATACATATTCTGATAGAAGCCAAGTCCTCCGAGCAGTTCACAAAGGTTCTTGCCATATGATGATAACTTTAGCCTCTACTCTATTAGTGTCCAAAAGATTTTTCAGCTTAATCAAAGGCAAAAACTCTTCAAATAATTAACAAAAACAGTTGAAACTAAATAGGCTTCTTCTCATGAACATTACATATAATTTTCAAGAATAAATTTTAAATTTAAGGTCAACTGATAAAAACTTTAGCCTCTGGAGTGTTCACAAGGAATTTTCGGAGGGCAGATCGATAGACAGAGGTAACAACAATATACAACCACATTTCAATGAAGGCATATAAAACGTACAAAGTTTTTAAGTTTATATGATTACGATTTACTTTGATTTAATACAAGTCATATTATGCAAATAATTCAGCATTTTTATACAAACTACGGAATGTGTTCTATTTGTTTTATTAATCAAATTTTAAGAATGCATTAGTATTGACATAACATGGGATCATTATTTACCATTTGTATTACTTACATCCATTAAGGTCAGCGTATTACTATTTATGGAAATTTAATGGATACCTTTTGAAAATTAAAACTCAAAAAAGTAGCACATGATCATCTCTTAGGGTACTCAAGATATGGAATTTGCTGGAGTCAAACTTCTTTAGCAAATTTTGTATTTTATTCAATGCATGTCCTATCTAATTGACATTATATTCTTTGGGTGTAAACAAAGACAAGCTATTATCTAAATTTAAAGTAAGGTGTATACATCACAAAGCTTTTTACCTATTATATACTTTGCTGTCTGTAAACATCCCAGATCTCACTTCCTTATCAAGTATACCGGTACATACAAGTTAAAATATTTCCCCAAACCCCTGCAGTTTGGATTAATCTACTCCTTTAATATAACACAAATTGCAGTATTTAAAATATAGCTTATTCTAGATGTATTTCATGTGTGCATTACAGTTAATATCACGTTCCTGAAGCAAATGCTGCAAGTTTTACAACATCTTGACGTTGCTAGATTACTTTGCAATTCCCAAACTTGTAGCTACGGTTTCTCACTTTACTGCAGACATGTAAACAGTAGAGTTCAATCAGAAATTGTGACACTAAGACATTCAAATCAACTATAGTGACTTCCATGGAAACCTTGACATGGAAACTCTGCAACTAATTATCACAAGTAGACATTTTATCTGGAAAGCTGGGTGAATACCCAATCGAATTTAGTTCCGAAATATGCAGGGTATTATGTGATCACCTTGATAAGATGTACGGTGTTAAAGCAAGATCAAGCCTTATATTGAAGATGAGTTAATATATGATTTTGAAATTACATTGAAACATTAAAGGCCTTTCATGTATGATTTTGAAATTACATCGAAACATTAAAGGCCTACTGTAAATATAGCAAAAATGCATTCAAGTCTAAAATTACAATAAAGATTCTTAATTTACAATAGGACCCTTAAATAAATATCTGTATTTATAAATTCATATATATATTTACAATGAAAAACAACAAACTTTCCTACTATCTACTTTAAGTAGTAAATACATCTTTATAATCATATCAGACATATTCATGTAATTTTAAAAAAACATAAAGGCCCAATGAACTTCAAATATTAGTACAGTAGATATAACTAAATACACAAAATTATTCTTACAGGCTCTATGTGTTGCATGTCTTGATTACATTTGTTCACCACATGCATATTAAATGTATATATATACAAAAGAATAACTTTGTAGAATTAATGCTATATTTTATATAAATGCTATATAGATTTAAAAATATAAAATTGAGCATGTTCATTTGAATCATACTTGTCTCTAGATGCCACTATCTGACAATAAAGGTGTAAATAAAATTCAATGATAAAGATAAAGATCACAGTTACTCAATCAACTAATCACAAACTTCTAATTTCATATCCAAGTGCATTCTGCAATTAAACAAAGAGTTAGGGACATCACTATCCACTGAATTGCTCAATAATTATCTCCATACATAAAATCTGATTCAATTCACTTATATTATGGCCATGCATAATCTGAAGGATGCCATATTGAAATGTCTAGAGTCTTTCTTTCATTAAAGATAATGCTTGGAACCCTAAATAGTTTTTAAAAGTTGATTTGAGTACCGCTATATAGTCGAAATATAGAAACTAGTGGACCATATTCTTTACAGATTTACATTTGTGACTTAAATAAAGAAGATATTCCTGATGTACAAGGGAGACAAATCCCATACACTTGTACATTTACATCGACTCCAATACAAGTAATGCAAACTGTAAGAATCAAAGGTTAAAAAGCTTTCGGTATTGTTTAATAGGATTACACACTTCAATAAAGTTAATAGGTTTATGTTACATAAGTAAAATGAAATGTTTCATCTGACCTATCTCTCTTATACAACCATATATACACAACCATTAATTCCTTTAAATTAAGGTCCTCTATAAATCATACATATATAGAACCACTATTTCCTCAAGGTCCTTATTAGCACTATTATGTTTTTGATAAAGATAGGTTGCCAGGCAACGAAACATACGCCCACAGCAGCTAAATCGTCCGGGCAGTCAACAAGAGTTGTCGCATATTTTTACTTTTTTCGGTAATGAAACATTTATAATACACTAAAATCTGATTAAGAGCAACAACTCAAGAAACCATTAGAATTTGTTTGGTTTTTATAAAGTTATGCCCCATGCTAACGTTTAGTATACAAAACTTTTAATACTATATCATGGATTTAGCTGTTCCAAGTCATAAAAATTCATTGAAAATCAATATACTTGTTCGCCTCAAGATCTTAAACTCTGTGTATCAATCTGAAGTCAATCATATATTAACTTTGGCCTCTAGGGTGTCCACAAGATTTTTCAAAGTGATCAAGGGCCATACCTTTGCCAGTAGTTATCAGAAATCTTTGAAAATAAATAGGATTCTTCGCCTCGTGACCTCAAACACTGTGTATAAATTTAAAGTCAATGAGATTAACTTTAGACTTTAGAGCATCCACAAGGTTTTTTAAAGTGATCAAGGGCCATAACTCTGGCAGTAATTATTCGTCTCATGACCTTAAACACTGTGTATAAATTTAAAGTCAATCCGATATAAACTTTACCCTCTAGAGCGTCCACAAGATTTTTTGAAGTGATCAAGGGCCATAACTCTGGCAGTTATTATCGGAAATCGCTGAATATCAATAGGCTTCTTCGTCTCATGGCCTTAAACACTGTGTATAAATTTAAAGTCAATTGGATATTAACTTTGGCCTCTAGAGCGTCCTCAAGATTTTTTGAAGTGATCAAGGGCCATAACTCTGGCAGTAATTATCGGAAATCGCTGAAAATCAATAGGCTTCTTCGTCTCATGACCTTAAACACTGTGTATTAATTTAAAGTCAATCGGATATTAACTTTGGCCTGTAGAGCGTCCACAAGATTTTTTGAAGTGATCAAGGGCCATAACTCTGGCAGTAATTATCGGAAATCGCTGAAAATCAATATGCTTCTTCGTCTCATGACCTTAAACACTGTGTATAAATTTAAAGTCAATCAGATATTAACTTTGGCCTCTAGAGCGTCCACAAGATTTTTTGAAGTGATCAAGGGCCATAACTCTGGCAGTAATTATCGGAAATCGCTGAAAATCAATAGGCTTCTTCGTCTCATGGCCTTAAACACTATATATAAATTGAAAGTCAATCGGATATTAATTTTAGCCTCTAGAGCGTCCACAAGCAATTGTGGACGCCGGCCGGACGGACGGACGGAAGGGGGCGACGACAATATATGACCACATTTCAATGTGGGCGTATAAAAATTCAGTCTATATTTTATACACACCCAGAAGTGTTTTTTAAATTATCTATCATAAAAAATATATTGTATCATGTTTTTCTTTAAGAATATCACATTTTAAGTTGAAAATTGCCAAAATAATTTTAATTTTGAGCCAAACTATGTCCAATTGATTTAAATAAAGGGGAACTACGACCCTATATATATATTTCATAAAACTGAACCATCAAAATGAGTCAATATCATCTAAAGCAACACTGTTAGTATTACCACCATCATTAGCTTGAGCTTTAATCTTAGCTGCTGCTTCTGCTCTTATAGTCTCATCTTCAGGTGCATTCTCTATCTTAATCACTTTATTATAACCTCTCCATCTTAAACACAGTTGAAAGTACATTTTACACTGGACATACATAAACACTAATCCTCCTGTGAAACCTATAGCCACAACAATTAGTTTCGTCCAGAAAGGCCAGTCTAAATTACCACTTGATACCTCTTCTGTGGTTCTGTCTATAAGAACATACAATGACCATATCACACATGTTATAGCTATAATATGAAATGTGACTGAACAAATAATCTTTCTTCTTTCAGCTGATGACATCTCTAATTTCTCCCACTGAAAAACACAAATTATAATAAATTCAATATTTTAATGATCACCAATTGAATAGCATTAATAGCAAACTATCTGAAGATGCAAATAAATTTCATTGATGTATCAATCCACCAGAAAGCCAATAATCATTTTGTTAGGCAACCAAATATATGACCACCAGCAATTGTTCAAGGAATCTCCTTTTTGATGAATTTCAATATGGTTCTGACACACGATTTAAAATAAATGCCCCAAACTGCACAATGTAGAGTGCAAAAACAAGAAATCTCATCGATTTTTCTCAAACCATCTACAAGAACATGAAATCAATAGAAAACAAGCCAACAGTGAGGCTGATGTCCCCCGCCGAAATCCCAAAATAAATAGATGACACATATTAATTAATCGCACATTTATTTTTTTCAAAAGTATCGAGCAATCAAATAACTATACACTGAGTTTCATCACTCTCTATCAGATAGAATCAAGATTATCTTGTCCCAAAGCATCGACCAATGAAATTGATTAGCTCTGCTGAGCTTCAGCTCGAAATGTTAATCATTGAACTCAGTCAAGACATTCATCTAATGAACATCAAGTTTGAACAGTCTACCTCAATTAAAAGCAGAGTTATTATGTTCCAAAGTCTCGACCAATCAAATTGCTTATCGCTCCTTAGCCTAAGCAGAAAATTCTCATCATCGAACTCCATCAAGGGATTCACCTAATGAATGCTTACACCAAGTTTGAACATTTTACCTAAATTAGAAGGAGAGTCGTTGTTTTCCAAAGTGCTTATCGCTCTGCTTACCTTCAGCAGAAAATGTTCATTATCGAACTTAGTCAAGGTATTGATGTATTAAAGCTATACACTTAATTTGAACTAAAGTTATTGTGTCCCTAAGCAGAAAATGCTCATCTTCGCACTCCATTAAGGCATTGACCTAATAAACACCTACACCAAGTTTTAACAATCTAGCTCAATTAGAAGGAGAGTTATTGTGTTCCAAAGTCTCGGCCAATCAAATTGCTTATCACTCTGCTTACCCTGAGCAGAAAATGCTCATTATCGAACTTAGTCAAGGTACTGATGTAATGAAACTATACACCAAGTTTCATCACTCTCACTTAATTAGAACTAAAGTTATCGGAACAGAAGGTTGCAGAGTGCTGAAAATCGAAGGGGTTCATCCTTTCATGACCAAAATGCTTTACACAAAGTTTTAAGTTAAAAACTGTAGGTTCTATGACGTTAACAAAAGTTTTTGACAAACGGGGCATAAATCTAGAACTGAAGGTCACAGAAAATAGACAAGAGTTTGTCTTCTCACCACCCAATGCTTCATACCAAATTAGGCTAATCTGGTTCATGGCTGTTTTGACCATATTCGTTTATATGGTTTGCATATTTTTAAATCATCATATACCTGTAAAGATAGATTGCCAGGCAACAAAACATACGTTCACAGCAGCTAAATTGTCCAAGCAGTCACATATTTATTCTTTTGGAGCTTTTACAAATGACATATCAAATACAGATCTAATTATAACTTTTGCTGATAGAACGTTTTTCAGCATTTACAAGGTTTAACAAAGTGAAACAAGGGACACCGAAATTGCTGAAATTCAATAGGCATCTTTGTTTCACTAATCTAAATAATGCATATCAATTTAATACAGATTGGATGATAACTTTTGTCTTTAGAGCATTCACAAGGGCAATAATGCTAGAAGTTGTTAAGATAAATTCTTGAAATTTAATATGATTCTTAATTTTACTGATCTAAATAAAATAATGCACATAAATTTCATACAGACCGGATGATAACTTATGTTGAGAGAGCGCTCACAAAGTTTTACAAAGTGAAACAAGGACCATAACTCTTAAAGTAATTAATGGAAATTGTTGAAATTAAATAGGCTTCCTCGTTTTACTAATTCAAATAATGCCTGTCAATTTAATACAGCTGTATTGTGGCCCATGGTCGCAATAGCGTTTTTTTGGTTATTTTTTTGTATTTCATTTAAAATAATAAAAATATTAGTAAAAAAAAAATAATCTTTTAAAATTTAAAAAAAAAAATCTTTTTAAAAAATTTAAAAAAAAAAAATCTTTTTAAAAAATTTAAAAAAAAAAAAAATCTTTTTAAAATGAAAAAAAAAAAAAATCTTTTTAAAATGAAAAAAAAAATCTATATATATAAAAAAAAAATAAAATATATTTTAAAAAAATAAAAAAGAAATAATATTAAGAAAAAAATTAAATGAAAAAAAAAAAAATTGAAAAAGAAAAGATAAAAAATAATTCCCGACGTGGCCCATCGTCGCAATAGTGTCTTGTGTATCCAGACCCAGTATACAGCTATCATTAGACTAGAGCGACCAGAAACATTTTGTGGCCCATTGTTGCAGTAGTATCTCGATTATTATGTGTGGGATCTATGAAGAACGTATAAACTCGAACGACAAGAAACGAGTCTAGTTATCTCACGTCAACATAATTGTAGATGCCACCATACACCTCTTACCCGTTCCTGTGGTCGTAGCGGGGGACTAGCGATGACCTCAGGGAGAGCAGGGGTTTCACCAAAACTGAAGCTAAAATCACTAACATAGATTTTAAAATCAAAGTGAAATTTTAAATTTATGCGTTTCAAGAAGATCGATTGTAACTTAAAATTTAATTTTAATAGATTTTAGTTAAAATTACTTGTGGCTTGATGTGAGGTAACTATAGACTGGTTTCTTATCGCTCGAGTCTATACCATACGTTCTTCATAGATCCCACGTACAGGATAATCTGAACGACAGACCCACGATGTTTGACAGGTCACCCTACTCCTTGTCACGTACAACCGGGGATTCGAAATCACGCCAGTTGACTCAATGACGGGCTTTATGATATGACAGGCTTTATGATACAGCGCGCACATAGATTTTAAAATCAAAGTGAAATTTTAAATTTATGCGTTTCAAGAAGATCGATTGTAACTTAAAATTTAATTTTAATAGATTTTAGTTAAAATTACTTGTGGCTTGATGTGAGGTAACTATAGACTGGTTTCTTATCGCTCGAGTCTATACCATACGTTCTTCATAGATCCCACGTACAGGATAATCTGAACGACAGACCCACGATGTTTGACAGGTCACCCTACTCCTTGTCACGTACAACCGGGGATTCGAAATCACGCTAGTTGACTCAATGACGGGCTTTATGATATGACAGGCTTTATGATACAGCGCGCACGTGCTAACCATTCGCCCCCCCCGGTTACTTAGTAGTAGTAGGCCTATACTTCGAGGATTAGTTTCAAAGTTGTTAACTACTTTTGAAATTCGACCCCAGGGAGACCAAGTGTTTTAAAAACATTACATAAGCCTTGCGCACTAGTAGGCCGAATGGTGTCATTAAAGTCAATGACTTCAAACGTCATTATGTATGTAGGCCTAGTTCTAGATAGACTGGATAAACTAGTCTAAATGACGCTAGGCTTCTATAGTCTATTAATTATACATTTCTATTGACTTGCATATGTATAAATACATATATATCCAAGTATATAGACGTCATGGGTGGAAAAATTGTGTTTCACGTGTTGATGTCTGTTTACCTTTTTCCTTTCGGAAGGGGAGATAACTACAAACTTGTTTCTTGTCGCTCGAGTTATGCCACATAGGATAATCGAGACACTATAGCAACAATGGGCCACGAGGTATTTCTGGTCACTCGAGTCGAATGATAGCTGTAGTAGACTGATTTTATACTGAGTCTGGATAATCAAGACACTATTACGACAATGGGCCACGTGCAGAATTCTTTTTTTGATTTTTTCTATTTCACTTATTTTTTTTTTTTTAATTAAAATGTTATTTTTTTTATAGATTTTTTTTAATCTTAAATATTTTATTAATTTTTTTTATATAGATTTTTTATTTTAAAAATATATTTTTTTTTTCTTAAATTTTAAAAATTTTTTTTTTTTCTTTTTAATTTAAAAATTTTTTTTTTTCTTTTTAATTTAAAAATATTTTTTTTTCTTTTTAATTTAAAAATATTTTTTTTTTCTTAAATTTTAAAAAGATTTTTTTTTTTTTTTGTTTTACAAAATAAAAAAAAATGTTTCTTTTTTTTTACTTTTATTTTTTATGATTTTAAATGAAATACAAAAAATAACCCCAAAAACGCTATTGCGACCATGGGCCACCATACAGCTGGTATGATAACTTTAGTCATCAGAATGTTTATAAGGTTCTACAAAGTGAAACAAGGACCATAATTAATGGAAATTGCTGAAATGAAATAGACTTTTTCGTTTTTATCATTTAAATAATGCATGTGAAATTAATACAGTTCAGATGATAACTTTACTCGTCAGATTGTTGATAAGGTTCTACAAAGTAAAACAAGGGCCGTAACTCTAGAAGCAATTAACAGAAATCAAATAGGATTCTTCATCTAACTAATGTAAACAACATAAATAAATTTCAAAATGATCAGATAATAAATGTAGTGTAGAGTGTTCACAAGAAATTGTGGACGATGGACAGATGGATTTAGGCGATGGAAATATGCAATCACTTTTCTATGTGGGCGTATAAAAAGGAATTGAATCATTTTGGGACTAATATTCCTTTTATAGATTCAACTTCAACAATATGTATACTATATGTATACTGAGTTGAGATAATTGCACTTAATCAGTAATTTCATATAGGTAAGCTTACATGTAAACAAGATAAAAAGTTGGTGCACTATGATTTTAAGCTTTTATTAGACATGTAGGTTGATATGTATTCTATTTAACTGCGTGTGATATGGCAGTAGTTATAAAATAATGTCTGTCCGACTCAACTTAGAAGTAATAATGAAATGTAATCAAACTAATTACTGTGCCTAGGTTTAGATCAATATGTCTAAGTCTGTCCAAATAATTAGTTCCTTATAATACCCGTAAACACAAATGAATATAATTAAAATTATAATGACTGATCGATTCAGTATCAGATAAAAACACAGGTTATAATAAAACTTCTACTGTACACTGCAATTTCAACTGACCTTTATTTCAAAATTTGCAAAAAGCATTAATGAGCGATGATCACAATGATTGCTGATAGCAATCATGCTCAGTTTCCTCTTTTTCAGATTCACAAGGATACATATAATTTTTGTAAAGCAGATTTCAGACTTTCAAAGAACAGATTTTTAATGCTTGGGGCACATGCATGATCCATGATATAAAATGGTTAGACCTCTTTGATTTAGGTTGAGTTGTTTTCCAGGATGACAATCTAACTTCATCTTGCTTAAAAGACATTGTCTTGTTATACCCAATGTCTAATAAGTTTAAAAAATCAAATGAATTTTGAGATATTCTATCCAAGTCAAGGGTAATAATTTAGCTAATATTTGAAAAAGTTCGTTAAAATTGGAACTCATCTAGATTCCATAAAGAAGTAAGGCCACTTACTGATATACATCAGCAGCAGCCTGACAAGATTCTACAACATAATCAGAAAAAAAACTAACAATGACATGTTTAGATATAAATTGGTGCCTGTCATTAAATGACAAAAGTTAATTCCATTTCCATAAATAATGCAAATATGTTAATGAATGATAACGATTATCTGTTTTAGACATTCTGTATCTTTAAACTTTTGACAGAGAATGCGAGGGAACAAAGGTCACAACCCTGCATTCTGTTGACTGGTCAATATTGTCAGACAATCACAAGTAGTGAACATTATTACCTGTGGACAAAAATTACCTAAAATCATTTATAGAACAGAAAGTAACTCAAATCATTTATAGAACGGAATAGGGTCAATGTCCAAGGTGCGAGCTTTAGTCCCACCTTTCTCAGTCACAAGTTTGAAAATATCCCTTTCTCTAAAAACTATAGAATTATTTCACCCCACCCCACCATCATATTTTGTGGTGGACATGGTTTTGTTTGAAAGTTCAATGAAATTAGAGAAAAGGGAAGTGAAAATTTATTGAAGTAAAGAGATAAGGGTGTGGTATAGAATGTTTATTTCTTGCCATTACAGATCTGGTATCAGGAAATCAAGAAAGTTTAAATAAGCATATCCTGCATTAGACATGCATCTGTCCCATAAACACAATGCCACTTTACATGGAGTTTGTACAAACAATTACCTTTAATGTTTAATATTGATTTAACAGCGAAGCTAGACATGTACATGATATGGTAGGTAAGGTATTATACCCATAGATACCATTATATCAGTAATAACATTGAGTTGTATTATTTCTTTTAATGTCAATATTCAGGTAAAGTTTACCAGACTATTCACAATAATTGATCAGTCAGAGTAAAGTAAATATAACAATGATTTACTCTAGCTTGATCTTGTAAACAAAAATAAATATCAGAATTTTCTGAAAATAAATCCATAAAATCTGTATTATATATTATCAATGACATTGACAGTGTATCATGAATAGATTTCATCAATAAATTGTTACAGACTTTCTTCTTGAAATAGAAGGGCTGGATTATACAGTCTAAGTATTAAGAACACTTCCACGAGAGGATCATGCAGAAATTGAAAAAAACGACAACCCGGGGGTGGGGGGGGGCGGTCTATGGGGACCCCTAGGCGACAGAAGTCACACAATAATGAAGTGAACAATTTTTGAACGGATAACTTCTACCAAAGTTAATTTCCACTAATAAATAAACTAAAACTCAAATACCTACCTGTCCAAACGGTTTTGTTTGAGTTGTCATCATATACTCAAATTTACATAATTCACAATTTCTTTTTTCTGAACTTTTTATCCATTTCTGGAGGCAAGCTGAGTGAATGTATTTCAAGCTGCCAGAACACAGACATGGTGATATTAGTTGATTATTTGACTCAGACTCACAATGACAGATCCGACAAATATCTGCATTGTTAGATAATGTGGACATCTGTGATTCAAACTGTTCTTTTGATTGAAGATCATCAGGATGTAAGGTTTCCTAAAAAAATATAAACATATAATATATGAAGTAATTATATTTTATTTTAAGCAATCATTTTTTAACAATAGGCCAAAATAAGCGGTGCTCATTGATATACACAACCTACAGAAGTGCATATACTGTACATGTATATACTTTTCTCTTGCTAAAATTGATAAAAATGCATAATGTGAGCATACATTTTTGTACTTTTTCCTGTCAAGATTAACTTTTTCTCACTAAAAGTAACATTTTTCATTAATGAGGACCCTGGACTATAGATACTTTAAATCAAGTATCGGTGTAAATTCACAAGCTTTAAAAGTCAAGATATATATGGAAATAAATTTTCTCCACCAATTGCCCTAATGAAAAATCCTCTCAAGTTTGACTAAATTCCAATAAGAACTTTGTCTTTGTCCTGGCTACAAATGTGAATTGAAAGATAACTCTACAGTTCAACATTTTTTAAATTAAATAAGGTGCTTCCTTATGCCCTAATGAACATTCTAACTGACTTTGACAAGATTTCAAGGGATTATATATTGCATTGCAAACATTGTTCTGTGTCTTGTTCACAAACTATAAAAGTCAAACTATGAACATAAGGATAACTCGACAAAACGTTTTAAATTTATGATCCAACATTTCTGTCCTGCATTGCATGCACAAGATTTAAGAACGTAAATGGTGAGATAACTCTGTAATCTATGAATACAAATATTGACAGGGTTCTTCACATGAAGCTTCCCTCCAAATCTGAAAATATATTGTAATAGGTATATTAAAACCTAAACTGAAAGCCGTGTTAAAACAATTATATGGTTGTCATTCAAGAACTGTTGGTAAGTGGTAGTTTTATCCAACTATTATACTAATAGTGATGGATGCAGTGCATGAGGAAGAGAATACTTACTATTTAGAAACATAAGGTACTATTAAACTAATTCGTCTTTTGTATTTATGGACTTTGAAATTGATTATCCTCCAAAGCATCAATGTTAAACAATTTGGTAATGATTTGAAAAAACTCAATATTTTGAGCTACTAATTTCAGTGCCAGGGTTTGTTTTGCCGAAATGGGAAAAATGCATCTTTTGATCGAGATTGAAGGCTTCAATAAAAAACATGTGTCCTGATTTACTGGAACGAAATACAATTTATTCTATTTTTGCAACTGGGCAAAACAAACTTGATTTGCATACCTAAAAAGACTTGTATTAACATTACTCAATTTGGTCTCTTTAGAATGAGGTATTAATTAATTATTACTTGTAGACTAGGAACGGTCCATTCTAACTACTGTGATTTGATTGATCATTTACATAATGGGATCAAATATACATGCAAACATAGAAATATTATAACACAACTCTAACATACATGTTAAAGGTAAGAAAATCAATAAGTTGTTCTGTTCTTACAGTCTTTAAATAACTGGTAAGGCATGTGTTAACTTAAGCCATCAAACACTAATAATAATCCACATCATGAATATATGTCAAAATGTTTGCACATTAAATGAGAATCATGAATTTGTGAAAGATAATACTTTAAACTTTTAACAAATATAATAGATAACCAAATATACTTCTAATTTGTAAAAGGAAGCAAAAATGTCACAATATGTTATGATGTAATTCATTAAAGGAACAGTAACTCGATTTTGGAAACAATGACAGTGGCAATTAGTCTGTGAAAAATTGAACTAACAGTCCCAACAATTCTGACAACCACCGACCTGTAAAGAATTTTCAAGGCATCGGTCAGTTACAAGGGCAATATGTGAAAGCTGATACACGACTGCCAAGATGAAGAAACCTTTGGTATCAGGGCCAACAACTACGTATAAACTTGAAGTTGCAATTTCAATAGGGTTACTCCCTAGGACCGCAATCCCAGCAATTCCAAACACTCTCACAAACACTCTCTGATTTGTCCCACTGACAAGTCGAAATAATGCTGGAAAATGCAGAGGAACTTTCTTGGACAACACCGGAAGTGAATCCAAGATCCCCTTGTTAGTGTGCTAGCACCTTACCCACTCCAAATACTCTTTCCTGTAGGTTGTTTACAACATATTAGAGATATGGGCAAAAACTCTGTTTAAGAACGATGGACAACTCTGAAATTCAGCTATTCAAAAAAATCCAGCAATTTAAAATCTCCAATAGTCTGACATAAATAATGGACAATGAACGATGGACAACTCTGAAATTCAACAATTCAAAAAAATCCAGCAATTTAAAATCTCCAATAGTCTGACATAAATAATGGGTGTGCAAGAAATATTCCCTTTTCTTCTCTGTTTCTGTGAACATATGCACACTACAATATAAATATGTGACTTTAGGGTGTGTTTGATAGCTCAGTAAGACAAACTATATTCATACATGCATATATTCAAGATATTTGTGTTTTATTGGCTTGGCATTTGTCATCTTAGACTTAAAAGTGTTCAGAATCAGGGCTATACATTATATTCATAAAATACAGCATCCGAATTTCAAAACTGAGTACAAAGAAAAAAACAGAAGATTTAGATTTATTTCTATCAAACATGGTCTAACATGAGATTTCCATTAATCATTAATTAGTAAATAACATTGAATGTTTTTGATAATGGTGATCTTCTCTTCATTTGAATATATTTTCTATCATTTGAACTGCCTGTAGAATGGTGTGCAGAGGTTCGGTGATAGTGAAGCAAACTCTTGATTGCATGCCCCCAAGACTCAAGTATAGGGCCAAAGACTGATATTGATAAAGGGAGACATTTTAAATACCAGGCATGTAAAAACAGATGAAACTAGAACTGCGAAGCAGTAATGACGGGTTTCACTGGTGCCACGTTACCATTGAACTTATGTCACTTTTGGTGCCATGTAACCCTTGAACATCGCTTCCAGTACCAATGGAACCGATAAATAGATATGCACAAACTTTGAACGCATCAAATAAAATGGAAGCAGAATCAACCAAATCCAGCAATGTCAATTCATTTTATACATGTGTTACATGTAAGTGATCCTGACAAAATTACATTACTTCCGGTGATAATGAAAAAGTTCAATTAGTTTTATGAAATCAGAAATGGCATAAGGCATCACATGGTGAAAATTTTATGTAAATCGAATAATAATTGCCACTTTTATAGACCAAAAACCTTACAAAGTGACTTGTAGAAAATCGTCTATTTCTCTGCAACCGTACAAGTTAGAAACCATATTTTGGTATCTGTATGATCGTTTGGGTTCAATCTATGCGTTGACTGAAATCAAATATCATAATTTTAAAGACTTTACAAATCAGACGCATTTGAATAAAATATCTGCTTTGGAGGCTAAAAATACAGTTTTCGCCAAAATGACGTTACTTCCGGTGATAATGAAAATCTTAAATTACTTGTATGAAATCGTAAATGGCATTAGGTATCACACAGTGAAAACTTTATGAAAATCAAATAATAATTGACACTTTTATGGACCAAAAACCTTGAAAAGTGACCTGTTGAAAATCGCCTATTTCTCCGCAACTGAACAAGTTAGAAACCATTTTATGATATCTATATGATCCCATGGGTTGATTCTATTAGTTGATTGGAATCAAATATCCAAATTTTAAATAAATAACAAATACGACTCACCTGAATAAATTATTTGTTTCCAAAGCTATAAATATAGTTTTTGCCCAAATTACGTCATTTCCAATGATATTGAAAATGTTAAATTGGTTTGACCTAGTCACAATTGACATTCCGCATCAAATGGTACCCTTTTTATGATAATCCAATAATAATTGACTCTTTTACAGACAAAATAGCGTAAAAAATGACACTTGCAAAATTGACCATTTCTCGGCAACTGCTCATATTACAAACTAATTTTGAGATAGATTCTCTTCGTATGAATTAATGCTACAAGTTTATGAAAGTCAAAAAGAAATATTTTAAAATATGACACGCCTGAATGGGTTGTAAATAGCTCAATTTTACACCATTTTTCACCTTTAAACCGAAATGGCACAAAAATGAAATCGAAATTAAAAAAACAGCTTCCGACTTTTTTTGCCCCTTTATATGGCGCAACTTCTTTCTTTTTACTTGTTTTAAAAAAATAAAATTTGCTTTCGATAAGACGTACCTAACCGCCAAAATTGTAGTTTTGGTCAAAATTTCCGCTGCTGACAAAGCTTTATCGGTAATAAAAAAGTTGAGACTTTGCACCATTGAGCATATGAACTTTGTTTTATACAAATCGAGCAATAAATAATTAACCTAGAACCCATAAACTGAATTAGCCAATAGCGGCCAAGGTGAATTATCGATACAAAAATTTTTCATATTTTTGCTCAAATTACATGACCCTTTAATTATATGTAGAGCGTCATTAAAAAATATTAATAAATAAAAAAGTTTTTTGTCAAAATTTAAATTTTCAAAATTTGGCGCCTAATATCTTCGAAGATTAATCGAAAATCAAAAATCTAAACAATCGTAGCTATTTGCCGTGTCTCAGGCTATGTCAAAATGTATCAAATGTTAAAATCCGACAATTATTGTTAATATTACGGCAATATTTCAAAAAACGACAACTTCGGTGATTTCGGACATTTCGCATTGTCACAGAAAGTTCGAAATAGCTTTAATCTCTAAGTCACACCCACTTTCCCAGTACCAATAAAACCAAAGACATCGAGTTGATCCGACAAATAGTTTCTGAGATATGCTCAAGTGGAAAAAAAAAAAATAATAATAATAAGAAGAATAATAATCTTAACAAAAACAATAGTGTTTCACACTGGCTACGCAGTGTGAAACCCTAATAAAACTTTGTTCAAGTTAAATATAAATCACCCACAGTAATTAAAATTGGTGATGACACTTGAAGTGCTGCAATTTTTTTACAGGTTCTCTATTCTGGTCTTGCTTATCAAAACACGGATCCCAGCTTGTGGGATTGTAGGGCAGCTTGTACAACAAACTTTACAGCAATAAATTTCAAATTTAAGAAACAATA